TTTCACCATGGCTGAACTTCTTTATCGGAGACAAATTTCCCATGCGGATCTGTGGCTCCGGCAGGCAGCAGTGCCAGGTAGACTGGGGTGATAGCGCCCTCGTCTGGTGACTTTGGGGCTTTGTCCCCTGCCATGTCGGTGCGCACCCAGCCGGGACAGCAGGCGTTCAGCAAGATCTGTAGAAAAAATAATACATGCAATAAAAATGTGTGTTAGCAGTGAGGCTGGAAAAAAACAAAACTGACAAACAGATATTTAGGATTTATTGATTCGATAAAATCCAAATTTTTTTGATTCTGGTGACACTGTGTTGATGTTGAATTCACTTTAGGCAATGCAAATGTATTTCTATAGCATCTTTCAACAACCAGCCAATATGAAAAGACAAATAAATAGGATTTAAAAAGATTAAATCTAAGTAAAACTGATTAAAATAAGCTAAAATAGAATATAATGGTAGAATAAAAATGACAGTGCAGCTGCAGTGCAGAGCAAGATATGACAAAAATTATATTTTAACTACTATACTGAACAAAGTGGTTAAAAAGAAGAAGATTAAAGAAGATTGTTTTTGTTGATTAAAAGTTGCTATATACCCCGTCATTCCGTCTCTCCTTGGAAATGCGACGGGCCAGGATCATGGACAGGGTCTAAAGACACACACACAGACACACATGTGTATAATCAATGTCTCTATAAAAGGAAATATCTTATTAGAGAAGTATATAAATCAATACATCTCACCAAATTCCCTCTGCTTTTTCTACATTTTAAAACCTGCACAGATGAGATGACCCTAACCCTAAAAACAGACTGATGGGTCGTACCGTCAGTCCAGTCTTGGACACTCCATACGCTGTTTCAGGCCAGCCGCCCTGCTTGTGCTCGCCCTTCTTGGCCTTGTCGACGAATTGCTGCATCAGTCCCACCAGCTCCTCCTCCGTGATGTCCTCGCTGCGGAAACGCTGCTGCAACTCCGGGCTGCACTGGTTCAGAGTGCGGGAGCCGACGAAGCTGGAGACGTTCACCACGCGGCCTAAAATACAGCCCCGGAGGATGTTTATAGCTGTTAACTGCTTACAAACCTCTTTGTGTGACTCCGTCTCTCTCACTGCATGTCAAACTAATTTGTCACATTTTAGAAATGTCACAAAAGTTTCCTTGTCAGTTGGTTGTGTGTTTGTGTGTAATATTCTAATGATTTATAATGTTTTTAATGTGCCCACTGTGGTGAGATCAGGAGCTTTTGAAATATCTGACATTAAAATTAACCAAATTATGCTTGCCAGCAACACCATTCATCTTCTCAAAACTTAAATTTCTCTGAATCAAGACCAAACTCTTCAAATTGGAACACCAAGTAGAACAGTTTCTACTCAACTTTCTTTAAAAACAGTAAAGTAGGTTGAACTGAGCTGCTTATTAAGACAACAGGGGTAGACACAGACCTGGTCCAGTTCTGTGTCCTTACCTCCGGCTCTGATGATCGGCAGGAAGTGAGTCAACATGTCTCTGGTGGCGAAGAAGTTTGTCTTGAGGGTCACCTCTGCCTGGACGTCAAATGTAGCGGTGTCTGCCACTGAGAGAGAGGGAGCGAGAGAGAGAGAGAGAGAGAGAGAGAGAGAGAGAGAGAGAGAGAGAGAGAGAGAGAGAGAGAGAGAGATGAAATGATTGCTCAGTTTATCCAACGCTCATTTAAATAAGGGTCATATTCTAAATATTTATCTTTTTGTCTTTATAGTATATATATATATAGAGTTTGTTAATCCAGGCTTTTTGGCTGCAGTACTTGCTTTCATCTTTATTTAGATTTTTCTCATACTTTATTGTATTACCCAGCTATAAACCTGATTCTGATTATGTAATTTATTGTCTGAGCGACAATGAGCGAATCTGTCTATCAGTGATGAAAATGGCACAAATAATACATTCACAAACTCAAAAATGTCATGCGTAATTCACTGCACTGTTTGGGTGCAACGTGTGCTTTACATTTTGAGGCCTGTCTGCTCCTTTTTCAGTGTTCAACCAAACACAGAGAGCATACTCAGGCAACTGATGGAAGTTATTAAGGAGAGTTAAATCCTTTTTATTTAGTTTAATGCTTTGATGGCATTTTTATTATTGAGCATAGTATCCTGTGGAAGTACATGCAGTTTTCTATCAGATTAAAAATTCACACACACAGACACACAAATGTATATATTGTAGAGTATTGTTCTCTAAGATGGAGTCATTTCATGAATAATGATTGTAACAAATTAAAATCTCAATGTTAGAGATTGTAATTTTAGCCAAACTGCAATTATATATAACTATTATAATAGTAATAACTATGGGTCACATTGTGCTACTGTATGATATGAATGCCAATACTATAATAAGACAGAAGACTGATGCTGGTGCTAACTTTGTGGCAGTGTTGAATATGTAGAGTGGTAGTCTTATTTTGAGCGTGGTGTAATAGCTATTGATATATATATCGTTGCAATCCTACCTTTAAATGCTATGCCAGCGTTATTGACGAGGACGTCCACCCCTCCGTACTTCTCTTTAAAGTAAGCAGCAGCAGTAGTGATGCTGTTCAGGTCGTTGATGTCCAGCTGATGAAACATGGCCTTCAGTCCTTCTGAGGACAGAGACTCCACAGCCTCCTGACCACGGCCGCTGCAAAAAGAGCAAAACATTTCTATTTATTTTCACTTTATAACAGATCTGCTGGAGACACCTTGAGCCAATGCGACTACAGGCCCGAATAGGACTGCCCTAATGATCTTAAAGGCCCTCAAGATATATATTTTTGCCACCACTTTAACTCTGAGAGATGGACACTAATCTGCAAACAGTTATGGTTGACTCACATGAGATTGTTTTTTAAAAACACTGCAGCTGTCATTCATTCATTGCTGTATTGTTGTTTGGTATTGTTTCGTCTGTGGTGTGCTTTGTATTTTGTCCCTGTTTTTCTTCAGGAGCGTGCAGCCTGTCTTGCTGGAGATCTCTGACGGCAACCCGTAGGTCTCCCCACTGACTGGTTATTGACGTGGGCTCGGCCGGTGGAGTGTCGGCTGCTGGTTGGTTCTCCCTGTGACATCTGCAACATCCACCGGGTTTAAAACGTCGGGCCTCACAGCAGTCGAAGACAGAAAGACCTAGCAGCGGCATCGCTCTGTCCTCGGTCCGTAAAGAGAGAGTGTTTTTGTACGAGTGTTGCGGTTGGCGAGTTTGGGAATATCATATTCTATTTTTCTTTCTTATGGTTGTATATAGTGGGTGTTGTGTGGGGGGTGAACTGCCATTTTCTTTTGTACTGTTTTTCTCCTGTTTTGTTATTAGGTTAGGGAGTTAGTAAATGTCTTTTGTTTTACTCGTACGTTGAATAGGGATTAGTCAGCATTTTGTTTGAGAGAGTTAGATCTGTTTTGTTTGTTGTTTTGGCCTCGGTTCACCCTGAAGTTTGTTCCTGGTTTTTTGTTGCACTTCCACATTTGTAAATAAATCACTTCACTTGATTGTTAAATCCCTGTTCGTTTGTTGGTTTGGGGATCGGGACAGTATTATTTGGTTATTATTTTCTTACATGTATGTTGCTCCATCCCCCTAGACAGGGGCGTAACAATAATCTGCTGTTGTTTGTCTAAAAAAAACACTGGTAATAACTTAAGAGCTTGGAAAGCCTTTCCTTTTAAAACGAGGGTAATTATTGGGTCCATGGGTTCAAATAGACGACAGAGATAAAACAAAGATGAGATTCTTGTCAGTGACATGTTAGTGAAATTGTGTAATGATATATTGGGGCCTATTATAGTTGCAACTCTTTGCACCTTACCTACATATTTATATTTTTTTATCTTTTCTATCTAAGTATTCTATTCTATTGTTGTATTTTATTGTATTTTAATGTACCTGGCTGCTATGACGACCCAATTTCCCTCCAGGGATTAATAAAGTCTATCTATCTATCTATCTATCTATCTATCTATCTATCTATCTATCTATCTATCTATCATCCTGGTTCAGGTGCTACCAGGTGAGCTACCTACACATCTCTGGCGGTGAGGTAAACGTCTCCTTGGTACTGCTTGCAGAGAGCTCGGACGATGGCCAGGCCGATCCCCTTGTTACTGCCTGTTACCACGGCAACCTTGGTAGACATGTCTGCCCACACACAGAGAGAGAGAGAGAGAGAGAGAGAGAGAGGAGAGAGAGAGAGAGAGAGACATCAGTGTATGGACTCACACACAGGAGAAAGATGGACTCATAAATAAAGCACTAGCTACACACACACACACACACACACACACACACAGAGAGATTACAGGACACTTTCACAACCTAATGTAATGATGTTATCATCATGTGGGAGGAGATTGAAAACAGAGAGAATTTGTTGAGTCATGGTGACAATTGCAGGCAGAGAACAGAGAATTGTTCTTTAAATTGTCTGTAATCTACTAACAGTGGAAGGATGAAGCCAGTGGTTGTTGGACTCAGATACAATAAGTCTTAACTTAATGCTCCACACTGTCTTATGATGATGTTTTGATAGCTTTAAATTGTAAGATGATACACTTTATCAACAGTTTCAACTTAAAAGTGACAATTAAATCTTAAAGCCAAAAGAGAAAGTGCAGAGTCATACCATCAGCTCAGTTATGACCTTTAACCCTGAGGCAAACTGGTTTAACGTTACAAGCGTCCATGCAGTGAGACTGCAGCTACGAGGGAGTCACACCAACCGTTCCAGAGGACCTTTCGCCTGGTTTCAGATCAGTTTGTGCGTTACATAACCCTGACTGTTTAACGCAGGCGTACTGTGAGCAGCGTTCAAACAGCGCACATTAAACGGATTCAGATACAGAAATAACATTTGTACGCTAGCAAGCAGCTAACCGTGTAAGCAGGAGGTGAAGGGGGGGAGTTCTTACTTAAAGTTGTTGTTGCAGTGCCGAGAGGAGGTGCGGGGTTGAGGCTGCAGAGAGGAGTGAGGCGCTGCTGAAGGAAAATGGGAGAAAAGAGGGAGGAAAGCAGGGGTTGCGCGGCGCAGCGTCACTGCGCATACCCGGAAAAACAAGGTAACCACGTGGGTTTGACAACTACCGAAGGAGTCGCCGTCCGCGATCAAAATTTGACACATGTGAGGATAATATCTAGGTATTGTATTTGGTGTTTCAACTCTGTGTGTATGCCATTGATGGACAAATATTTTAACCTTTTTTTTAACTGTTGTGGCTCAGAAAGAACCACAGAGTTGAATTAACACTTCTCTAAAACGTGTCCAAACAAAAACTGATTATTATTAGAACCTTCATGAAGGTAGAAGGGAAGGATGTATTAGATTTGTATTGGACCTAATACACTGGCAGCTGTCCTGATGAAAAACAGCTTAAAACACACAAAAACACATTTATACGCACATGAGTGTAAGTGTGGGGTATGATCTTTATTGCACAAGAGAGGATCTTTGCTTTGGTGATATTTGTAGTTGTTATTTATGGATCAGAAGTTAAGCAAGTGAGGGGATTTATTTTAGCTTTACCACCTCAGAAAGTCACCAAATGTCACTTAGAGAGAAAGAGAGACACACTTTTGTTAAGGTTTATAAGTGTGTGTGTGTGTGTGTGTGTGTGTGTGTTTGTCCAGCACATAATGTCACAGGTCCAGCTGGAGTCATGAGGGGTGGCAGCCGTCGGTCTGGACGAGCTGCGAGGAAGAGGAGGAAAAAACAAGAAAGCATCGTCCAGACAGGTATAAACCAATTTACTGCTGTGCTTTCTAGAAAATGCTTCAGTGCTGAACGCTGCAGGTCCCACCTTCCTGTGTCTCTGTGTCTCTGCAGTCTCTCTGTGTCACCAGCCGCAGTATGTGAGGCTGATGAAGTTCCTTCACCAACGGGGATTCACCTCATCGCTGCTGCAGCCTGCCCTCTTCACTGGTACAGCTCTACCTACTCAGCCTCACCTCAGGGCTCCCATGTGATATATGTTTGTGTTAATGGGTTTGTTCACATATCCAGTATGTAGCTGTTAGATGTCTTGCTCAGAGACACCATCTGCATGAGATCTACATGGAGACACAGATTTAGCAGCCGTGGTTTTTAGTGCAGTGTGTATCCCATGATTGACAAACACAGCAGCCAATCTGCGTCTCCAGATTCTGCTCCTTTCACTGCTCCCTGTAATAATCGCATTGATGGATACATGTACAGACTTTAAAGTTTGGGTGTTTTTTATTGCTTCTTGTAATCCAGACACAGGCAGAGGACTGCAAGCTCTCAAGACCATTAAGGTAAATCTGCTAACACACATCAGTGCATGTGAATAACACAGTAATAACCTACGTAGCAGATAGTAATCACTTCATGTATGTCATAGAAAAACAAGTTAACGGTCACAGCATTACATTTTCTTCTTTTCTCTTTTATATTTTTCTCATTGTCAACAAATCACATGACAACCCTTTCCTAGGGTGTGTATGTGCACATATGTGTATCTATCACTATCTGCATGAGAACCAAAAAGCTTGAGACCAAATAATCTACTAAGAACTAAACTGACTGCAAAGACAGGTGATTAAAAATCTGATTCAGACACATCAAGTCAGTCAGTGATATAATAAATCAGCTGGTGTTTTGTTTTTGTTTTTTTCACTCATTATTTTTTATCTCTTGTGGTTTATGAGAGCTAAAGTCTTTCTCTTTGTGCGTCTGTGTTTTTCTGTCAGCCTGGTCAGCTGATCATTTCTCTGCCAGAGTCCTGTCTCCTCACTACCTCGACTGTCCTGGACAGCTACCTGGGACAGTATATCAAGAGGTAAACATGCACACGTTCATAGGACAGTATATCGAGAAGTAAACACATACACACACACACACACACATTTATATTCAAATGAAGCACAATGATCAGAATATGCATATATCAGATTTTCCATGGAATAACAAACTGTGAAATATAATGCAACCCATTACAACAGCCCTGCAATAACTAATACTTTAAAGGACCACTGTGTAGGATTTAGTGGTGAATATATACATATACATACAGACACACAGTCTATAGTTCTGAGGACAGAAGGTTCTGAGGACAGACTGGGATTGACCCAAACCATCATTATATTTGTCTCCCCAGCTGGAAGCCCCGCCTCTCTCCTCTGTTGGCGCTCTGTGTCTTCCTGGTGTGTGAGCGGCATCGAGGAGAGGCCTCTGATTGGTTCCCCTACATTGACGTGCTGCCCATGGCATACACCTGCCCGGCCTATTTCACAGATGAGGTCATGGCCGTTCTGCCTACCTGTGTGCGGAGACGGGCTGTAGAGCAGAGGGAGGCAGTGCGAGAAATCCACTCCTTAAATCAAGACTTTGTCAAGTGAGTCCAGCACACAGGACACTGAAGCAAGTTGGTCAGGTTACGTGTGAGGGTGTGCTCAGACCAGAACACTGCACATTGTGTAACATTACTTGACAGACCTGGTGTTTGAAATGCATCTCAATACATGTAATTCTACAGAAGACGCGAATAAAAGAAGTGACCCCATTGGTCTTCCTTTTGTAAACAATGTCAATAACATCCCATGTGGTTTATTATTGATCCAGATCCCTGCAGCCAATCTTGAGTCAGCCTGTGGAGGAGGTGTTGACATATGAAGCCTTGAGGTACACACACACACAGACACAGACACACAGACACACACACACACACACACACACACAGACACAGACACAGCACACACACACACACACACACACACACAGACACAGACACAGACACACACAGACGTAAAAGTAAAATATAAATATTTCCATAATCTTGATTTGATTTTTGTGGTTTAACATTTTAGTCAAATCCATTTTTGAGAATGTAAGACCTTTTCCCAGTGGTACTCGTCACCTGTTGCAAAAAAAATAAGTGGGAAAGATTTGCTGGACTGTCAGGGTTCCCACGTGTCCTGGGAATTTAGAAACCTATTTTCATGGAAACACCTGGAAATGAATTAAAATCCAGATATCCTGGAAATAATCTATGTTGACTGCAAAAAATTTGATAGAATTTTTCCTGTGCTGTGGCCAAATTAATGTTTTGTTTAGAGGAAAGCTGTAGTCAACAGACCTTTTTCACAGCAGCCATTTTCACATTAAATAGTAGCGTAATAAATAGTAATTAGGCATTCAAGTAAGCATATTGGCTCTGCTACCCTAAATTGATCAAAGCCATAATCGCTATCACTGGTTAACACCTGTGTTTACCCTACTATTTCATGTCAAAATGGCTGCTGTGAGTGAGTGCTGTTCTTTTCTGGAAAATGATTTCTGAAAAAGATTTGTGTGAACTCTGGGCTGTTCGTCTGTCAGGTTGCGTATTAATCTGTTACACTCCTCCGTCAGGTGGGCGTGGTGCAGTGTCAACACACGCTCTGTCTTCATGTCCCACCCATCCAACAGCTTCCTGCTTGGACAGGATGTTTATGCTTTAGCTCCATTTCTGGATCTGCTCAATCACCGGCCTGACGTGCAGGTAAACTGCGGTAAACACATAAACACTTAACTATATGAAAAAGCCCTCTGGAGATCCTGTAGATGCTGTGTATCACTGAGCGTGTATTTAATTCATAAATATAGAATATTTGACTTATTTTGCTCCCCAAGTTGAGTGTTATCTGATTGGACAGTTGGATGGATGGGAAAAAAAATCATAAAGCACTCACAAATCTCATCTCGTTCTCTCTCCAGGTAAAAGCTAGTTTCAACGATGTGACAAGATGTTATGAAATAAGGAGCGTCTCCGGGACACTCTGCTACCAGCAGGCCTTCATTAACTACGGTTCCCATGATAACCAGCGCCTGATGCTGGAGTACGGATTTGTCTCCCCCTGCAACCCCCACAGCGTGGTCTATGTGGATACAGGTGAACTGCAGTAGGAAATAGAAAGATACTCTTTGCCTATGAAGCATCTCCAGATTTACCGGAAGGTGAATTAACGTCTGTTGTCTCAGTTTACGTTGCTACAGTTGAAGCTCGTGGTATACTGTCTGTATATCTACATTTATTTGAGTCAAATAGAAATTTTTTATAATTTCAACATAAAGAGGAGGTATTGTTTCTAATATTTCATAATAATCAATATGTTTATTAGGGATGCACCAATACCACTTTTTTGAAACAAGTACTTACATTTGGGCACTTACTGGTAATGAGTACCAATGTGAGTACTACAATAATAGTTCTAACAATGACAATCAAATTAAACGTTGCTAATGTGCTAATGTTGTTGTAAAAGTTGCTTAAAATATCTGCTGACATTGCTTCTTCTCCATCCATAAATGGAGCCAGCTATGAGGCCACTGAGGTCCAGACCTCGGTAATTAGATCCAAAAAACAAAATTGAATATAACAAATTGCTGCTATATTAGTTTATAATCTTCTTATAATCTTTTTTTTTTTTAAGTGCATAGCAGCTGAACAGCTGTGTGCGCAATTCGTTGTATGTGACATACATGTAACGAGTTGCACATGTCCACTACAATCCTGTCATTCTGTTGGTGGGCGAGGGCGGTGTAACACGCAACACTTACCACAAGATCAGCCAAGAATGTTTGTTCCAAGATCTGAGCTCACAGATTATTAATCTACATGCATGTGGCCCAGTTACAGCAACAGCTTTACATAGCAACCTACCTTACTGCAGTCACACTGTCTGTTATCTGCTACCCCGACAGTGATACACTCACGATGTTCATGACCATGAAGGGTCGCATCAGTATGAGAGAGAAGTCAGGAGTAGTTTTATGATTACGAGTACATGAGCACAGTATCGGACCAGGTATCGGTGCAGCCCTAATGTTCGTGTGTCGCTGTGGTCCCTCAGGTGTCCTCACTGATGTTTTAAGAGGTGACAGGAGTTTGGATCAGAAGATCAAGTTTCTCAGAGAGAACAATTTCCTTCAGTAAGACATTTGCATTGTCATTGTTCCTTTCATGCATTAAATAGATTGTCTCTAAATACTGGTATATTAGATACAACTAGTTATTATTATTACATTGTTATCGAGGAAGCAGGAGGGGTGATGAAGGCATAGCTAATTTTTATTTTATTGTATTCTAAAATAGATTAATGGACACATCCAAATATATTTCTGCATTGCACTGAGATTAATTCTAACTAAAATAAGTCTAGAATCTGACGCATAAATTCTCCATCTTTTTTAATCTCATTGCTGTTTTTCTTCCTTCCTGTCAGTAATCTCACCGTGTCCAGTGAAGGTCCCAGTTGGAGGCTGCTGACGGCTCTCAGACTGTTGTCGCTGCCACAAACACTGTAGTAAGACCACACACACACACACATTAAAAGCTCCACTTGCTCTAAAATCAACTTTTCTGTCCTTTTGAATTGGCCAGTTTATCAGTGTTGACAGCGTAATTGGATATAAATGATTTATTAGATGTGTGTTCATTTTACAGTCACCAGTGGAAGGCAGTGTTGCTCGGCCAGGTGGTGTGTGAAGACAGAGAGGAGTGGAGCATCCAGACGGCTAAGACTCTCTGTCAGCGACTACTACAAGACACACACACAGCTCTGGAGAAGGTGTGCGTTCACACACACACACACACACACACACACACACACACACACACACACACACACACACACACACACACACACACACACACACACACACACACACACACACACACACACACACACACACACACACACACACACACACACACACACACACACACACACACACACTCTCCACCAAGTATCGACTCACTTTCCACTGATTGCAACAGTGATTTATTTATTTTTTTTTTTACACGCTGTGTGTTAGATCTCCCACCTCTTGCAGCAGTGTGACCAGCCAGTCAGGGAGCAGCTACATGTGGCCATGTCACTGCGACAGGAGGAGAGGTGCATCCTGGGAAGCTGTCTTGAGGCACTGGGAGACAAGCTGAGACAACCAGAAAAACTGTCGTCAAGTCAAAGAGACGCAAGCTGACATCTGATGAGGCTGAACTGGTGATGCTGGACCTTCTCCATGTTCCTGTTCTGCTTGTCCACCAGTGCGGCTGACAGCAGGATTGCCAGATGTTCTGTAACCACAGGGTCACAGGTTTGATTCCAGGTGTGCTGAAAGAGGGTCTGTCCTGTTCTGATGGTCCTGGGCAAGACGGCGAGGCTCTCATCAGCACCATCATTTGAGCCAAGAAAAGGTCAAAGATACAGTGCACTAAAATGACTGTAAGCACAGTATTCTCATAACCTTCTGGACTCATGTAAGAGAGAACTGTGAGGAAAACAACTCATTAGAACCGGCAGGGACGAATGAGTCAATAAGGACGGACAAATCCTCTTAGTCTTATTTTATTTCCTGATTAGACAAAGACAAAAACTGCAACATTACACAACATGTTTTATGGAAACCACATGAATTGCAATTCCTGGTTGGACTGCAATTTGGATGTTTTATAAGCAAAACATAAAATGTTGAAAAGATCAAGAATTGCAGTCATACTTTTTTTTTTAAAAATGTGAATTTACTGGGTCAAATGAAACTTTGTGGGTTTTCAAAGAAACATAAGCTACATTCACACTGTAAGCCTTGGCGTTCAATTCTGTTTGGCTGTTTGTTTGTTAAACGTGGCCCATATCAGATTTCAGTGTGAACAGGTCCTGAAGTGACCCGCCTGGCAGAGTTCCATAGAGCTCACTGGAATTCTGATAAGACTGTTAACACTGCAAAATAACAGACCTGTATCTGATTTGGACAACATATGAGAGTGAAACAAATCAGAATTTGTTCACGCTGAAAAAAAACAAGAAAAAACAGATCTGAGTCACATAAAAAGAAAATCTGATTTGGGTCCCTTGTGCCTGCAGTATGAATGCAGCCGTAAAGTAACAAAGACCAGACAGCCTTTACTGTGGGTGGCAGTCACATAGAATGAAGCCACATGAAATCATACTCATATTCAGAAGTTAGATATAAAATTTCAAAACTGTGTCTGAATGTGGTGAGAGCTGTCTGTGTGGAGGAAACACTCTTTCCTCAGAACCAGAAGAAAATTGATTCTTCCCGCAGCTTAAAGTCAAGCAGGTTAAGCTGGAGCTGCAGGCTCTAACCTCAGGTGTTAATATGAGTGTGTTCCTCTCTGTTGGCTCAGAAACAGGTTCATCATGTCTTCCTGCTTCTATTAATGTCTCAGTGCTTTGGTCAGAGTTGAACAATCGCCTTTTTCTTCTGGTGACGCTGGACGGTCTCCATGGCAACTGTGGCTTCATAGAGAGGGACCGGCTCCTCAGGCTGAGGTCTGCAGAGACAGATTGAAACCAGACAGACCAATAGATTACGTTTGATTTAGTTATATTCCTCTACTTATTTGGTGCAGTTTTGGTGGAGTTAATATTACTGAAACAAGTAAGAAATTCTACAGTGACAAATGTATGTAATGATCCCAAATCTATATCAAGGAACCACTTCTAGATGAGTATGTAGGACCAAATTGGTCCAGTAGGTGTCACCTCATTAATATTATAATTAATAAAGGTAGAAACTTTCCCACAGGAAACAGGTGCTGCTGGACAGAGGACACTAGGCCACACTGCAGGTGGACTGTGTTGTTGTATTAGTGGACTCTTTGGCTATATGGAGATTTATGGACAATAGTTATGGAGTCTTACAGTAATGCATTGTTTGACCTTACTGGGTGTCTGTGTTTGAGTTACCTGAGTACTCCAGTTGACATCTTCTCCACAATGTCCTTCAGAATATCTGACAGGGCTGTTAAGGAGGGAGTGTGTGTGTGTGTGCCTGATCATGTGCATATGTTTTATATTACACAGTGTGAGTACAGGATACGGAGGTATCTTCCTTGCTGCGCTGACGAAGCCATCCAGACTTCTTGGTTGAGGAAAGTCACAGAGGCTGATTTTAAGTGCAGCAGTCTGCAATCTGGAGGATCCAGCTGTAAAGATACAAAAATATATTATGTGATATATATCCTGTTCATCTTTTAACTGTATGATGCAGCTTTTATGTGTGACGCTGACTCACCTGCAGGTCTTTATGGGATGTGACCCAGTGACCCCCCCACTCCCAGCACGCTGATGATGTCATGTTTGTGTGGGAGGAGCTTCGTGTCCTCTGACTCCTCCTCGTGTAGACGCACTACACACAAACACACAGCGATATGTTCTGGAGTCATGATGCTGAGTTCAAGGTTGTGTAGTTGAAATCTTAAGAGAATCTGGGATGATCTACAGGACAAGTCAGAAGCCCGAGAGCACTCTGTGTCCATTTTTACAATCCCACACACATTCATCAGTGTGAATCAGACACAAATGTGTTTACCTCCAGAGTCTATGACTATATCCACTCCCAGTCCTCCTGTCTCCTCTAAAACCACCGGCAGCAGGTCTGATGAGCCGTTATACACCGGAATAACCTTGGCTTTACACACAAAGACACAGCAACATGGTATCATGAGTCTGTCTGGTCTATAATACATTTGACAAGTGAACCAGTCTCAATGCCAGTTTGCAACTCTACTCCTCTCAGTACAAATATATTGTTGCAGTGGCTGCAGTTTTGATATTATCCACATGGTGGCAGCAGCTTTTACACCAAGAATTTGGTTTTTCAAATTCAACCTCCCTTTTAAAACATTTGCTTAAGGACTTCTTTCTTTGAGTTACATGACTCAAATGAATGTTATCTCTGTGACTAAAATTTAGTAGGAAAACAAACGCCTACAGCTCATATGGGTAGATCCAACAGCTATTTACTGCAGGTGTGAGACGACAAGCAAGGAACAAAGCATGTAAGTCAGTTAGAAAGGCAGAAAGAAAAGATCTCACCTACTAAAGGATCCTGAACACCTGAGGAGAATATGAGGGGGAGGCAAGAAAAGGAGAAAAGAACAGAAGAAGACAGGAAAAATTAGCTAAGATAAAAAAAAGAAAGGGTGGAGGAGCAAAAGAGCATGAAAAGAAGATGAAAAGAATTGTTGATTTAGCAGAAAATGAATTTGAAAACATTGTACAGACACTGTACATTATTGACACTTATGGATTTTTTTATAAGCTTTTAAAAATTAAACTACAGACATCCCAAAGTTGGCCTGTACATGCCTACGCTGGGTCGAAGCTGCTCCAGGAATGTGTGCTTTTGCGGCGAGTGTGACGTCGTCAGAACCTTCACTCCATGGTAACAAGCCAACTGGATGCACATGAGCCCGAAAGACTGAGGACGGAGGAGGAGACAGGAACATCACGCATAGATTCATTTTCATACAAAGCTGAAATATTTGTTTGTCTTAATAAGATAGTTTTAAAAGTAGAGAACGATATGAAACAAGACCGTCCTGGATGAAGGTTGCAGTTACATGGTGAGTGTGTTTCACCGCTATGCCACCAAGACGTCAAATTATTATTATTTTTTTTTTTTTTTTTTTTACATACGCTGGCTCCGTCCATGACCAGGAGAGTGTGTCCGGCTGCCATGCGAGCGTGTGTGTGTAGAGCAGTGTAAGCACAGAGGCCGTCACGCAACGCTCCCGCAACACACACCGAGCTGAGCTTCTCTGGCTTCTGAACTGGAGAACAGAAACAGAAACACGTTTTATCAGTTTTACAGATTTCATTATGCCCTGATGACCTCACAATTTCAAGCTTTGAGGGAGCTGATTTCAGATGATTTTCCAACCTCCTACAAGGACAGAGTGTTCTCTCCGTTCTCGTGCAAGGCTTGAAAATGAGTTCAGACAGAAAGTACATGTGACAGAGGGGCACTTAAGGTGCTTTTACACTATTCTTCTTTTTTCTGTCAGACTGCCAGCGCCACGTAATTTTAGTTTTTGAAGGTGCAGATAACAGAGAAGAGTCATTTCAGAAAACCACAGTGCCTGCTGTGTGTCAGGGCAGAGTGGAGAGAACAGTTTGACCTTTTACATGAGGGGAAGTGACCTTGACTGACTCACACAGACCATAGAGCAGGATGTTATTGAGTCAAGGAATAAAGATGAAAATGACTTTTATTAGAAAACAATACTATGTGTGGGCCGACTGCGTTATAAGAACATGTGTTTGATGACAATGGAAGCTGATCGCTGGGGGAAAAAAGTGTATATTATGAGTGAGTGAGGGTGTGTGTGTGTGTGAGGGTGAACATTATACTACCTAAATAGTGTTCATCTATGTCAATGACATCACAGAGTCCAGAGCAGGGAGAGTCCAAAGGCAGAATACCTGGAAAAGGAGGACAGTCTTCTTAACATATACATATAACATGTTATGAGTAAAGGTTAGGGACAGACCGATTAAATAATCGGATTTTCAGCATATTTCTGATTATCTGAATTGTTTATTTAATCCATTTTCCAATAATAAGAATTATTTTAAAATGTACTACTGTGGCTGTTTTAACCGCCACTCTGTCTGCAGCCACTACTTTGTAGTCTCACTCAATGTCCCGCCCACAGCACTAAGTACAAGTGCCTCAAAATTGTACTTAGGTACAGTACTTGAGTAAATGTACTTAGTTACACTACACTCTAAATTTTGACACTAATGACATGCGAATGTACACTGGTTCCAAATCAGGGCTGCGCGATATGGTGAAAAACATCATTTTGTGATTATTCCGACGGATGCTGTGATTGTGATAGGATTCATCATTAATGTGGGAATCACTATTTATTTTTGCACCAAAAAAAACAACAATTAAAAGCACGATTATGTAGAATTTCTGGGTGTGAGTACCAATGTGTCTGTCAATCTTAAGATTTGTAGACCTCTGCAGCACTACAGTACTACATTATAATGCTGTTTGGTCACATATTTTACCTTAATCAAAACATTGCAGCTTCTGTGATATGCATATTGCATATTGCACATGGCCATATTGCAATTTCAAATATATTTTGATTAGTGTGCAGCCCTATTCCAAATATTGGTTTCTTTGATTACTAATAATTGGTTATCTGTATCAGCTTTGAAAAAACATAGTCGATACCTAATAAGGGAAATATGGACACCAATAATACTGTAATTACACATGTTACAATATGAAATATGCATTTAAAATCCTGAGATAGAAAGGCAAACTCATATTAGTCCTATGAGTCAAGAGGACTTTTTTTGTTTAGCAAAAATATAATCTAACAATGTAAAATGAAGTTATTCATTTGGATGTGAGAGCTGGGACTTACAATCTAGATTTGGAAATGTTTTCACAATACAATGACATGAAGAGGAAACAAATGACCCAGCTCTAGTTCTAGTGATTAGTTATGAAATATGAACACATTTTCAGAATGATGCACCCCTAAATAACAACCCTTATCCCACAAATTCCAGTTGTGGTCTCCAGTGTGCACACAGTTAATATATCTTCTATCTTTCACAAACTTATCGTAGTCAGAGGGCATCTCCTAGATCAGATTAAAAAAGAAAGCCTACCTACAACCTCATCCTCTGGCTGGAAGAAAGACACCTTGTCGCCCACTGCAGGAAAAAAACACAAACACACTGGTTAAACTGGTGCTGACTAAGGTCTAATCACACTAATTGCATGTAGTCCTTTTAAACGAGTGTAAACTGTGTGTGTTTACAACCTTGCAGGACGACCCCAGCCACCTCTCTGCCAACAGGAATTAAGTCTTTCTGGATCCCCACGTCACCAAGCAACTGGAGCAGAGGACAGATGAGCAGAGAGAGTCAGACAGTGCAGGCCTGAGGCTGGACGTAGGGACACACAGTATATGTCTACAATGATGATTTTAAAATGCATCAACCATTACAGCTTTCAATAATGCACTTACAAGTTCCATTTAAGTGATTGTAAAATATGAATCAAAAGTTAAAAGTTAACTTTGAGTGGTTGAACATCTTTGATTTAATTAGACTTTTCCCTATTATCTTGTATTTAACTATTTATTGCTGTTGCAATGGCTCTTGTTATCCCTTTTAGGATATGTGAACAGTTTATCTAGAATACAGTTTTGCACCATGTATTTGTATTAGTAGCTTTCTTTTTTGTACTCATAATTTTATTACTCAGAGTGTAATATGTCCGTTATCATGTGTCCAGAGTGCACAGCTGGATCCTGTACATGAAAAGGTTGATTAATAGGTGACTCTTGAATACAAGCAACAAAAGAAAGTGAAGATTTTCCTATTTTGTCCTGGACTGCAACTCCCTGTTCTTCTGTCCGATTATTTTCCAATACGTTACCAGCTGTGTGCTCGCATCAATTTTGACATTGTGTTTGACTGAAGTACCTTGAGGTCCAGGGCGCTGAGTCCACATGCCTTTACCTGAACTCTAACCAGGTGGCTGCCCAAAACATCTGGAAGACTCTGGAGGGAAGCAAATAGACACAAACTGTCACACAGAGAGCCATAGACACAGACACTTAAAACATTTTGCATCCTAACTAACACACAGACTTTTAGATGTCTGAATAAAGAAACAGGCACAAAGACAGTAAGGTATATACTGTGGCAATCAGCACCTTCCCGTCCTAATACACTTCCTATATTATTATTATACCAATTAGTGACTGATGTGATCAAGATTTCTGGATTCTGGAAAATGACAATCTATACATCACTAATCTAACCCATGCTGATTCTTTCTCAGATTCCCAATGTGCTAGGCTCAGATGTGGGTTTTTGAAGTTGTGTTAAGATGCTGGATAAATCTCCTCTGTGCTACACTCAGTGTGCAGCAGTGATGTCTGCAGGTGGGGACATCATAATAATGGTTTATAATGACAGTCAGACCCTGAAAGACCAGAACCACGCTCACCGTTTCCTGGATAACGAACTTGGGCTCAGCATCAGTCACCCCGGCTCGGCAGTACAAACCTTTCATACTTCAGTTAATGCAGAGAGGAAGCTACAAGAGGCTAAGATATTAAACTCCTTTTTCCCTCTCTCTAGTAAAACCACCAACTCTGCTGCTACACTGACTAGCTTGAGTCAGCTGACCTCTTCCTCTTCTTCTTCTGGGTTTACAATTTGTGCTTGTGCTGTTAATGGTATCACAACGGCGCCCTCTACCGGACGTTATGGATGGCCACCTTTAAAGTACCACACTCACTTACTTGAGCAAAATAACCCTTCACAAAGTCATTTACGGTCAGACTGACCTGTGAAGAGAGGGGAGGTCAAGTTTAAACATCAACTATCTCCCAGAATTTAAAATCATATTAACATTGATCTCATTCACCATCTCACCAGCCCAGTATGTGTGCAACTATTATATTAGCAATCAATCAATCAATCAATCAATCAAGACATGACCACACAAGTAAAGTCTTCAATTAGGTGTTTTATTTCAGAGCTTTCCTTCTGTTTGTCTAATGAGTGCAATGGCGTTATTTTCTAAGTAGGTTTTAATGTGTTTGTGAAGGCCTATTCACTGCCATCTGTCTGCTGTTGTGTCGAAACACTAGTGTTCACTGTGCTGGATTATATCACTCTGTTTTATGTCATTTTATTTATCTGTCACGTGTCTTGCATTGTGCACTTTCTCAGTGTCAGTCTCTCTGTCCCGATCCTCATAATTCTGCTATAACTTCCTCCAGAGAAAGATTATTCTGATATAAATCTGTTAGTTAAATTGTGACTTTTTCTTTTCCCATTCTAACAGACAAGCTCGTTGTTCTTGTTGTTGTTTTTAGATATATTTCAATGAACCAAACAGTTTTTGGTTTTCCTTAATAAACGGCAGCCGACAGGAGCGCGACTAATCCTTTTACTTCACACCGTCGATCCAGACGAGCGGAGGGCTTGTAGGTTCTCGCGAGGTGGCGTCAAAGTCCATATCGTTACTATGACATCTCGCGATAGGTCAGGGACGTTACCCCATTTTCCAGCTGTCCCTCAATCGGTCGGGATTTCAGAACCACAGGAGAATCGCCGGAAAGGGCTTGGTGATAAAACACCACATTTGGGGAGAAGATACCACATTATATGGTTACATAAAAACGTAACGAGCTACTTTACCCAGTATTCCGCGATGGAGACTGAACTATGAGGTAAGAGCAGAGTGTAGTCTGTGTGCTGTGGAAGAATGTCCCTGAGCGGGCTGACGGGCTGACGTTAGCTCCTCACTGCTTAGCCTGCTGGCTAGCTGCATTGATATACCGCTACGTTAGCGCGCCTGGTGGGTCACTTTTCACCGCTGTATCTTACTAACGTCAGCCTCTCAGTGTCACATTAACCAGCCCGGGAAGTGTTTAATATGTGTCTGTGTAACAAGACCGGGGCGACATGGCATTGGAAGACGATGCAATCCAGCGGCTACTAACAGCTAGCCAGTATGCTAATGTGAAATCACTGCATCTGCCTTTCCAGACTGGGACCCAACGTCAACACTGACTGGTGTTACTGGTGGTTAACCTTAGCCTCGCTAGCAGCCGGGTCGGCTCAGAGAAGAAGGCGATTGAAACATGGTTGGTGACAGTGCTGGGGGCTGACAGCGACTTTCAGGGTGGAGGTTTTCTCCGTAGCGTTTGCTAACATTAATCCTGATGTTGATCACAGCTGCAGTGAAAGCAGCCCTCTGAGCACCCCGTTATATGTCTGACATCTTACAGTGCACCTCACCGTGGGCGAGCCCGGGGAGATAATAATGCAGGAAGTGAGAGTGAATTGACAAATAGACCTTTCCTGTTACTGTAAACGCTGCTCTCCAGAGAAGTGAGCACACTCATCCTGCATTAGGGGATGTGTAACTTCAGCGTTTCGATTGACCAGGCGTTAACGAGCCCCATCGGCGAGGACTGGAGGTTCCCATGGCAACGTGGATGCTGACAGGTCCTGTTAAAGGTGGGAGGATTGTAGATGAAAACACCACGTCTAGGGAGTTAAAGTGCATACTGGCCTCTTGTTTAAAAGGCTCAATGATTCCTTTGATCCAGCACTAATATCTATTCACATCAACAATGATTCGTATACTTTAAAAAAAACTCCAAGAAATGGCTTCTGGAGGACAAATCTACATTTGCATGCTGTGCCTGTTTTCAGTGAGCGCCTCCTGTAGACAGCACACCCACAAATAATAACAGCTGTCTTGCAGGAGACTGGCAAAATGAAGCATAACTTACCCATTGCGTGTTCTGTAAAGAGTTAGAGATGACACTGTTCATTAATTGTTACAGTTTTATAAATCAAAAATGTTCTATGGTTAAAGGACCTCAAATATGAAGACTTACTGCGATGTACTACTCTGTGTTTTATATCGGAATAAACTGAATCTATCTTTGGGATTGTGGATCAGACAAAACAAGACTTTGCAAGTCTGGTCTCTCAAAACTTGCGACAGGCATTTTTTACTTTTCTTTTTACAATCAGTAATGAAAAGGAAACCTAACACTGTCCTCATGCCAAGACCGGTCAAAGTATTGTAGAGTAAAGTTTCTGTGAAATCTGTAGTCTGTCAGCGGTCTCATTATCATGTAACAAGCAGTGAGCGTAGTTTGCACTGTCTCTGTAATACAGACTAAGAGTGGGGGGGCATTACCATTATTTTGGATGTTTGCTGGAGTGGAGGGCAGTATGTTACACCTGGCCTTCTTGTGCCTAGCAGCCTCATCAGCTTTTGTTGCGATACAGAACTGCTTGAACTATACGAAGGGTTGTATAGGTGCATAACCCTCTGCATCTGAATGTCACTTCAGATCATTTGTGAGCCAGCATTGCTTAAATTGATCTAGGTATGCATTTGCCAATGTTTGTAGGTTTCATACAAGTAGGAAATAACACCAATTGTGTTCTTGAAGCTATAAATCAGAAACACATAACACAGTTTGTTCCAACATATGCCGGGGCTGCATTCAACATGCAACAATTCCAAACTGCTTCAAAGGCCAGAATTCAAAATATTATCCATCAGCCACAAAAAAAAAGTGTTGCAATATTTCAAACAGGTTTAAACAAGCCAGATGGAACAGGAAGCCAACTCGTGTGGTAGATTCTTTTTAATCTATCACACATTCACATTTTGTAGCCACACCATAACCTGGAACTTAAAAGCTCTCTTTATATATAAAGCCAGTCATACCATTTTGACGAGGAATACCATTTGGTAATGTAACGTAAGGGTCACATGGCTAACATGACTGTAAAGCCCCTACTCAGCCGGCTCACACGTGTTTTCACTTATTTTCCCTTAATAGACCAACTGTCAGTCCACCTGTTTGTTCACAGCTGTACAAATATGTACAGTATTCTCACATTATGCAAGTAATTCCTGTTTTATTTTGTGTTGATTGTTGAAGGACAGCTCTCCACAAGAGTCAGCGCTAACAGCAGTCTTTTGGGATAATAAAGTGGTTCTGAGGCCTGCCTTCACCCTTGACTTTAAACGATAACGTGTATCATGAATGGAATGGTTACTACTGCGGACCTGTTCAAGGTTAAACAACAAGTCACAGGGTGAGTTTATGCTGTACTGATATTTTCTTTGAGCAAGAAAGCGACTTTGTGACCCTAAAATGTCCCAGTGCCGTGCTTCAGTCAAGCATCCTACCATCCAAGGCATTTTGCTCCTGCTATCAGTTTTTACATTGTGACAGTGCTAACACGAGCTAGCTGTGGAGGCTATGGGAGGGATGGGAGCAGGGAGCCTGAGGGAAGGATGGGAGTCATACAAGAGGAGCTGATGGAGAGACTGCAGTAGTAATCCTGTGTGTGCGTGCAGAGTGGGTGGGTGTCCTGTCACCTCTCAGGCCTCACCACTTGACATCTGTGTGATAAGAATGTGTTTGGAGAGAGAGAGAGGCAGAGCTTAGGGTCAGTGTCAGCGGCTGTGTTGATAGCTACTGTTTCTTTAGTGTGTGAGTGAAAAAGCGGGGAGACTCTGGAGTGTGTGTGTTGGAGGCAGAGGGTGTGTGTTAAATGAAAATGTGTGTGTGTGTGTGTGCGTGTGTGTGGGAGTACATAGAGTGAGAATGCTGATGTGAAGAGGCTGCAGTTATTAATACCAACGGCATCATTGTTAAACCATCCACTAGGGATATATCGTCCGGACATCGGTATCAGCAAATAAGATGGCATCCACCGATATCAGCGGCTGATATTTATCTGTTGTGTCGCATCAGTTTTGCTCTGGCTGCATGTTGTGTTGGTTATTTCCAACTCAGATATTGGAGACGTGATCACCTCCGTTTTCCAGCACTGGAACAAATAGCATGCAAATACCGATGTGCTCCACGCCCCAGCTCAATGAGCGGCTATTCAGCTCTGCATCTCACATCTTGGATAAGAGAAGAGAACTGAGCTGCAACAAGGCAGAGACACTAGTCTTTGTAGATTTCCCAGCACAAAAGAATAAATAACAAAACAAAAAAAAGATCAACATTAGCTATAGGCCAGAGTTTACCAATCGGTGCATCTCTACCATCCGCACAAGTTGTAGTCAACAAATAAAATATATTTTCCTAAAATTAGGGTCAATTTTCATTATCATCTAATCCTTTGATTATATTTTCCAATCAATCAATTTGGTCTAAAAATTATAAAAATAATGTAGAACACCCTTCAGAATTAGAATTCAGAACAGTCACAAGTGATATATTTAATAACTTCACTTTTCTTTACAGTGATACTAAATGGTGGCAGTGGTGGCATTTAGATTCTACGCTCTAAATCAGTCAATAATCAATTTTCTGTCAATCAACTAATTGATTATTGACTCATCATTTCTGCTCCACTTGGTACTGAAACAATGGGGCGATCAGGTGAGTGAGGTTTGAGGGTTTTAGTCAGCACAGTGGACTAAATGAACAGCTATTGTGTGACGTCTCCTGCACTTCTGGGTCAATTCTAATGCTTGGTGTTTGGTGTTTGTTTTAATATTCCTGTAGCTAACCTGCCCAACAAATTTAAATGATGTCATATTATGTACAGTTAGGGCACAGTGGACATAGGCTTATAATAGAAGAGCCTCAAATATATTTCTCCTATGTAAAAGCAAAATGGAGTAAGCAATGGATGAAGAGACTGAAACAACCAAGATAAATCAGGCCTTCCATATTTATAAGAATAATTTGATCCCAATCTCACACTTCAGCCTTTAAAATTCTTCATCTTTTGCCACTTTAAAAAATGATGCCTAACCTCTTGAGAAATTTCTGATTTGATCCAGTTCTGATTCAGTGTCATATGAATGGGTTCCAGGATGAATCGTAGAGCAATTTGATACATCTCAAACCCCTGGTTTTCTTGCTATATATAAACCTGATGAAAAGGGCAGGCACATTTACTGTTGTTTGCACCAAGGCTCCCTATAACAGTGTGTTGTCTCTTGCTTGAGGGTTATGTGACATCAACCAGTTGTTTTTCCTTTAACTCCAGCTGAGAGTGTGCTATGGGGTTTTGTACCATAGTTGTGTAGCTGAAATATATAATCTTTGCATTACACGGTGTGTATAATGTATGGTCAGCTCCCTCCCTTTCCCCCCCTATATACCCCTAGATTAAGAAGTTTCACAATTGATCAAATAATCATTCTTGCCATTACCTCACCAAGAATTTCCTATGTGGAATGCAGCGTCAGCAGTGTGCTTGTGATTTTAAACATGCTGCATAAATTATTATGAAAGTATTTTACACTGCTCTGATTGATAGCAACATGTTCACAGATACACAGAGGGAGATCATTAACACTTTTTAAAAATCTAATTCACTACACTTTTTTCAGAGTAAGCAGGATATGAAATATAAAAGTATATTAGATTGTAATTACTTCAAGTATCCTACATTGTGACATCTGGTGGACAAAGCATCAGTTGGTGTGCAGTTGTTCAATATTAATTCATCGAAAATGGGAAAGAGGGATGTTGGAGGGCATCAGAAGAAAAATAAGGGGGAGGGACAGAGAGAAGAGAGACTGAACCCTAATCTCTATCATGTTATGAAGCTGCCTTTAGTGTGTGTGTGTGCGTGTGCGTGTGCGTGTGCGTGTGTGTGTGTGTGCGTGTGCGTGTGTGCGTGCGTGCGTGCGTGCGTGTGTGTGTGTCTGTGAGGGGCTTAAACTGGCATCTGCCACAAGCCTTGATGACAGACCAACACTCCAGTTACGTCCCAATGCTCTAATTATACAGACTAATCCCACAAATGCAACACATGTAAACAGGAAGAACAGAGCATAAAGCCACTAATACACACTGATGACAAAGGAAATGCAGATGCACGGTGGCTGCGGCAAACAACTTTAAATGTATACAGGAAGTTGACTTTTTATTGAAGTTTAAATTAAGTTTGCTGCTCATTTATAATGTCCAGACTTTTCTGTCCGATCAAAGACAGATATTTGCGTGATTAAAACATTTGAAAATGAACAGCAAATGAAAGGAACTGAAATAATGTTTGTACAAATGAGAGCTATTGATGCCCATTCTGAGTCCTGCAGCTCCACCGAGGCAGGGTCAGACCAAGATGTCATAGTGAACACAGGGACCACTGGCGAATTCTGGTCGCAACAAAGGACGTGAGCGTTCTTGCAGTTTGTTTGCTTGGCTCTGAGGTATTGTGGTAAACTGCCCCTAGTAAACAAAAGTCACTTTGATTCACAAGCAGCTTATTTGCTGGACGGAGTTTTGGCCTGACATCTGACCGATTCTGGCAGCATGAGAAGTAGAAGTAAGTCTTTTCCACTTCCTGTTACTTCACCTTGGGATAACACTGTGCTCTCTGCTTCAAATTAACTCCTTGGTGTCCGTTCTGGTCAAGAATACATGAACAATATAAGCCTTAAAATGCCTAAACCAGTGTAAGCTTTTTTCTGTTGTCAGTTCAGTTTGTATTCTCACTAACAGTCATGTGTGGTTGCTGTATTGGTGCCTGAGTAAAGTGTGACAGAATTTGCTTTAATAAAAAAAAAGTTTCACATAGTTGAGCAGCAGTCCCTTGTTTAGAGCTGGCCAACAGTCTACTGTAGTTGCTCAACTGCTTCAATATTTTCTCAGTGGCAGCCGTGGAAGTGTGTCTCAGTGTGTGTTTGTGTAGGGTGGGCTTTGTTCGTCTGACCTAGTTACGCTGGTTACTTTGTCCTCCCGCTCTGATGATAATGAGACACACACACACACACACACACACACACACACCCTTCAATAGGCCAAGGACAATTCTCTACTGAATAAATTGTCTCAGTGAAAATGTCCACAGCAATGTCTGAGTAACTGTTTCTGGAAAGAGACTTTGGAGTTGAGTATTTTGGATGATTTGAGCACTATGGACTAAATTCCAACCCCCCCTCCTCCATCATATTGTGCTGGTGGCCAAAGTCTCGGAAGAGAATATCTTTGAATGTCATCAAAGAGGCTAACACTCCATGCCAAGATACCACACACACAACGTGATTTAGGCGGACTGACCCTTTAACTGGGTTTCTCCTCATCCCTTAATAAGAAAAGCAGATTTCTGTAAACACGACAGTAGGGGGAAAACTCAGCAACCCATGCATACACTCACACACCCTCATTAGGTCCTTGTCTGTTGCAATGTGTGTCAGATTATTATTATGGGTTGTCTGCTGGCCACAGGGACACAGGAGGGAGGCAGGTCTGGATCTGATTAACATACCTCTACTGGGCCAGAGGTATGACACGCACACACGGGTGAGGGTGTAGGGCACTGCTTTATTTAATGTGTACATGTAATTCAGACATAAACCTTGAATACCATGTTTTGAACATCTAGAAGAATTTCTTGAAAAATGTTATGTAAAATATTCAGTGAAGGTTTTGTATTTTTCTGTCACACTATAATATTGGCAATCACAAGACTAAACTCCATTAAAAGTAAATAAAAATCTGTTTTTTTTATGATTGCAGCTCAATTTGGACTATGTTTTGTATCATTTTGTTAACGTTTTCAGTAAAACCCATCATCTTAAAAACACAAACTCACTGTTTCTGAAGTGTCTTTTAGTAAGTAACTTTCCACTTTGTATCGCTGAAAGAAAACACCGACTTTAAAAAGACTCCAGTGGAGCTTTCTACAGGCCAACAGTAGAAAACTGGTGTTCACTGTGGTCAGCTCCCAAGTGGGAATGTGAGTGTGAAGCAAGTATGCTCAGGCAGCCGGCCCTGCATAAATAAAGGTTTGCTGCCCTGTTGACATGCATTAGCATGGCTGACATGCCCCCCCTCCTCCCTGTGGACTGGCACTAGTCTGAACAGCAGATTGATGCAGAGTTCTTAAATATGTTTTGTTTAGACTAATCTGAAATGTGGGATTTATAAACATGCTAGGTCCCTTGAGGAGAACTACTGTGTTTATGTGCTTTGTGTTTTTGTAAGTCTTTAAGACACAGGGACCATAATGGCTCACTGGGCTGCAGACCAAATAGAAAGCCACAACTTCAGCATTGAAGGACAGCAGAGTGGAAAATGAACTCTAGAAAATCATTTCCCCTCACTCAGTTTGTCAGCTGTATCAGCACCTTTGGCAGGTGCCCGGACATTATTTGGTTCTTTTATTGTGCTGTTAGTTGGATTGCTGAGCTTGGTGACAAAAGCTAGTCTCTTCACTATGAAAGCATTTTTGTGGTGGTTACATTACAAAAGAATTTGTTATGCTCCTGCATTATTGAGCAGTTGAATACTCATTGAGGTGGGATGAGACTGATAAACACTTCATCTGTTTTTCTAAATGTGTTGTTTCAGGTGTTGTGTAGTGCAGAAGACTGAGTGAACCATGGCACAGTTCCCCACCACATTCACAGGTCAGTATGTGTGTGTGTGACTGCAATCAAAGAGAGAGTCTTGTGAGTGCCAAGATGGCAGCACGTTGCCCATTAACCCATCATAATATTCCATCAGTGGATCAGAGGATGAGCCACAGCTTTCATTAATCCACTTTCATTATCCATGACCACTTTTACATCCACGTCTCCCCCCAAGTTTGTTTATCAATTTAATTGTCAAGTACATTGAATTATTTCAGGAGAGAGGCAGAGTGAAGTTACATTACAACAAGACAGAGCTGCAAACTTGCAGCATTAAAAGTATAATGCCGTAAAATCCCTAATTAGGTTACCAAAATATTACAAAATGTCTAATTTTACACAAGAGAACTATCAAAATAACACTTTCCAAAATGAAATCAGTGGTCAGTGCTTTCGAAGGGAGACTGGAAGCAGAAAGACAGATGGAGACAAAGGCGGACTGACTCCAACTGTTTAAAAAGCACACAGTGTGAGATTTGTCAGACTATACAGATTTGTAAGAACATATTGCATGCTTGCCTCTCTACTGAATGAGGAGCAGCCACTCAAACCATTGTTTATCAGTGGTACATAATAGAGGAAATGTCCCTGTTCAGCTATAAACACTGTGAATAGAGGCAGTATTGAACAGGTTTAGACAAAATTACTGTTTGGACGGTTACTGTGTCCACAAAATAGAAATTACAATAAAAAGCTCATTACTTACAGCTTTCTATGTGCTTTTTGTGCTTTTTTTGTGGCAGAAAGATGCAGGCTACATATGTAAAGACAACTGAATAAGCATTTTTTCCAACAATCATGAACAAGGGGAATAAAAGGAGATAATGTTTCTGTCAGCACTAACTGTTCTTGCATTAAACAATGAGTCAGCACAATTTACTAAAATTGTCAGTAAATGTAAATGGTACAGGAAGGAGTTGACAGTTGAAACTAAAGAGAACCAGTCCTCTGATTGGCTAGGTTTCTGACTAACTGATGTGGAATCTAATTTAATTTAAAGTACAATGAAGAAGAAGTTATTGCGTAAGGCCACTGTCACTGACTAATAAAGCTGACTTGAATTACCGGCTCTGGTTTCAATGCCAAAACAAATTCTTTATATTGTTACAGTTGGGGTAATGGTCACGTTATTGAATCATAGACTGTCTTGCCATGTACTGAGCTTGAGGAAAGACAACAGTCACCTGTCAGTCCCTCATCCATTCATCCTTATTATCTTTGTTCATCACTTTCTGAGTTGACACAATTAGTAGGAATCTTCTTACAGGAACTGAAACTCATGACTAACGCATTCTTCTCATACCTCCCTTTCTCCCACTGTCTGTGTCTTGGCCCTCAGGTTTGGCTTTTAACTCTGTAACTATGTGTGCGTTTGTTTTGTGGGTTAGGTCCAGATGTGTTTCTAATCTCAGTGGATGAGAGAGCCAAACATGATCAGCAGTTTCACAGCCTCTCTCCGACTGCCGGGGGTTACATCACAGGTAACAGTCTCTCTGTCTCATATCTACACACAATACACACCCTTTATAGTGGGCGGCAGGTAAGGTGAGATGAGGACACGAGCAAGGGCAGTGTCAATAAATGTCCTCAGTTCTTGGATGTATGTTCAGTTTAATGTTACAGTTCAACTTCAAATCTCAGTGTGCCTGGCAAATTCAGTATTTTCAGTCAGTCATTCAGCAAATCCATTATTGGAATTCAGCAGCCCAGTAAGAGCATCAAACATTTGAATTCATGCTGTTAAAACTCAAAGTGGCCTTTCTTTTTGGATCTGTCCTTCGATCTCACATCCTGTTTCTGTTTGTCTGTCAAGGCGACCAAGCCAGGAACTTCTTCCTTCAATCAGGACTGCCCGCCCCCATCCTGGCCCAAATCTGGTGAGTCACATAGCCAGGAAGTTACTACCAGCTGAAGATGATGAAGTTGCACTCTGTTTGGTATTAAAGTCTATTCAAACAATTCTTCTTCTAGCATTGCGTCATTGTTTCTACCTTTTTCACCTTTTAAGGGCTCTGGCTGATATGAACAGTGATGGTCGTATGGACATCCACGAGTTCTCCATCGCCATGAAACTCATCAAACTGAAACTCCAGGGTCACCCTTTGCCCCCCGCGCTTCCTCCCAGTATGAAACAACCCCCACTGCCTTTACCCCCACAGACCGGCTTCGGTAAGACAGAAAAAAAACAAAACAATGTAGTAGTGTGTGTGAAATAATTGTTTTATGTCAGTGTTTCTCAAACCTTTTACAACCTTTAGAAAATATTATGAATAAATATGACTGATAGTGATATACAGTAGCGTAGGCCGACCCTATTCAGCTACGGAAAGTTAAGACAAGAGGCAGATTTATTCACAGTGAGATTATATATTGTTGACAGTTGTTGAATCCTCAACAGAACCAGTTCAAGAACCAGATTTCAGATCCACATTTCTCTTCCTAGTAGTTCACTGTTTTTGAACCATTCAATTTACCCCTACTAACTATCTTGCCATTACGTTTTAGCTGGTAACTGTACGTATCCACGTTTCTAAAATGATCTGATGGACAAAAAATATCTCAGAGATTCCCCCATGTACTGCTAGAGGCAGCTTGTGCCATAGTTTGAGAACCAATATGTTTTTGTTTTGTTTTACGAGTAGCATAAAGGGAATTTCAGTATACAGCCCTGCATTGTAAATGATAATAAAATAAACTTGAATCCTTATGTTTATGGTGGCTGGCATTCTGTAAACCTGCTTTGTTTTTCTAACATTTGCCATTTAAGTTTTTATTGATTATTGTAAGACTAAATAATGACAATGATCATTTAAATTCCATTTGTCTTCTGTACTGGTTGTATTTTCTCTGTGATGGTTCACTGCTGATAAGTTCATACAGGAAACACAGTCGTTTGATTTAATAACAGATGTAATCTTTTGCTGTCGGTTCATGTGACTTTCTTAGTGTCTCGTTGGGTCTGAAAAAGGCAGTGCTAAAACTGTCCTAGTAAAACACTGTTTATGTGTATTTGATAAGGATGATTCCTTTTCCAAAGGTCGTTGAGGAGATGTTTGCTCACGCTCTTTCAGCCTATTGCACATTCAAGGCTGATCAATAAAGTTATAATGCAAACACAGTATAGAGTCATAATGTTCTTCTTCAACTTGCACTTTGGCTCTCACACCCCATCTACTAGTATGAATATATAATGTCCTATTTGGCCCTAAAGACATTTTGATAGTACTTCTCTCTGGTCTCTTTCTTTTATGCGCCGTGTGGCTATTGACAAATACATGTGTCTAATAATCTGTCTGTATATCTGTTCTCTAGGCATGCCCCCCATTGCTCCCATCCCACCTCCTCTTTCAGCCGTGCCTCCGCTCCCCCTGCCACCTCTCCCTGTCGGAGTGTCTCCCCCACTCGTCTCGTCTGCCCCGCCTCCCCTCCCCCAGCCCATTGCCAACGGGGCTCCTCCCACAGGCATGATGCAGCCCATCTCAGGCTTCTCCCACCCAGGTAACACACTGTAACACAGAGGATGGTGGTGTGTTGAAATGTTTATGTTCGACTGTAGGAATTATGGGTGTTCTAAGCTTCTGTTTACACATAATATACTTATTCATATTTAAATTTTTATGTCTGTATGAAGGTTGTACTCATCTGAGTAGCAGGTCACTGTTTTGTAGTGAAGTTAGAACTTTACAGAAGCGGTAACACATCTAGCTGTGAGCCAGGTATAGCAGCTTTGTTGACTGACTTTGAATTTATGATCACACTGTAAGAGAATTAGACAAAATGTCATGAAATTAAATGCTTGACAAAGTGTATATACTTCTTGAATATGAGTGAAGAAGCAAAGTATGTCACCCCCACAGACTTAAATTGTACTCGGGTCATTGTTTTATGTCTCTCTCAGCTCCCTCTGTCAACAAGTCTTCATCGTTTAATCGTTCCAGTACCAAGTTGCAGAAGGGGGCATCCTTGGAAACTGCTAGGTAGGCCACATATTCAGAAATGTTTGCTCCAATTTGCCTAATCTACGAAAATGAGAAAATGTTTTGTAAAATTTTTTTTTTTAATATAGTTTCCACTAATATTGTGACAAGCTGTTGGCTGTTGTTTCTCTTACTGAATGTGTCTTTTTGCCTTTTTGTAAGTTAATATAAACGTAGGCTGTGCACTTAAACCACTCAAGGAGGTTAGGAGCGCTTTGAGCGTGCATCTTACACTATGTCTGCTTATTTAAGTCACTTTACTCTGTTCCCAGTGTTCAGCCTCCCTCTGATTGGGCCGTTCCTCAGTCCTCCAGGCTGAAGTACAGACAGCTGTTTAACTCCCATGACAAGATGATGAGTGGACACCTCACAGGTACTCACACATACACAAACATGTAGTTAGTTGTTACTGATGTAAATTTCCTTTTTGCCACAGCTGTAAAAAAAAAAAAAAAAATGTCTTTCTCTACCTTCGATGTGTATCTGTGTTCCAGGTCCCCAGGCTCGCACTATCCTGATGCAGTCCAGTCTTCCTCAGGGTCAGCTGGCCACAATATGGTCAGTACATTCAAATTCAAACATTTGTTGCATACTAAGAAGGCATTAGTCTTTAAAATACAAAATGTGTCCATCTTTTTTTCCCTTTAGGAGTCTATCAGATATCGACCAGGATGGAAAGTTGACAGCTGAGGAGTTTATCTTAGCCATGCACCTCATAGATATGGCTATGTCAGGGTTACCGCTACCCCCTGTGTTACCACCAGATTACCTCCCACCCACTTTCAGGTAAATACTGTGACTAAATACCTCATTCACAGACTAGCTGACAGCAGTATGTTAGATTTGTGTAGTCATACAATAGTTGCAACACTTACCTACATTCATTTTAACGGCAGCTGATGTTGTTTTTTCATGTTTTACAAATAAACACAATAAACATGTATACAAACTATTTCTTATCCGTTACTGTTTATATTTTAAATTGTGAACATTACTGCAAGTAATAAAACATTGTCTAGTGACAATACTGACAGTTTATATTGATAATTTGTATTGTTTTCATGGTGTGTGTATGTGTCTTAAAGGCGTGTGCGTAGTGACAGTGTTCAGTCAGACCAGAAGAGCGTCCCGGAGGAGGCCGAGGAGGAGCTGGAGAGCAGCCAGGATAAAAAGCTTCCAGGTGATTGGTCCTGCACATGACATCATACTACTGGTCAAACTGGGGCTAGAACTGCCTTTATCCATGTTATCTTCAAGACTTCACTGTGATTTTTGATTTAAAAGAAACAGCTGTCCTCTTAATGTGGACAGCACTCCACTTTGCTTTTCAATCCAGCAGTCAAGCCATGTACAGTATATGTATGTCTTCTTAGTGCATAAGCAAAGCCAGAAACAAGGTGGCATGTTCGCCTTTCTTTCTACATATCTCATCTTTTCTTTTTCAATTGTAATCATAGTGTTTATAGTAACTCCCTTTGTATCACCACAGTGACGTTTGAGGATAAGAAGAGGGAGAACTTTGAGAGAGGAAACCTGGAGTTGGAGAAGAGACGTCAAGCCCTGCAGGAGCAGCAGAGGAAAGAGCAGGAGAGGCTGGCTACGCTGGAGAGAGAGGAACAGGAGAGGAAGGTAGACTATGTTAGCTATATTCAGTAGTAGTACACTAGGTGCTTTCAGAATTTGGATTGGTCATGGTTTATGGCTTTTATATAAGGCTGTGAAATATTTGCATTTATAATAGCCACTATGCTTTCACTGTAACAGCCACAATATCATATGTCTGTAAAATGTGTCAAGATAAGTAATATTTGAATCTTAGAGGTAAGGAAAATGTGTTTGAGTGACCCAGAACAAATAATAAACTTGTTTGTTTTGCCCGTTCAGTTTTGTATGCTCGTGTTTCAGGAGCGTGAGCGTATGGAGCAGGAGAGGAGACGACAGCACGAACTAGAAAAACAACTGGAGAAACAGAGAGAGCTGGAGAGGCAGAGAGAAGAGGAGAGACGCAAAGAGATAGAGAGGAGAGAGGTATGAAGGAGAAAAAATGATTACCAGCTATCTGCATTTTAATTGAAGAGTTATGGTTGAGCTGACGTTTAACTGCTGCAGACTTGTAATTACATCTACTGCAGGCAAACTTAGTGGCCTTTCACTGCTCACCACCTCCTCCTTTAAATCTTAACTCTTACAGTAAAGAGCCCAATTTACACACTTACAGCAGATGGCTTATTGTCTATAATGAAGTGTGTAATATTTCTTTATATGTAATATAATATCCAATCGTGTAGTTCTGAGCTGTTGTTTCATTGTGATAATAAACATAACTTGTGTGTGTGATTGTGTGTGTGTTTTGTCTCTTCCAGGCTGCTAAGCGTGAATTAGAGCGCCAGCGTCAGCTGGAGTGGGAGCGTCAACGTCGCCAGGAGCTTTTGACTCAAAGAAACCGGGAGCAGGAGAGTATAGTGTTGCTCAAAGCCAGAAAGAAGACCCTGGAGTTTGAACTGGAGGCTCTGGTAATCAAACATATGCACACACTTAGTCACATAATCAAACATGCTGTATACACGGAGGCAGTTATTAGCGACATCAAGTGAATGAGGAGAGGGAGTGCCAGTAGTGAGAAAGCCAGTGAATCATAAGTTAAACTCTTTTCAATTGTTCCACATCGGTTATATTCTAAATCCCAGATAGACACACCCACACTGTCACATCAGCCTGCGGCTAATTGCCTGATTTGGTCTGAATATGACCTTAGAGTCAAAGCAGATTGTTATAAGTTGCTGGTGAAATGCAAAGGGAGGCACAAGCTCAGGATGTCACCTGGCAACAGCACTGCTATCTTCTACAATAAAGACAAGGCCTCTGTGAGCTAACCAAGCTGTCTGTTAAGTTGACGATTTGAGCACAAGTATTAACAAAGTCACTGTGTTGTAGAGAGATGCTCCTCTGATTGATAGATGGAGCGTGGGTTTGTGTGACAATGGTGAACTTGAAAGCTCTTTCAAAGACAAACCAAAAGCGATGAACTAATACAAACAGGAAGCAACAAAACAGCTGTCAACTAACACTCCCTGTAACTTAATACTTTGTACCACAACAGATATGTGATAATAATACTCCTTTCCATCTCTCTTTCCCAATCTCTAGAATGATAAGAAGACCCAGTTGGAGGGCAAACTGAAGGATGTTCGGTTTCGTCTGTCAGCTCAGCGGAGAGAGGTGGAGCAGACCAATCAGACCAGAGAAACGCGCATTGCTGAAATCACCCTGCTGCAACAGCAGCTGCAGGTACGCAAAACAAATGACAATCATCAGCAAATAAACACAAAGGAGTCAGACAGACAGGTGTCACATTCATTTCTGCAATCATCAGTGATAATCCGATTTTTATTAAACTTGCATGGAAAAAAAGGGAAATTAAACGCAATGACTCATGAATATGTGATCATTGTTTCTGTTATTTTTCTCAATGTGACTACATGGTTGTCTGCAGGACTCCCAGCAGTGGTTGGGGAGGCTAATCCCTGATAAACAGAGTCTCAACGACCAGCTGAAACAGGTTCAACAGAACAGTCTGCACCGTGAGTACTTTGTAAACTAAACACACTTAAATGAATACGTCACATGATATATGCATATTCTTGCCATGATGTTAGCATTCTCGATTAGATTTATGGATGCACTTGAGTTGCATCGTGCTTTAGAATGGTGCAAGTTATCGTACTACATGTCTGACCTCTCCAGAGAAGCAATAATGAATGGCATATGGATTGGATTTCATCAAGTGTTTTGATGCACCTACTCCCTGACATAACTGAACTCTTTATTATATGAACCTAACCTGAAAGCACTAACCTGATCTCACGCTGTCTGTGTTTGTGAATTTAGGTGATAGTCTGTCGTCCCTGCAGAAGGCTGTGGAACAGAAGGAGACCAGCAGGCAGCAGCTCAGAGAACAGCTAGATGCTGTGGAGAGAGAAACGAGGGCCAAACTGCTGGAAATAGACGCTTTCAATACCCAGCTGAAGGTAAACAGCTAATAAACTTACACACTGATACAGTACACGAGGGAAAGGTCAGGTCTATACATGTATAAAAGTAAATACTTGGCCAACTAACTACATTATTGCCTTAATGAACTCATACATGCTGTCATCACACAGCACATCGAGTGTTTAAAGTAAAATATGAGCAGAAAACAGCTAACAGTTACCCAACAATAAATGTTATTTTTGGCTTGCTTGTTTGTATTGTATGTTGTTTTTTATCTGAAGGAAAGCACAAAGTAAAACTGAAATCTGTTGTAGGCCTTGACTTAGAAATGTTTTCAAATGAACTCTGAAAGTACCAAAACAACATTACTTAAATTACCCCGACTTGATACACAGTAGCAGATTTTTTTTAATGTTCATGGGACATAAAAAATAGAGTGGCATGTGCTAATGGGTTTAATAATTCTGAAACGATTAACTAGCTTGCTAACACAGTAATTGTTTTTTGCAAAATGAACCATTGTCCATATTCCAAACATTGGTATTGTAACTGTAGCTTTAAGTCCTGTCCTGTCCCGCCCCTCATAACCCCAGCCTCACTAGTTTAACATAGTCTCAATGTTAATGTTTATGGTGTGTTTAAAGTTGTCATATTTATATCTGACCACTGTATCTGTCTCTGTATTTATGTTGGTTGTCTTATGTATGTTAATGTGGATTGCTGTGTTTTTGGAGAGAGCTAGCTGTGCACAGGAACAGTGAGTCGCTTCATGGAGCTTTAACCAACATTTGCTAGTGAGAGAGGAAGATGGAGGGGTTTTATTCTTAAGCAGTCTGTTTATGTCTCCTAGACCACCTTTTGTCCCTGTTTCTTATTTCCTCCTCATTTCCCCACAACACAGTCAGGCCTAAGAGAGGAGAGCTAGTCCTGTGGTCTGTTCAAAGAAGGAGGAGAGAAAAATGAGAAGAAAGAGGGGGAAGGGAGGAAAGCAGAGACAACACAGACCACAATAAATAGATTTCCTAATGGCTAATCTAATGAAGTTGGTTCTCAGTCTTATTCAGTTTAGTCAACATAATGCAGCAATTTGAGAGAGCGGTGCAAAGCCTTTGAGCAACAAACAAAGCCAGCAGTGTTCAGATTAAGGTGAAGTCATGTCTCGGTGGGGTAATTCTTTGCTAAACAGAGGCACAGACCACTGAGATGTGAAGATATTTGACTATACTGCCGTCCGCCTTCCTTTCTACACCACTTCCTCTCCCCAAAATCTTCTCTCGTCACGCTGCTGTGCCTCCTCTGTCCTCTACACCTCCTGGGACTCTTGGTCTCCAATGCTCCTTCTGCCATTTTGCCAATTCTACTTGCTGTCCTTCTCCTCTGTGTTTTTTTTTCTTTTTTTTCTTCTGCTTCTTCACCCTGTTTTTCTTGACCTCTTGCCTTCATTTTCTTCCTATTATATTATTTGTTTAATCCACATAATAAACCCTTCCTTCTATATTTTCTACTCCTTTTATATATCTCCTACACTGGCCTTTTGCTTCCTTGCCCATGCCAGTCTCTGTGTGAGTTCTATGCCAACCACTGTGCCAGGATAGAAGCCCTGCGACGCCAGCTTCAGGAGGAACAGAGAGGGAGACAGGTAGAGCACACTGCCACTGCTGGACTGGGGTGGTACTGCAGCTGGGATATACTCAGTAATATAAAATGATATCAAATCATATGATGAACACACTGCCTCTTGTGGCAGAACTGGAGCATAGAACAGTTTTTGCATTTGGATTGGACCTGCACTGTCTGATATGGCAGATTTTGAGAAAAGGGTTCCAAGTAAAACACCCTCTGATCAGACCACTAACTTGCAAGCTTCAAGTATTTTAGTCTCTTTAGAAGGCTTTGCTGTCTCTAACACCTACAAACCAGACTTTTTAATGCCTGGTTTGTGCAGACATTCCTGATTAACATGTGTAGTGCACTCTGACACCCCCGCCAGGCAGCTAGGTGTATTGCAGCCAGTTGAAGCTTGACTGTAATTGTCAAGCTGCGAGTGGTTTGACTACTGAAAAGCACTGACATTCACATACTTGTGTACTGATTCTGGTGTGCTGTCTTTTCTAATCTCAAGAATCTCAGAGTCAGTAACACCTCTGACTCAATACTGAATACACACTGATCCAGCAAATAGATTCATTAGCAAAACTCATTTGTGACTCACTAAAAACAAGAAGGAAGGACTTAAGCAAATATAAATGGTGAAGGGGAAAATATATATTTGAACCTCCAGAGATATTTATTTACTAGGTTGTTGTTTATTTAGATCTAACTCATTTGTGTGAAGAAATAACCACATTAACCTAGAGTTTGTAAATGTAGACAAAATGTGTGTCAGCCTCATTACTAACCTTGAAACCATCAAGTAAATACCTAAAAACACTCTTAACTGAACTATTATCTACGATCCAGTGCAGATAGGTCAGTAAAAGAATCTGAGGCTTATCGCACTCTGCACTGAATAAGCTGACAACTGGGCTGTAGCTAACTTCAGCCTGTTTTTGTCACACTGGCTACACTAACAGTTGTAACAGCACATTACTCATCACAGTGAGTCATAAGAGCCTCTCCTTGCATGAGTCAAGGCCTTAATGTGCTATTTAGTCTCTACTGAAAGAAAATCACCAGACTTGTGTCAGGGACTAAAATGTTTGTTCAGGTACTTGGAAAGCAGTATCAAATAAAATGGCAATGGGCATGAAGTTTCCACATAGAAGCTATGCTGTTAGATATTCTACAGATGTTAAATTCACACGCAGAGAATGAAATTACAGCTGAAAGTAAACTCACCCAGCATAACCTAACTGCTGTCATGCTGTTACTGCTATCTAATATTTTATAATATATGAAGTTAGTTTACACCGTGTATATATAAATATGAGAGATTTGTCTCTGAGGGGTCCGAGTTACGTGCTACAGGCAGAAAAAAAACTGCTGACAAATAAATCCACTTTAATACCTAAACTGGACAATGTGCGTAAACGTGGACTGAAACATTAACTGTCTGTGAGTGTGTGTCCGTGTCTATAGAATGGTTGATCCTCTGTGTGTGTATGTATATATGTATATGTGTGTTTCAGTGCCAGGAGCAGGGACAGCTACAGGAGTGTGTGTCAGCCGTCAGGGTGTGTCTGGCTCGGCTAGACTACGTTATAAAGGTCCACACAACAACCCAGCCCCCCCCCCACTCCCCAACCTGCCCCTCTCTCTGTCTCTCCCTTCTTTTCTCTCCTTTTGCTCTCTTTCTTTCTTGCCCTCTTCCTGGCTCTTTATCTCGTCGCTCATCCCTTTCTCCAGTCACCCTCTCTTTGCTTCCTCTTCTGTTTCTGTCCTCTCTTCCTCTTCTCATCCCTCTCTCCTCCCCTTGTTCCCTAAAAAATAATTTAGCCTCTCTGTCATCCTCCTCTTCAAGCTGGTGTTAGCTCACTATTTAGCCAGCTGTCTAACTGTGCTCCATAGTTAACACTGTACGCAGTCGTCCTGCTAAGCTAGCGGTCCTGCTAGGTTAGCTGTCTACTAGATTAAGAGACTTTATGCTGTTGCTATGCTAGGCTACTTTACTAGATTACTCCACTGTACTGTAATGCTACTGCCCGTATGCTACCAGATGATGTTTCAGCCAGACAAGTAGAAGCTAGTAGACTTTAATTAGGCTCATATGCTGATAAACTAGAATCTGGTCAACTTTACTTTATTTGGGTGGATGTGTGTGTGTGTGTGTGTGTGTGTGTGTGTGTGTGTGTGTAGTCTGTGTGTGTAGGAGAGTATGTATGCCTGGCATGCTGTGTTGTCTCATGTCCTCTTCCTGTTTCAGGTGATTTGGAGTTCTCTCCCTCCAGAGTTGTAGTGTTACTCCTCCGCCAGTCTCTTCTTTCCGATTGGTTTGCTTGTTTCTGAAGGTTTCCTCACGTTGGTTTGTTTGGCTGAAACACAACAGCTGCATTGTGTTGTTGTTGTAGTAACAGAGTGTGTTCTAATGGCACAGCTGGTTGTCATGACTACACAGAACTGCCCGTTCCTCCCCTGCCGCATCCCCCGACTCCCCATATCCCCTCCTCCCTTTTTTTGTTTATATCTAACCCCTCCCACAAACATACTGTGCCTTGTGCAAGCTCCGCCCCACCACCATGACCGCAGCCCTGTGTCTGCGGCTGGGTCAGTGCCAACCTCCAGTAGTGACCAAGCCCCCTCCCAGTGACATCCCCTTCTATGTTTTTTGGCTGACATAAAAAAAACCAGAGGATTCTCCTGAGCTGTCTGACTTGCCCATAACAAGATGTCGGCAAAAACAATAAAATGCTGCTGAATGCACTACATGTCCATTCATACCACAGCCTGTGGGCGGTGGTATATTGGGTGGCCGTGAAGCTGGATGTGTTTTTCTTTTTCAGTCAGTGCGTTATAGTGGCAGACTAGCCACTAGGAACAGTTAGACTTTTTGGCCAGCTCATCCATCAAATGGGTCCAGTCCTCCAATTTCAGTGGCTCCTCAACACAAAGAGGACTGGATGTAGCACTCTCCAGCTAGTTTGCCATTAAGTTTTTTTTCTATAGCCTTAATCACTAATCAGAATGTTGCCTTGCCAATCTGTACAGTACACAACACCCTCTATCCTTAGGCCCTCAGGTTGGATGAAGAGAAACTGCCAAAAAAGAAAAATAGAGGGAAAAAGGGATGAAAGCTGAGTAAAAGAAAGGAGGAGAAATCCCTCTTTGAGGATGGACACACATTAGGTGTTGTATGTACAGAGTAGACGTATTTAATCTCTGTCTACTGTTGATTCTTTACACATTAGTTCAACTTCTTGTCATAAAATATAAAAAATATTTTGTCAAAAATAATTAACGTTCAGATAATTGCCATGGTTACAAGAAGGGACGTCTCATCACCTCAGTGACACAGTCAAAGGGGCGGAGCTTGCCTTGATCACCTGACTAATACGTACTGCTGCTGCTGCTGCTGCTGTTGTTGTTCTTGTTTGTTGTCGATGGTAACCCGTAGCAACCAGCCCTCTGATCCCACTTCCTCCTCACCGCTGTTCCTTCCTGTATCCCATGATGCCTTGCAGGAGCTGAGGGAGATCCACAGCCGGCAGCAGAGACAGAAACAAAAGGAGCTGGAAGGAGACACACACTCATTGACACACACACACTCTCACATGCACACCCCAATCGAGAGAAAGTCTGCTGAACTGCAGGAGAGCAGGTGAGAGCTGATATGCTTGATCATTCGCTGAGGTCTTGAACTATATCCAAACCGTTATGTTAGAATAGATGTTTTGTTTTGTTATACCATGAAAAGTTTTGTACATACTTTAATAATCCCGCAGGTTGTCATCAGAGGAGAGCGTGGCCTGGAGGGATGAAGCAGGAAGCTCTGCCCCTGGAGCTCCTAGTCCCGCCTCCATCTCTGCACCCCATGCCTGGCTAAACAGAGTGACTCAGGAAGAAGAGGAGAGGAAGAGGAGAGGGATGGACGAGGAGGAAGAGGTCCGCAAGGGGGCGGGATCAGTAGGATCAGTCGAATCAGTCGAGGATGAGGGGAGAGGAAAGAAGGACATGCAGGAGAAACTGAACAAGCTGTTCAGCCAGCCGACCGACCCCTGGGCTTCAACAGGTGTGTTATGGCTGTTTGAGTGAATGCGTGCATGAAAGAGAGCACAACTCAAGACCCCCAGAGCGGGCACTGGTGTGTGGTGTTAACCTGTGTTTGATGCCATTAGCAGCCAGTTTGGCGTGCAGTTAATGTACCTAATGTGGTATCTTCATTTCCAGAGTTTGAGCAGGAATTGAGGCCCCTTAACATATACACAGGTTTATACCCTTTTCACAACAGAATTTGCACATAAATGCAGATAAATCTGCTAAAGATAAAAGTAAATTGACTCCTTTCCCATTGCCAGTAGACAGTTTGCTTTTCTGCTTAAAACGTAATAATAGACTTAATAAACAGTAGAATGCAGCATTTGTTACTTGTCTTGGACTGCGAGCAGTGCCTTTTTCACTCCAAAATGTTGCTAGTAGTGCTTTCCTGGATAGTCATTTGACCTGGGAATGAATGTCAGTCGTACCCTTTTCCACTGAAGACAAAAGCCAGAGGTTCATGGTCCAGTGTAACAGGGTCTTTAGAGTAGGGCTCCACAATTAATTGAAACATTAGTGAAATTGCAAAAATGATCATACTCGCTAATAAATAAAAAGAACGATGTTTTTACCTTATGGTTCAGCCCTACTTTAGAGGCAAGGGTAGGATTTTCAGTCTGAAACAAACCCCAGCACACTTATATCTAAACTTACTGAAAGAAAAATTTAATTTTGATTTTAAATTTAGTTAATTAAAACAAGGTAACCTCTCAGGAACGAGTTGTAGCATTATGTCCTTTCCATTAGAAAGTATGAGGTTTAAAAGGGACAAAAAAACCAAATCCTCCTTCACCAAAGAACACATACAGTATTGTCTTGGAGTTTGACCAACAGCAGGCAGTAAATGTGGATTCTAGCCCATGTTTATAATATTTCTGCCTCTCTGTTTATCTACAGTGGAGAAGACTCCAGGACCCAGCCTCTTTGACCAGAAGGCACCAGTCACTGGCTTCGACCAGCAGCAGCAGCCAGTGAAGGTGGTCTACTACAGGGCTGTATATCCGTTTGATGCTCGCAGCCATGATGAGATCAGCATTGGTCCTGGAGATGTAATCATGGTATGTAGTATGCAAACAACCAGTTCCCATACACTTGTATCCTCCAGCCATCCACCTTGCTACAATTACACAGGATGATGATGATGAAGGTGCAGACTTACGTCATGTGAGAATCTACAGTTGCCACCATGGCAGTTTAACAAGGACTTCCACAGTACTGTGTGTGTATACATGTTGTGTGAACAGATATTTTATTGTCTCTTTCGTATTCTGTGGGTGTGTTTGTAATAAGACCTCCTGTATGTGCGTATATGTGTGTTCTTCTCTTGTGTGCAAGGTCTGTGTGTCTATGTGTGACTGTGTGGTGTGTGTATTAACTCTTTCCTCTCTCCTCCGCTGTGCAAACTGAAGGTGAAGGGGGAATGGGTAAGTTCTTGCCCCCGCCCAGTGTTGTGCCTCCACCAATCACAAGCCAGCACTCATGTGAACTCTTGCTGTCATTGGTTCTTCTCATGTCATCTCCATGTCCATTCATTTGCCAGTGGATGAATGTCTTTTGCTTCGTCATTCTAATGTGTAAATGTTGTTCTGCTTGTTTTGTTTTCACAGTTAATGTGAAAAGCTGTGAATGTGCTTAACTGTCAGCATTAAGCTATGCAGTGTAATGCTTTACAGTCGGACCTCTCTGGATAAATAAATACTACTTCACTTCAGGCTGCTCTGCAAAAAATACATAAAATCTATTATTTATTACCATCAATGTCTCCATAAATAAACTTCCACATGAGTAAGATAGGAGAAGACATTCCGGCTTGCAGTTTTTCCATTTATTAAACGCATTACCTGCCTCAACCAACTCCACCCACACTTAGGCAAGTTTACACGGTAGACTAATAGAAATAGAAATAGAGAAAAACATAAAATCTTTATTTGTAGTGAAGGGGACAGCCACTGGTTATTTATGTAAGTAGAATTATTATTCAGTTAGACAGATAATTGCAAAGGTCCCTGTTCATTATAAGAGCCTGGTTGACATGATACATTCACTGGAACCAGAACACAACATTAACGGCTTCAAATGTCAAGTTATCAAGTTAATATGCTTTGTTTCACTTGATTATCTACTAATTTGGTGATTCAACAGCTGCTGCTGCTGCTGCTGTTGTAGCCACTGTTGTTGTTTACACCTTTTCTCTGTTATACCATGAATCTGAACACACACGTTTTATGAATTAGTGTCCCTGTGTGTGCATCTTTATCTTTATCCCACCCCTCTGCACTCGTAGGTGGACGAATCCCAAACAGGTGAACCCGGTTGGCTGGGAGGAGAGCTCAGGGGGCGTACTGGTTGGTTTCCAGCCAATTACGCCGAACGAATACCCGACAGTGAAGCGCCGATCAGCTTGCGTGCAACAGCCTCAGCCACACCCACCTCCGCCCAGCAGCCAATGACCACGCCTCCCCCAGCACCAGGACACAACTCCTCCTCCACGTCCTCCACTAACAGTAACTGGGCTGACTTTAGCACCACGTAAGTACTTGTGGTGTCAGTATTATGAGAACCAGAGTCTGTGTGGCTTCACTAGTGCATCTTACTAATACATTCACCAAATTAAATAATTTTAACAAGATCCATTCATGCTCTTGAAATATTTGTGACCCTGTTTCGATGTCGCCATTCTGAGTCTTGTATAATCTTCATTTTTAAACACGTCATTGTCAACCAGTACTCCCAATATAAATATATATTTGTGTCATCTGTGTGTCTATATTTCCAGTTGGCCCTCCAACACAGCCAGTCAGTCAGAGAGTGAGGGGTGGGATGCATGGCCGACCTCTTCAGCCGCTCAGAATCCTTCGCTCAGCGTTCCCTCAGCGCAGCTACGACAACGCTCCGCCTTCACACCCGCTACCATGACAACGGGCTCCTCTCCTTCTCCTGTGCTGGGACAGGTAGGAATATAACAAAACTATGCTCAACATTTATTTCTGGACCTAAATAGGGTAAATGTCTCCCAAAACTGACTATTGACTGTTACTCTGGTTGTCAGGGGGAGAAGGTTGAGGGTCTTCAGGCTCAGGCTTTGTATCCCTGGAGAGCGAAGAAGGACAACCACCTCAACTTCAACAAAAATGAGGTAGATTTTATTTAATGTGTGTTTTTATTGTTATGTTTTGTTCTAAGTGAATAGAACTAATGGTATTACTGTTCATACAGATAATAACAGTGTTGGAGCAGCAGGACATGTGGTGGTTAGGTGAACTGCAGACTGGACAGAGAGGCTGGTTCCCCAAAAGTTATGTCAAGCTCATCTCCGCCACCATGCCGGCCCCCGTTGGTGCCCCAGCACGCAGCAAAAACACTAGGTAGGTTAAAGTGTGACGTCAAGTCAAATTTGGTATATTAATTAGTTTTTCAGCATCAGGGCTTTACAATCTAAATATTGTCACCTCGTGTTTTTTTAAGTTATAGACCGGTCAGTAAGACAGAATTCTACTGACAGGTTACTGATAAAACACAGTGTCTTATTACTTATGCTTCAGCTTTGCCACACTAGTTGGCTTCTGGAACTTTCTATTCTAAGACACAATTCCTGCCTCATCTCACCTAATTTAATCCTATTAGTGGGAGTGTAGCTGCAGATCCTCAGGGGACCTTCTAGAGGTGATTGGACTGAGACTCTGGATCAGGTTGTCTGAGGAGCTTTAGCTAACAAAAATCAAATCATTATAAAGTAAAAAATCTACGTTTCAAAGAAATTACAATAAGGGACTCTTCATAGTTAGGATGATTCTGGTAGTGACCAACAGTGGCTGATTACATTTGTTTTTAATGGCAAATTGCGCTCTTCATATCAATGCTCTTCATTTGTGTGATTTTCAAAATAAAATGTAGTGTATTTTTCAAAAATAAAAAAAATATTTTATGTAAAAAAAATATTTTGTTTAAAGTTTAAATAATTTAGTTTTTCTTCCTTATCTCATCTAGTGAGTCTGGAGTATCAGACAGCCCACCCAATGGAAAACGCCCCTCCCCTTCCCCAACAAAACCCTCTGAGTCAGGAGAAGGTAATGCTCGCAAACATATAAATGTACATATTTGTTAAAGAAAATCCAGCCAGTACTGACATTATATCTGTCCTCATGCATCAGCTGAGTACGTGGCTATGTACACCTACGAGAGCAGTGAACAGGGCGACCTGAGTTTCCAGCAGGGAGATATCGTCATGGTGACCAGGAAAGAAGGGGATTGGTGGACGGGCATGGTCGGGGGCAAGACTGGAGTCTTTCCTTCCAATTATGTCAAACCACGAGACTCTGCCTCTGAGGTGAGACTTTGCTCAGAACATAAGAGGGTAGACCAGAACTGTTGGTGCGTCTGTGGACTTTTTTCACAACAAGGAAATATTTGTGATCATTGTTATTTAAACTTTGTTTCTGTTTGTAGTCTTTGGGACCAGCAGGGAAGACAGGCAGTCTGGGAAAGAAACCAGGTGATGTTTCTATAATATTGCTGTTGTAACCTTTATTGTTTTTGCTGACAATATCGACTTATAAATTTATAGCTAAAGAAAGAAATTAATTTTTTCTTCTTTTTCCTGTCTGTCTCTCTTTCAGAGATCGCACAGGTGATCGCTCCCTACAGTGCTACAGGAGCAGAGCAGCTGACATTAGCTCCGGGACAGCTCATCCTCATCAGAAAAAAGAACCCAGGGGGCTGGTGGGAGGGTGAGCTCCAGGTACACAAGCACAAACTCTAATATATGCAAAGAAGTGTTCAACATGTTGTCCTGGCATAAAAAGAAATGAGAAGATAGAGAAAAGGAAATCTACCAAAACTTGACAAGGCCAGTAGCCTGATGCCACTGATGACTCTGCAAAAGAAAAGCCCTAATAGCCCTAATACAGTTGAATTATACTAAACATCAGTTACCATACATGCAAACTCTTTTGTCTTTTTGAAGACATTTGTGTGGTTTTTAAAAAGTACATTTTTGTGTGCACTTTTGTCTGGATTTTATTAATATCTAATAATTAAATTATAGTTGATTTGGATCATACAATGCAATCGTATATTTACCTCTGTATTGTATGTCATAGTTACTTCTAGACATGTACTTCAATTGTGTGATTATGAGGCTGTTTGCCTATCAGTGTAATTTATGACTAATAACACACTGTGTTCTGATTGGTTCAGGCTCGGGGGAAAAAGCGCCAAATAGGCTGGTTTCCAGCCAACTATGTAAAGCTGCTCAGTCCCAGCACCAGCAAGACCACGCCCACAGAGCCCACCCCTCCTAAACTGGCTCCTGCCAGCACAGGTACGGATAAATACACAATAGTACAACGCTTTAAAATCCTGTGGCCACTTCCACAATGTGCTGGAAAAGCTAAATGAATTAGCCATAATATCAAACCCAAAATATGTAACCATATGGAAAAGCTGTTGTTTTTCCTTTTTTGAAAAAGTTGTGGTCTTATTGCAAGCCATAAAAAAAAATCTATAAAAAGATCTGAAATGTGTCTTTTAGAGAGTTTGAGTTACTTTGATAACACTTTAAGTCACTAAAATTGGTCTATGTGGAAATTGGCGTACAGTAGTCTGAATCTCAAGACATATACATCAATGCCAGCAGTTTTGACTATGAAAAGAAAATAACAAATGAACTAAAATGAAAGCTTTATAGGTTCACAGATGAGTGAATACATCTGCGCTATCTGTGTAAAACCAACATGATTCTGGTGTGTAGGTTGGTAGAAAAGACGTGGCCAACAGAAGAACAGTTCTTAATAAAGGAGCAAATTGTCTCTGTAACTGTCACAAGTGACCTTGAAGCTGAAAATGTTGACATCCTGTCCATCATGTCTTTCTCTGGTCCTGAAGCTGTGTGTCAGGTGATCGGCATGTACGACTACGTGGCCCAGAACGATGACGAGCTGGCCTTCCAGAAGGGTCAGGTGATCACAGTGCTCAACAAGGACGACTGCGATTGGTGGAAAGGCGAGCTCAACGGAAGGGAGGGTCTGTTTCCCAGCAACTACGTCAAACTCACCACGGATACTGACCCGAGCACGCAGTGTGAGTACTCGCAAATACTCGTAATCTCACGTGAATCACAAAACACATTAACAGTTTACTAAAATCAACATCCTCTAATGTACAAAGTAATGTAACACTCACACACAGTCACACTTACACAGTGAAACACTCTCTCTCCCTCTCACACACACACACACACACACACACACACACACACACACACACACACACACACACACACCCCAGAGCCAGATGTGGAGATGCTGTCCCTCTCTCAGTGTTTGACCCCTGGATTGGTTTGACCTTTGACCTTTCACCTTGACACTCCTTTGGGCCTCTTTGAAAACCTCCCAGTCATGCAACACCTCTGGGTGGTGTTGGTGTGTGTTTGTATGGTGTGTATGCGCATGCATGTGTGTGTATATTTGCGCGCATTAGTGTAAAAGTGTTTCCCCTCTTCCTGCATGTGTTCCTTCAGCATGTTCCACCATAGACTTAGAGTTTCTAGAGCTGAGCAAAGAGACGTGGGCAGTCAACCTGCGCTGAACACTACTGAGCCAAAATGTGTCTTTGTACAATAAAAATTTTATTTGAAAAAATTATAAAACCAATTATATGATTTTAAAACATACAAACTCGGATATATGAGCACCCGATGAACCAGAGGTGACCAAGGTTCAGGTCTGCAAAAATCAATATTTGTATTTATTTACTTTCAGTGAGGATAAAATGATATCATGCTTTACAAAATTAATAATTAAAAGCTATAATGAAAAACTAACAAAGATAGTTAGAGAAGTTCTGGTTTCACATGGACGAAGAGTTTGATGTAATGAAACACTGAAACATATCCATTAATAAAGAAAGAGGTATTCTTAGAGATACTGATTTCAGCCACATTGGCTTAACTACAAACCGTTAAAGGTTAGATCAAAAAACAAAAAAAACATAAATTCAAGGTTTTTTGAGGACAATACCGATTTTACAGGGTAAAAATTACCAATATGGTGGCCGATATAGTACTGGAATGAAAAGGCATTTTATTTCTGCATTATATATTATAGGATGCCAATATCGATTGTCTGCAAAAAGCTAATATTGATCGACCAATATATCGTCAGGCTCCAACATAAACAGTGGCAATGATGAAAGCTAAAATACAAAATTCATCCTTCTCCTCATTGAAAGTTTTAATGAAATAGTAATTTGGGTATTTCATTAATGAATAGAGTTCTTAATTAAATAAATTTAAATAATATTTTCACTCAAATAATCTGTTCCCGTCTTAAAAGCAGATGTGTTGTGTAGAAAAACAAAATGGGTCACCCTGACCTCCTCCTGACTCATCATTAGTCCACACACACTGTGACATATTGTGTTGGCAGATTAATATGTTGCAAAGAACAGCAGCCACAGTGAACTGGAAGAGCTGCATTCAGACGTCGTGCCAGTGTATCTAAATTATACACAGTGCAACAGTAACATTTACTGCCACTGTTTGGGTTGATATTTGCTCATCACAGTAAACTGTATACCAAGCAATTGGAAAGAAGACCTTGCAGCACTGAAATGGCAAAGATAAGTGAGCACCTGTTTAAAAAAACTAGTATATATTTTAGCCACATAAATGCACTGCAAGTTTATTTTTCAGCTACAAAATGTTGTGTTCAGTGTCACAGTTCTTTAAAAACAAAATTTTAAGGCGTTTTAACCAACCATTTGTACATTCATAATAATATCAGCTAGTTTATCCCAAATTGTAATATTGTATCGGCCTCAAAAATCAGTTGGTCTAAAGTCTAAATGATTGCTACATACACAAATATTTTAAATTCTTAAGCAAACAGAAGCTCTGTCATATTGCCTGCGGTTGTGCTGCTCGCTCTAGATCCTCTATTTCTATGCTAGGTTAGGCCACACCTCCACACTCTCTGTCTTGCTGCACGCTCCACCCACCTAGCACCCGATTGGTTGTTGTTGTTGTTGTTGTTTTGTTTAGTTGTTTTTGTTGATGTTGTTGTTGTCGTCCTCTCTCTAGGATCATATCATTACCCAGAACCCCCCTCTCCTCAAAGCCCTCAAAGAGACCCACTAGGCCACTCAACCAATGGGACAGCAGCAAGAGGTCACATGACCCGGAAATGGCGACTCTCCACCAATAGAAGCCAGAGAGACAGACAGACAGACAGACAGAAAGACAGACAGACTGTAACGTTTAAACGCCCAGTGGTGGCGAGAACTTCTGTCTATGCATGGCTCTGACTGGACTTGGCCAAACTCTGTTTATCTAAGGCTCTGGCTCCAAACAGCACTGCTCAACAGGAGGGAGATCAATAGTCAGGACTCCTCTGCTCTCCTCCCAAACTTTCCTCTTTTCTTCTCCTCCATCTTTTCTTTTCTTCTGCTCTTTCTGTTGTATCAGTCGGAAAGTGTCTAGATAAGGAGGGAAGGAAGAAAGGAGGAGAGGAGAGGAGGAGATTGAAGCAGAGACTATTGAGCTCCTTTCCCCCAGATTGGACTGATGAACATGTTTTGACTGGATCACAGTGACTGTATACACTCAACACACACACTCACTCACTCACTCACACACATATCCACACACACATTAACAGTATATGCACACACACACACAGCCCTATCCTAGCGTGGTGAAGTGGATAGTGGGTCATTTTGTGGCTTTATGGGAGATTCTGTCATTAAAATCAGTAGCTCAGCTTACCCCCTCCCTCCTGTTTTTTTTTGGTTTTTTTTTTTTTTGATTTTGTATTTTTTTATTTTTTTTTATTCTTTAACCTTGCTCCCATTGGTTCAGCAGCTTCATTCACCTGTCAGTCAAAAGCGCTGGCTCCCCCCATCCCCTCACTAACCCCTCCCCTCCCACAGCTTCACAGAAAGACCCACTATCTGCAGGAGGACAAGTCTCAATGTTAATGTCTCCTCTCCTCTCTTCGCTTCACCTCTTCTCCCCTCAATGCCAAAGACTCCTCCCTCCTCCTGCTCCTTCTCCTCCTTTCTTCTTCCCCCCCCTCAAAAGGTGATGAAGTAATGGAGAGGAGAGGAAATGAGGCAGTATTGAGATGCGTTCCACAGCAGTTCAGTGCTAAGTTTCAACCCAGGGTGCCGCTCCCTTCTACGGTTTTCCAGTTAGTTTCTCCTCCTGTCTTTCTCTGCCAGGGAAAGAGGCAAGGAGGCGTAGAAGGGAGCGAGCAGCTGGAATGGGACTCAGCCCGTAGCTCGGGGCTAAAATGGAAAGCCATGCTCTAACTGCTTAGCGTACTAGCTAACCAAATTACACGCACACACAAAATGCAACATGGTACAGAGAGTTTATACACACACACACACACACACACACACACACACACACACACACACACACACACACACTCTCAGACACAATGATAATGTTTTTAGCCGTAGTAGTTTAACATTCTGAATATGTATTAACTTCAAATGATCCGTTTTATGTTCTGTTGTTGTTGTTGTTTTTGTTTACATGTTTATTGTTTTGTCTGTTGCTATGATGATGAGATGCTGTCACACTGTCCAGGGCTAGGCCAGGATGATGGACATTGACATGACACTCAGACAGATTAGGTACTAAATATGTAGGGGTGGAACGATTTGGCACAAAACAACCTGCTCATGGCCGCGGTCAGATCTTTGAATCATTCCAGTTAAAGGAATATTTGAACATTTTTAGAAATGCGCTCGGTTGCTTTCTTGCTGAGAGTTAAATGAGAAAATGAATACCACTCTCATATTTGTCAGTTAGTTTGTTGGAAATGGCTAGCCTCAAATTACGCCTAAAACACCTCTAAAGCAAACAGAACTCCTCTTAAAGCGTCAACTTGTTGTTTTCGCCTTTCTGTTTGTGCACAGATTAAACAAACAAGATCCAACGTGTTAGTTAGCTTTACAGGTGAGCTGTGTCTCCATGCTTCCGGCTTTTATGCCCAGCCAACATCATTGTTTAATGGACAGGACATGAGAGTGGTATTGATCTCACTCCGTAACAAAGTGAATACGCATTTTCACCAAGATGACACTGTTCCTTTAAATAGCTCAGCTGTTTTTAAGTTGTGGCTCAATTTCACACACCAGTGATATCTTTAAGTAATTTGAGCTTTACCTCCTTGAATTTTCCACACTGTGATGCACCTTTTGAAAGTAGAAGTGGTTTTAGCTCATCCTCACCAGACTTCATGCACAAAAAGGCCGATTTTAAGTTGGCTTTTTGTTTCCCCCGGCACTGCAAACCTACTGTATCAAACCACGCACCATCATTTCACCCCTACATGATATTAAGTAAGAGACAATGACCTGTGAAATGTTTAACCCGCGGGACCCTACTCTTGAGTTGGGACGTGGGAAAAGACATCACTATAGCTGTTTTCCACAACCAGCTCCATTACTTCATAAGTTACTTCATAACTTCAGTTTTCCGTGCCTCTTGTGAAACATTTAGCACAGTTTGTTCTCCGTTAAATGTCATTAGCTTTAGCGCTGTTCCGAGTTAAAACATCATATATCATATTTTATCATATCACATTACTGATTTACTGATTCACTGATTTCTACTGTGTGTGACAGACTCACAAACTGAGTGGTAGAGAAACAGAAACAAACAGCATAGCCTCACTTTAAAATAATATATATACTGTATATTAACAGTTACCATGGTGACGTACATGTCCGATGTATCTTTTCCATTTCCCCCAGCAACAGGACCGCCTTTCAATTTGTTTCCATAGCAACAGACTAGTATTATAGTGGTTGCCATATCAGATTTGTATTGTTTTTTTTTTGTTGTTGTTGTTTTTGTTTATCCAGATGACAGTATTGTGATTATATTGTTTACCCTCAGAAACACAAACCGTGAATGAAATGATTATTGAACTACGCAACTTTTTATACAACAAGCAATAGAGTTGTTATTGTTATTATTATTATTATTAACCTGCTTGGATCCCATTGGCTCCTCAGTGTGTCAGTATTTGAGGTGAAGCTCTCTGATTGGGTGATAAGTCAAAGACCATCGGTTCTTCAACAAACTGAGGTTCGAGGCCCAAATTTGGGTCACTGGTTGTGGTTCCCTACAGGACTGAAAATATGAGCAGGTTTTTAACAGATCCTGGTTTTCAGGGCCAGAGAGGGAGCTTTTGTCAGTTTGGTAACCGATGGTCGAGACTTCTCATAGTCAGAGGGAGTATTTTAGGTTAGAACAAAGACCCGCCTAGACCAGAGCCATGCTGCACACCAGATGGATGGATATTAATGATGTATCTCTGCCTGTTACTACATGCTAACGCTCCTGTCTGCGGCCATTTCTGTCCCTGTTAGCATTAACTTGGAATCATTTGGGGACGCGCTGTGCTGTAGGTGGAAGCAGCACACACTAAATGATGTCATGGTGCAAGCTCGAAACTTTTAACGTCTTTTACCATTTTTAACACACACACACTTTGCACAAATCTGCTCTGAAGCACGGCTCTGGTCTAGTCCGGTTTGTTTAAACAGTTAAAAGCTCTGTATGATCTATACTTAATCTAATGAATGGTAATGGTTGGTGCTTCATACAGATAGAAATAGCATCCCTGATGAATGGATGAATGGATTAACAGCCAGGCCAAATGTAACCAGACTGCATTTGGGTCTGGTGCGCGCATGAATGAATGAGTGACTGAGTGAAAAAAATAAAGCATGAATGAGCAATTTTATGGACGTGAATGGTCAGATGGATACACAAAGGAATGAAAAGGATACTTGAATGAATGAATGAAATGTACAGAATGTTAGCATAGCATTGGTAGTAAAAATGTCCTGAGGTTTTATTGGTGGAGATTTTGATGAAGCAGTGAATCTGATTGGTCCTGATGATTAAACGCTCTGAGACAGACTGCAGTCGACTAGCCTCGTTACTCTCTCTCATACACACACAATCACACTCTCTTACACAGACTAGTACACGGTACCATAAGGAAGCTTCCTGTTTAACTGGCTTTTGTAAATAAAACATTGAATTTTACGCCTGTTGTAAAAAAAAAAAATTATGTTTTCACATTCATCTGCTGATTTTAAGGGGCGGGCCTACCAGCAGGATTTGTGACATTATAAATAGTTAGGAAGTCAGTTCTGGTCCAGTATGCAACTTGTACAGTGTGATGGAAAAGAAGCTACCAATGCACATCCACTGAGAATGGACTTTACAGTGAAGTAGGAGACACCTTGTGTCCAGCAGCAATAGTTAAGAAATGAGCAACATTTGCATATTCAGAGTTTATAATGAGACAGCAGGAGTAAATGAGTTTTAATGTGGAAATTATATATTTTTGGCAGAAACATAAGACATTAAAAAGACTATTTGTGTATGTGTCTTAACACATGTCCCTGTAAATACCCTAAAATACATTAATACTGTTCATTTTCACTTAATTATATATCAAGTTTCTTAAAGCTAGATTAATATATTAACATTGAATCAAATGATTACAGCTTATAACAACCTTTTAATAACTATAACTGCAGAAGAGCCTTATTATCACATCTTATTTTAATGTTGGTGGTTAAAAAGGCTCTAGCAATCTTTTTTTCTTATTCTTATTCAATTCTTGTTTTGCACAGAACTTGAAACAATATCTTCATAAATATTCAGAAGCCTGTTGCGTGCGAATATCCAGACTATATCTCTAAAAAAAGATTGTGTTTCTGCTGTCTACAGTCAAAACAGGAGCCATATTAGGAAGCTTCCTTGTTAAGGTAAACCACTACAGTATGTAAATATACATTTATGATCTACATTCCTCTTCAATCTCTTCACACACATTTTGGACATCCGAATGACAGAAAAAACAGACAAACTGACTCAAACACTCCTCCAGACTGTTAGCCCCACTGCCTGTATGTTGAGCTCAGGTATGTATTATGTTGGTAACGTATTAACACAGGTAATAGGTTCTTTTTTTAAACTTCTTCCGTGTGTCAGGATGCTTGATTGACAGCTGTATGTGGGATTTGTGTATTTCAGGGTGTGCTGACCTCCATCTGCTGGACATGCTGAGTCCCATGGAGAGGAAGAGGCAGGGATACATCCACGAGCTGATCGTCACCGAGGAGAACTATGTCAACGACCTGCAGCTCGTCACAGAGGTAAACACACAGATAGTGTTGATTTCTGTACAGCAAATAACACATAACATATTCACCAGGTCAGGTGATCTGAAAAGAAATGTCATTTACCTGAAATATTCTACTGAGGTTCTTGCACATCCCAGATTTTCTCTACTACTCCAACAGTATTTATTAGTTGTACTGTCACATGATGCTCAAAATCTTTTCTACTATGCCAAAAATGAAACAGAGCAGGAAACAATAAATACTTTGAATTGCCTTTATATGGCTTAAAGTACTGATATCATATATTTAAAAGCTAATATTGGTTGCACCCAGTTGCACAAACAAAACTCTTATCCCTTTTTTGACAAAGCTAACATACGCTGTTGGGTTTGGAAACACAAGCTTTTTCACAACATATCTGAGAGTTTAAGTTCACATTTTCTCGAGGTTACGTCATATTTGTAGCTGCTTTAACTTTAAAGCCAAAATGCAGTTACTTCCAGAAGCATCTACCGTAAGATACGATCCAACAGTACAACAACTGAGTTTTGGAAAACCAACATGAACTAATGCCTGTGTTGTGATTAATATTGGTGAAATTTGTTCTGTGTGTGTGTGTGTGTGTGTGTGTGTAGATCTTCCACAAGCCTCTGTTGGAGTGCGAGCTGCTGACGGAGAAGGAAGTGGCCATGATCTTCGTCAACTGGAAGGAGCTCATCATGTGCAACATCAAACTGCTCAAGTAAAGAGAAATACACACACCAGTATAACACACGCACTGTAGACATTTGCTTCTGGTCACTTGCTTTCATTTGAATTTCAAAGATAACATTAGCTGGAACGCAGCTTTGTCTCACAAAGTTCAGCTGCTTTGAATGAAGCTTGAAGCTGGAAAATAAAACCTATTTTTACCCCTCACTGCCCGACCTGAAACACAATGGCGTATTTTTAAATTGACATAAAAGTCATTGAGGTTTGGCACTGAAATTAAAGATAATCTTATCCTGGTTTTTACTAAAATGTACATGGGCTCTATTAAATACTTTTATTATACTAAACCACACTCTTTTTCCCGTTAATCCATAATAATTAGTTGATTCATATTTTGTATTAATAGTCTAGTATTAAGTTGCATGTAATGAAAAAGTACCTCAAAATTATACTTGAGTACAGTATTTTCCACCTCCGACATTCAGTACCAGTCAGTAATGTGAACCTGTAGTGACACAGCAGACCTGGCTTCTACTCATGGTGCCCCTCTCTCCCCCGCAGGGCTCTGAGAGTGAGGAAGAAGATGTCAGGTGATCGGATGCCGGTGAAGATGATTGGTGACATCCTGACCAACCAGCTGCCTCACATGCAGCCATACATCAGGTTCTGTCTGGTGTCTTTTAATCCCAGTCAGGAAGTCAGTTCAGTTCTTTCTGTAAACAGCAGAGTGATTACAGTTTTTTATTAGTTTAGATTTTTATTTAGTTTTCAATTCAGTTCAGTTCCAGTTAGTTTCCAGAGTGGGTTCGCTAGTTTATATATGTTTAGTTTTTATTAGTTTCAGTGTTAGATTTAGTCTTTTTTAATTAGAACATGAAATAATTGTAATATCAATCTTGCCCCTGACAAATACCCCCAATAAATCCTATACACTGGACCTTTCACTGAAGTCACTAAAAGGTTTTTCAGGCCCAGTTCTGGTTTGTAGTTTAGTTTTAGTTCACTATAATAACCTCTATAATAAACAGCCTATAAACGTTTAGTGTAAATGTTTTCTGATTCTGTGTTCAGATTCTGTTCGTGTCAGCTGAACGGAGCCACGCTGATTCAGCAGAAAACCGACGATAACCCAGAGATCAAAGACTTCCTGAAGGTATTAAGTACACTCTCTACACACACACACACACAGTGTATGTGTACCAGTTGCAGCATTTTACCCTTTAATCCCCAGTGTGTTTGGTAACTCATGCTGTCTGTCTGTCTGTCTGTCAGAGGTTAGCCATGGATCCCAGGTGTAAGGGAATGCCTCTGTCCAGCTTCCTGCTCAAACCCATGCAGAGAGTCACACGCTACCCGCTCATTATCAAGAACGTATGTACGGCACACAAACACGTCTGACTCGCATTCAGAGGGATGGATGAGGACTTCAAACCACCACCGATGCACTTCCATCATATTCTTCTTTTGTTCTTTTGTCTATTGATTATAGATCATAGAAAATACTCCAGAGTCGCATCCAGACCACAGCCACCTGAAAGCTGCTCTGGAGAAAGCAGAGGAGCTGTGCTCGCAGGTGAACACACACACACACACACACACACACACACACACACACACACACACACACACACACAAGCAACTTTTTTAAAGTAACTTAATAAAACTAAAACTTCAATTAACTGACCAGGCTGTAATTTGTTCATTTTGTCAAAAGTTTAAACATTTATATTTCTGTAGCCGATCTAAGCAGCTTAGAACTGAAGCGGGCGACCCGGTGGGCTTGAAGAGGTTTTATACATTGCGATGTGGTTAAATATCGATGTGGATACAGAGGCACAAAGTCACATTTGGACCATCATTCATCATCTTGGTTAACTTTAAAAACATCTTACAAATATTTGTAACTTCCCAATTACAGTGCTGACTGGACAACTGGGTTGAGAACAAATGTTCTTTCTTTCCTTAACAGTGCAGTAGTCTTTATATCCCTTATTATTTATTCCAGTGTGACTCTGTTTACTTTTTTTGCTCTATTGTTGGGAGCTTTTAGCCCCCAGCTCTTGGTTACTTTGGATTTGTGATTATCTGAGTGTATGTAGGTAAAAGTCAAATTGACTCAATGTGTGTGTGTGTGTGTGTGTGTGTGTGTGTGTGTGTGTGTGTGTGTGTGTGTGTGTGTGTGTGTGTGTGTGTGTGTGTGTGTGTGTGTGTGTGTGTGTGTGTGTTTAGGTGAATGAGGGCGTCAGGGAGAAGGAGAACTCAGATCGTCTGGAGTGGATTCAGGCTCACGTCCAGTGTGAAGGCCTTTCTGAGGTAACTGCAACACACTCACACACACTCATTCACACACTCACACAACCAACAAGCTGCACTACACACCAGCTACACACTGACAGCAGTTAATCTGATCTCATCCGACAAACTTCAACATAATTAAACATGAAGAATCCAGACAACCAGCAGGTTCTCTCGGCTTACACTCACCTGTCCCTGTCTGTCCTTCAGCAACTGGTGTTTAACTCCGTCACCAACTGTCTGGGTCCCAGGAAGTTCCTCCACAGCGGGAAGTTGTTTAAAGCCAAGAGCAGCAAGGAGCTCTACGGCTTCCTGTTCAATGACTTCCTGCTGCTGACACAGGTGAGCCTGCCGTTCCTCGGGCTGTCTCGCTGACTCCGTGTGTTTCTATTGCTCAGTTCGCGCTTCCTGTTTCTAAATCCAACTTCCTTTTTGTCTCTCTCACAGGTGACCAAACCTCTGGGCTCGTCAGGCTCCGACAAAGTCTTCTCTTCGAAAACACACCTGCAGTACCGCATGTACAAGACGGTAAGACGACACACACACACACACTCACACAGATGTGCATTCATCCCCACACTCTACTGCTGCTTCTACAGGATCCTTAACTCCTGAAGTAAAACTGTAACTTTTAGGAACCCGCAGGGTCCAACCTGAAACTGAGTGGTGGACTATTTTTAAATTTTAAATAAGTCATAGAAGTTTGGCTCTAAAATTTAAAAACAAATGTTTATTTAATAATAATGTTGTTTGACAGTATTTTTTTCTTTTGTCTGTCATACTTTGCATTTATTGTTTCAAAACTTGTAATGGCAATATTCAATCAGAAATATTGTTTCCAACTTTGTTAAGATGTTGAAAAGATTTTAGATTCTGGAAACCTGCAGATACATGAACAGTATTTGAAGTAGAATGTATGTAGAATAGACTAATAACTGAGCTTGTCTCCTGTCTCTTTCAGCCAATCTTCTTAAATGAAGTGTTAGTGAAGCTGCCAACAGACCCGTCAGGAGATGAACCTCTGTTCCACATCTCTCACATAGACAGAGTTTACACACTCAGAGCTGAGAGTATCAATGAAAGGTAATATAAACACACATGTGCAGCACATGCAGTGGTGGAAGGACTTTTCAGATCATTATTTAAGTAAAAGGACTAATACCACACTGTGAATACTGAATACTCTATGTATGTATTATCAGCAAAATGAACTTAAAGTGTCAAAAGTAAAAATAGTCATTTTGCAGAAATATGGTCCCTGTCAGTGTTTTACTATTATATCTGATGTCTGGACTAACATTAATGAAAATGTTGCATTTTATTGCAACTGGATGTCGCACCAGCATCTCAGACCTAAACAATGGGACAGAAATAAACTAAAACTCACCAAAACGGTCTTTGTTAGTTTTTCCAACAACCACTAACACTGGTTTGGTTGAACTAAACTCTGAAAGGGCTCCAATGGCCGCAACATAAGCTAATGCTAATCCTTGGGGACAAATGTGCCCGTCAAACTAACGGCAACATTATAGAAAGGATCCCTACAGAGATAGAACTTGATATTGCTATTGCCACCTGACTCCATAGCTTACATTGTAACTTCATTCAAAGTGGACAGAAACAAAATAAAACTCAGTCATTCCACTGTTCTATCACCAGCTCCGGCTGGTTGGAATGAATCTCTAATGTAGATGATAAAAACAGCAGCTTCAGTCGCTCTACTCAGCCGCACACGGAGCAGACCAGCTATGGAAACAAACCACAGAGAGGCTGTGATAGCAATACAGGAAGAGGGAGTGACACACCATGACTCCACTATATCTTTACATAGCTAATTAATGTCCTAAGACAAAAAAAAAACTTTTAAAATAGTTTATTTAGCTTAAGAAGTAGGAGAATGGAAGAAGAACCTTATTTCTCAGATTTGGCCATTATTCCTAACAGTACTTTTAGACCTGTGTGATGTGTTACGTCTGGTCTCAAAATGTCTGCAGTTACTGTAGAAAGCATGTGTTTCTTTGTGTGTGTGTGTGTGTGTGTCGCGCGTTTATGCAGGACGGCGTGGGTTCAGAAAATTAAAGCAGCTTCAGAACTCTTCATTGAGACAGAGAAGAAGAAGAGAGAGAAGGCGTATCTAGGTATTGCTTTTCTTTCCTCCATCCTCATTGTTCTGTTGAAGGCTGTAGAAAGACATTTCAATAGTCAAACTGATTTGCCACTATCAAACTGTTTGATACTCAGCAGCAACTCACTTGTCTGTCTCTTTGTCTCAGTGCGTTCTCAGAGGGCTACAGGGATCGGTAGACTGATGGTCAACATTGTGGAGGGAATTGAGCTCAAACCCTGTCGCTCCCATGGTACGAACACACTCCTCTTACTCAAATTTGCAAAAGCCAGTTATTTGTTGACGTACAGTCTCTATCTTTACTAAAAAACATATGAAATGAATTCAAGTTTTTAATTATTTTCCCTGCTAAACTAAAAATTTCTTATTAGCGCTGTTAGCACCTTATGGTCAAATGAATGCTCATTCAGTGTAATGTTGAACACTAATAACGCTAACAGTCACTTTAACCATTTACTAAAAATATAAATACTCTATATTTGGACCTGTAGTGTGACATAGATTCTACTGAGGAAACCTAAAGGTGTCAAATCCTAAATTTGGTCCAAGCTAAAATAATAATGTGTCCGTATGAGGCAGAACAAGTTGTTTCTCGTCATTCAGAGAACAGGGGTTATATTAGCAGTGTTGTTCTCAGAAGATAATATCTGTTTGTCTGTATTTCCAGGAAAAAGTAACCCATACTGTGAGGTAACCATGGGTTCGCAGTGCCATATCACAAAAACATTACAGGTATGTTCTGTTTTGGACAGGAAACCTTGAGTTGTACAGCATTGAGTCTGTCATCGTGCATATGATCTTGTGTTAGGAATAACAAATAAATAAATAAAGCCTTGTTTAAATGCAGTCGGATTCTCTCAGCACCACGGTTGTCTTCTCCTTCACATCTTTCCTTCACCTGACCTGATAAAGAAAGAGAAAGAGTTGGGGAAAGGACATAGGACGCTATTGTTTTGACTCTTTAGTTCTGTATTGATCCATCTATTGCACATACTGAAGTTATTTACAAGTTATAATACACATCTCTTTTTGTGCATCAGAGCATTCATTTTGCTGCTCTTCTCTTCCCGTTCCCTCTCTGTAGGACACGTTGAATCCGAAGTGGAACTCCAATTGTCAGTTTTTTATTAAGGACCTGGAACAGGACGTCCTCTGTGTCACTGTGTTTGAACGAGACCAGTTCTCCCCTGACGGTCAGTAATAATCAAAGACTTTCTTTCAGATCATCTGTTTGTTCTCCAGATGGGATACGTTCATTTATTTTACAATTTCATCGCAGACTTCCTGGGCAGGACAGAGATCCGGTTGGCTGAAATAAAGAAGGACCAGGGCTCTAAAGGACCAATCACGAAGCGGTTGCTGCTCCACGAGGTTCCCACAGGAGAGATCGTGGTCAGGCTGGACCTCCAGCTGTTTGAGGAACCGTAATACCTGAACAGGACCTCACTGGACTGAAAAGGAACAAAGAGATATGGTTTGGACCCGACAGTCGGACTGAATTAGACTGGACTGGATTTTCTTGGTTTGTCCTGGTTCAGTTCCTTACTGCTTACAGGCTGTTTATGTTTAAGGAGGGCGGTACTCTCAGCTGAGGGAAAGTGAATATTTAGTGGTTAGAGAAGCCCTGGATTCACTGTGTCAGGAGGAGCAGCAGCAGGAGGAAAAGGGTTACAAACAGTTGTAACCAGTCAGCACAGAGTGAATCCATTTGAGCAGTTTTAATTATTTTCCACTACATTTGTTTGAGTGGAAACTGTAAATAAAGAGCTTATTATCTCCGTTTCAGACCACATATCAGTTTTCTTAGATTAATATTCAACCTAAAACCGGATGTCTGCAGGTTCTGATAAATCACTGAACCTCTTAAACTCTTCAGATGTACTTTCCAAGCTAAAAATGTCTTACATAAATCTTAGTACTTTGTTTTACTGGTCTTAAAAAGCAGATCTGTGGTGGGAGATTTTAAAGACAAACACCCCCTTTAACCAGCAGCTCTTATAGTGGACCTGATGTTGTATTACCAAGGAATGAAAATCCATGGCCTGTTTCTATTCCAGTCCAGTCCAGTCTACTTCTGTCCTCCTTCAGTCTGGTCCAGTTTGTTTTTTTTGTCCAATCTGGTTCAGTCCAGTCCTCTTGGAGATCAGCCGGGTCTTTACTGTTTTCTTTTCCTCTGCTTCATCAGACAGTCTCACAGACACTCCAGTGACAATCCCAGCCCTCCTTAGTCCCAACCAACCCCTGTGTGTGTGTGTGTGTGTGTGTGTGTGTGTGTGTGTGTGTGTGTGTGTGTGTGTGTGTGTGTGTGTGTGTGTGTGTGTGTGAGAATGACTGTATGAGTGTCAAAGTGGACAGGCTACTGAAAGGTACGGTTCAGTGTACATTTTCTTCTCTTTTTTAAGTCTTACAACTCTCGGAGTCTTAAGATGAAGTGTTCGGGCTTTCAGCGTTGAGGTACTGCTTGTGAAGGGATCTTGCCGTTTTGAATTTTTGCTCTTTTGACCTTCACTGAACACTTGCCACATTATCTCAGAAAGAGATAAATATGTACAGGTTAAATGAGAAATGCTAACGATGCTAATACACTGAAAATATAGAAAGATTTTACCCCGGTGTATGACAAGTGTCCAGTGTAAATAAATTACAGACATGCCAAGATGTCCCTTTCACGTGCACCCATTATAATAATAGTGAGAATAAAATGGGTGAAACTAAGGCAGCCGGGGAAGAGGTGTGACAGCTAATTTAAATTGAGGTACTGTAAAGAGGAATGTCTTAATTTAAAAAAAAATAAAATGTATGTTGGATGCACACGGGGGTCATAGTTTTAGGAGATTTTTGTCACACATCTAACCTCGGTTGTTATGTTGCTGCTGTGCGGAGCTGTCACAGTGGCCGTCACTATGCAGGGGAGGAAAACCCTGAAAGAATCAGGGGGCCCAGAGCTGGATAGGGGCCCCTCGTACATGCTAGGTACGACAGACATGCATTTAATAGGAACAGCCTTTTAGATCATTTCCACTCTCTAACCCTGAGGAGGCTCAGTGTAAAAGTAATTTTACTGTGTGTCGGCACTCCCAGCACTTTTAAAAACACACACACTGTCGCTGATATTAGAGCAGAGCAGGACACGACTGATGTCACATAGCGGCCATTTTGAATAGTCATAGTCAAAGTAGGAAACTTGAAGGCTGGTGTTATTCTTTATTTTTCTCACTGTCAACACAAAAGACTAAAACCAACATGTGTGATCTCTCAGTGCTTTCCAGCTTCTCTTCTGTGGCACTGGACTCCAAGCTCACTGGTTCCTACTGAGGGTGTAAATCTCACAAATATATAGTGTCTTTCTTTTAAATGACTCATTCATTTTCTAAAACACTTGGTCATTTTAAGCACACATTAAACAGGATTAAATTGTGCATTTGTTGGGGATTAATCCACATTGGTGTTCTAGTGGGTAATGGCTGTTCCTGGTGATGGCTTCTGTGTTTTTAATAGTTTTTGGACAATAATGGAAGTCTGTCTGTGATTCAATACTGTTAGTACGATCAATTCATAGTTGGTTTTAGTCTTTTTGTGGGATTTGTTGTGTACAAGAAACTACAGATTATCATCAGCCCTATCCTTTAAAGCTAGTTTTTGCTTTAGCACATAAAACTCAACAGCTGTAATATTATCTATCACTGTTGAGAACATCAGCTACAATGACTGCTTAAAGTTAGCAAGGAACTTGGCTAGCTAGTTAGCTATAGCCTGCTATAGGCTGGACCGCGGCAGTTTACTGTAGGTCCAAATATTTGACTTCATTGAAATGTGAGATAATTCCTCCGGCAGTTTTTGAGATACACTTTTGTTAAGAACGGGGAGTATTTAAATAATAAATGTTTGTATCGCTGTCACAGCTGCCGCGTACTGCTGGTGCCTGTACGTGGTTGCGTTAGCTTTTTCATGCGTAGGTGCCAAAATTACCATTTTTTTTAAATAGTGGAGCGTAATTGTGTGTTATTATCTTGTTCTTTGGCATAAAAAAACAACAGTTCACTACTTTTGAAAGGAAAACAAGTTTTGTTTGTTTTCAGTTTATTGTCAAAAATGTAACCACTTTTTGAAGCATATCATTTACTCGAATTCCTTTGTCGAAAACACAAACTCAGGAGTTACTTTAAAGGCAGCATTGATCTTCTTTCCCGCCCTGAGTATTCAAAATGGCCGCTGCGTGAGCCAGTCGGACAGTTTGTCCGCTCAGCAGAGTTGTAGATATGCTAGTTAGCTAGCCACTTGGCCAGTCAGTAAATGTAGTTAGCAATCTTAATTTAAAGCCACGGTTACTGAATTACCACTGAGACAACCAATAGTTACCTTAGTGACCAGCCACTGTCCAATCAGAAGTCAGCGCGGCTCAGCCAGTTGCAGCAGCGTGACCGTGGAGGACGGTGTGAGCGAATGTTTGTGTTTCCCCAGACTGAAGCTGATGAAGGTGATGATGATGATGATGAATGATGATAACCCCCCACCCCCTCTCCACGCTGTACTGAAACTAACCTAATCCAGTTTGAACCCGTTCTTACTGTCTACCTTCCAGGTTGTGTATAATACTACTGCTATCTGAGAGTTAATATATGAGCGCCACGGGGGCGATAGAGACAGCCTGCTGTTAATTATCACTGTAGAAGATGATGTACGTTGTTGTCTTTCAATGTTCAGAATAAACTTCAGTTGGACCAAGACTGCAGCTGTCTGTGTTGTTGTTGGCTCCAAGCTCACACACACACACACACACACACACACACACACACACACCCACACACACACACACACACACACACAGAGAGAGAGAGAGAGAGAGAGAAACTTACATCAGTGAGTGGGACCCGCAGAGAGGTAGCAGTGAGATGATTGAAGGAATAGAGAGAAAACAAACTATTTCTTTTTCACAAAATTATGTTTACTGGTATTTTGACTTTGACTTTTTTCCGATTGTTGGGTTCTTGAGGAAATCCTGTACATGACAAAGTTAGTAAAAAACGCAAAAAGGTTGGGAACCACAGATCCACATGAAAAACCATTCCGACCATCTGATGTGTTTTATTTTTTGGTTTTACTTGATAAAGGATGCAGTTGCAAATTAAAGGTCATCCAAATAACCAAAAATATATTGTGTTACTTTTTCTTATTTATTAACCCTACCAAAATAATATGACAGCATTCTCAATATCAAACACATCTGTAGACTATTAAGAGGAAAACAATGTTGAAAATGTTCTCATTGCAGCTAAGTGTTACCAGGCCTTCGTCAGCCCTTGACTGACATGGTGTATGAACCCTGAAGCCCACATGACTAAAAAGGAGACTCACAGCTGCATTGAGTCACAGTAGGACTATTAACTGACCTATGCCCACTGCAGCCTGTGTTCTCCCAACCCTTTAAATTCAATCTGGAAATAGTCCTTCCTGCCAGGATGACACTCACAACTCAGATTTAGGTGTGCAGGGGGGTGTAAACTCAGTGTTGTGCTGGCAGTGAAAGGGGGCGTAGTCTTCACTTCACAAAATGCGTCAAATCAGACACATTGAGCCACAAAAAGCCGGAAGTCAGTCAGCGTTTCCTTCAAAATAAAAGCATCTAGGCTGGAGTCAGTTAACTTACAATGTACTGATATACAGTGGTGGAAAGTAACTATGCATTTATTCAAATACTGTACTTAAGTTGAGTTATTTCACTTGAGTATTTCCATTTTATGCTACTTTGTACTTCTACTTTATACTTCTGTTAGAAGTCCCTAGGTCCGACTTAAACAGTGGGGCGATCGTTCTTTTGCCGTCGCTGCTCTTAGACTGTGGAACAAACTGCCCCCTGACATTCGTACCACTACTGATCTCGGCCTTTTTAATCGAAGCTTAGACCCACTTTTTAGATTAGCTTTTAATTCTGAATAGGACAGTACTGTCTCTTAGGTGTACTCTTTTATCTGTCCTTTCTTGCATTTCTAAGGCTTTTAATACCCTGCGTGCTGCGCACTTTAAATTGTATTTGTATGTTATATATGTGTTATGTACTGTTTCATGGCTCTGTTGTAAAGCACTTTGGGTACCTTTCGCTATTGTAAGGGCTATACAAATAAACTTATTTGATTTGTTTGATTCTACATTTACGTATACATTTCAGAGAGAAATATGGTACTTTTCACTTCACTACAGTTATTTAGAGGAGCTATAGTTATTTCACACATTAAGATTTCACATACAAAATAAAAAGTGTTAAACTACCAAAAGTATATGAAATATATATCTGTCTAAAATTTGCTCCACCTTGACTTAACATCAAAGCACAGTTTACATATTAACACATCAATAACAAAGATCCCATAATATAATAGTATAACGCTGACAGTACCCTGCATCATGAGTACTTTACTTTTGATAATTTAAGTATATTTTTTTGCTAATACTGCTTATATATATAATTAACTATTGCTATCAAATCATGTAATTCATTAAGTCATATTTGCTCCTTTAAACAAAACCATTTGAGGGCACAAATCATTTGGAATTAAATGTCAGGGAACCTTTGGAGAGTAAACTGTTATTTGATACAAATGAGTATTAATTCTCTTGAGACTACTGTGCTCCAGTATATGAGCAGTGGTGGAAGAAGTACACAGTGTAGAAATACTCTGTTACAAGTCCTGCATTCAAATGTATACTTAGGTAAAAGTATTTGCATTCAAATATACTGAAAGTACCATAAGTAATGTTGCAGCTGGTAAAAGTGGAGCTAAATTAAATTTCAATTCTAATACTGAAGCATAGCGTATGAATTTCCTCCTTGGGATTAATAAAGTCTTATTTAACCTATAATAATATGTAACATAACATAACTATAAACACTCAATAAATGTACTAGTAGCCAACCTAAAACTTACACTTTAGCAAGGGACTTCATTATTTTTCCATCACTGTATCAGAGAAATACAGGTGAGTAGTAACCAGAAAGTATTTAAAGTATTACATTTTTTCCATTCACTGACATTTCTATTTTCCAAAGACAGATTAGACGTTGCGGCTTTTATTTCGATAATCCCGACCGGAAACGTGTTCTTCTTCGTCTGTCGGTGTTGACCTCGGTATTTAGAGGCTTGAGGTAGAGAGCTTTATGTAACTGTAATGCTGATAGAAACACACAGGACATATCGGGCTGCTAAACAAAAACATGTTAACCAGCTACCAAACAAACCAACAACAACAACAACAATAACAAACGGTTAGCAGTTGATCGGTTCAGGCCGCCACAGGAAGAGGGTCTTCATTATCGCCGCGGTTAGATGAAGTTAAATAAATGACTGATTGCGATTTGTTATTTGGCGTTTTATCAGCTGTTCAAATGTCCCCCGCTGTGTCCCGAGCGACACAGCCACAGTGACAGACAGTGTCCCGGTGGAGGAGAGACACACTGAACATTCAGTACTTTCCCACAGCGACCTGAGGCTCCTGAACGTTACACCGAAGCAAACTAATACAAACTGTTTCTGACTGATACCTTTTTTATTTAACAATCATGGCTGCTGCTTTGTTCACAAGAGGAACAGGGTTATGTTTAAGAGTAAGTAAATGTCTTGTTTTTCTATCTGTACTGAACAGTATTCAACTGTGAATAATAATCAATAATGTATTCAGTAGTGATTACTCGAGTAATCGAGTACTGCACCTTAAGATCATACTTTTTATGTGGCAGTGGAATAAAAGCTTTCAGTGTATTGAATTCCTGTAAATGTAAGTTTGGCATATAGCATTACTTTGTGCATCTTATAACTGTGTGTGTGTGTGTGTGTGTGTGTGTGTGTGTGTGTGTGTGTGTGTGTGTGTCTCCAGTGTATTCACAGGGAGTTGTGCAGAGTCGTATGGAGGCCACAAACTGCACTGTTCAGCTCCAAACCACCAGACAGAAATCAACCACGCAGGACACACATCAGTAAGACAAACACATTATCTGGCTGTCTGATTTTCTGTCAGGTTTCTATTGCAATCCCCACGTATCACTGTATTCTGTTCATATGTTATTCTTTCTACACCAGTGGAAAAGTAAGACCCTTATATCATGCTGCCACAGGGCTTGAAATTCAGTGTCCCTTTCTGTTCAATCAATAAATGCAAATATAATCACAAATTAATTACAAGGAACATCGTATATTCAAAGTAATAAGGAAAATAAATAAAATAAAATAAAAATCATATAAGCTTATAGGAACACCCTAATCCAGAGATCCAGAGAGAAATAGTGAGAGACCCACCACATCTACTGGCTGCCTGTGCAGGGTGCAAGAGGAGAGGGAGAGACCCCGGCGCTGATAGCAAAAGAGCTGTGGACTGAAGCATGCATGGGTATTCAAAATTATATATATTAAATTACATATTAAAGTAATAATTTCATTGAATTTCTCTACTGTGCTCCAGAATTGTCCCACACACTGTGTCTTTGTGTCCCAGGTGCTATTTTATTGCCCCCGGGACAACAGGTCTTTAATTTCGAGCACAGTGCTACCACGTTGGATAGGTGACAGGAATTTCTTCTTGACAAGCACAAAGATTTGTGGGCAGTATGGATCAAATCCTCTATCATGATATACTGTATGTCATTTAGTATTGCAATATCGACTTATATATGTATGTTAAAATCAGGTAAAATGAATTGAGAAACTGTTAGTGAGTAAATGAACGGACAACAATGTCTTTCAGCAAATTAAATACCTGAAAAATCAACGTACTTGATGCAAATATTATATGACATCTCAATACTGCCGTAAAGCTATATTGAAATTTGCTTTATGGAAAGACGTTTGTTTAGACAGTATATCCAGACAGGCCTCTACTGAAGTAATTTTCTTCTGAGTCTCTGTTTTCTTTTGCTGACAGAGAAAGCCAAGCCCCAGCCAGTGGTGGATGTCGCTAAACTCTTGGAGCAACTCTTTTCCCAGCGCAGGCCAGGCACAGCGCCTCCTGCTGCTAAAGGTCAGCACATTCAGGATGTTGTGTAGAGCAAAATGAAGTCTCTGTCATTTACCAGCCCCTTCTTCATCACACAACATGACACATGGTACTTTTTCATGTATCATTTGAGACTTTTTGGACATCCCGGTACTAATATGTAATCATGCAGAAAACTATGTTAGACTAGGTTATGTACATCTCGTGGAATGACATAGAAAGCACATGTAACTGCAAATGACCACTGTATAGAGAACATGCCATGTTTCTGCCATTCTGTGCTGAGTGATTTTACTTATCTACCCCTCCCCTCTCCATGTCCTTTACATCCTCTTTTTCACTCCTCTTCCTCTCCCCTTCCTCCTACAGCTCGACCAGCCAAAGCCTCTTCCGTACCTACAAAACCTCCTACCACCTCCTCAATCAAAGTCTCCACCTCAAATATTCCTCCTCTGTCAAAGACGGAGCCACCACTGTCTGTTGTTCCTCCTGCTTCTAGTTTCCAGCAAATTGACAGTGTTCCTAAGACTACAAATACTTTTAACACTGCACCGCAATCCCCTCAACCAATAGCAGCATCTCCGACAAACCCAAAGACTTCATATTCCTCAGACATGCCTCCGCAGTCTCCTCTTGATTTTATTCAGGGATTTGCTGCTGATAGTGTTTCCAACGTGACTGTTCCTCCAGCCAGCACAGCACCTGCATCATTAGAACCAGAAGCAGCTGCAATAGGATGGCAAACCTCAGCTGAAACAATAGAAAATGTAGAAACAGCCACAGAGCCAGTTGAACTCAAAACTGTCACAGTACTGCCCTTATCAGCCCACACGGTGGAGGAGAATGTAGAGACCTCATCTTTGTCAACTGTTACAGTAGAAACCTTAATAGAAACCACAACAGAATCACCAGTACAGCTTGGCCTGTCTCCTGTGGAAACGCTAGATGCTGCTGTTGTTGAAGGTCCAGTAGAGCCTACAGTAGATGTTCCAGTTGAAGAAGTACAAACCAAATGCACAGACTCAGGTATGATTGATGTCTCATACACTGCCAAATTAGAACCCTTCATAGAAACTACAATAGAATCACCAGCAGATCTCAGCCAAGTTCCTGTAGAAACACTAGAAACAAGAGCTGCTGTTGTTGATGGTCCAGTAGAATCTACAATAGATGTTACAGTAGATATAGCAGCTGAAACCAAAAGTACAAACTCAGGAGTGGTTGACATTACATACAATATAACAGTAGAACCCTCATTAGAAACTACAGCTGAACCATCAGTAGAGGCCAGCACCTCCCCTCTGGAAACACTAGAAACCAGAGCTGCTGTTGTTGAATGTCCAGTAGATGCTCCAGCACAAGCAGTACAAACCAACAGCACAGACTCAGGTCATGTTAACCTCTCACACATTGCTGAAGAGGAACCCTCAATAGAAGCAACGATAGACCCATCAGTAGAGGCCAGCACCCCTCCTCTGGAAACACTGGAGAGTAGAGCTGCTGTTGCTGAAGGTTCAGTTGAAACTATAACAGAAACTGAAGCCGATACAGCAGGTCAAGCAGTACAAACCAGCACTACAGGCACAGGAGTGGTTAGCGTCTCATACAGTGCCAAAGAAGAACCTTTAATAGAAACAGTAGAACCAGCAGTAGATGCCAGCACCTCTCCTCTAGAGAGTAGAGCTGCTGTTTCTGAAGGTACAATAGAGCCTACTGTAGAAACTGAAGCAGCTGTCAGCTCTTCACACAGTGCCTTAGTGCAAAATGCACAAGAATCTGCACCCTTACCTTTGAGAAACAAAGCAGAATCTACAGTAGAATCGTCCTTAGGAAACTTCACTATGGAGGAGGGAGTGAAGTCTGAACAAATGACTTTAGAGTCTGTAACTCTCCATGTAGTTACGGTTCAGGTAGAGTCCTTGAAGACTGATGAACTCCTCGAAACAAAATCTGCTCTTGATGAAAAAGCAGAAAAACAACTTCAGGAGTTGTTAGTCCAGACGGGGACTGGAGCCGAGTACAAAGCTGCAGCCGAAACTGAGAATGCAAGTGAAGATGAGGCCGAAATTTTAACTAAAGCTCTTTCAAAATGGAACTCTCTGTCTGAAGATCTTCAAGAGTTAGAAGGAGAAAGTGGCACGTTAGTGAAGGAGCTCCTCTGTCACGTGCCTGCGGCGCTTTCCAAAACTCCTGACATGGAGAAAACAAGTTCAGCCTCTGGTCCACCTGTGGGAGCAAATGGAGAGTGTTTGCAGGTGGAGGAGAAGGGAAGCGAAGCAGAAGCCATGACGCTGGAATCAGTCATTTTTTTGAAAGTGAAGGCTGAAGTTGGATGTCTTAAAACTGAAGTTCTGCTAGAAACAAGGAATGCACTTGAGAAAGAAGCTGAGGTACTAGCAAAAGAGGAGAGGATGGAGGTTAAGAAAACGATGGAAGATGTCTTTGAGGACACAATAGAGGCTGAAATTCTAACACTAGATTCTATATCTGAAACCACAGACGCAATAGAGGCTGAGACATCTGTTATGCTGGAGGCCATGTTCGGTTCTGAGCAAGGTCCGATGCAGCCACCTATCACTTTACCCGTTGATCAGCAACTGGGACAACAGGATGAAACGAGTGATCAGGAAAAGTGGTCTGGAGAGCAGGAAGAGAGTGCCTTGGAGGCCATGACTCTTGAGTCTGTGACTCTGGCTGACATTGAGGCCTCCTTGGAAACTCTGGAGAATGAGTCTCTGAGTGACGCCTCGGATTATCTGGAGAAAGAAGCTGAAATTCTTGCTGGAGAGAAGAGGACGGAGGTAGAGGATGCGGTGGCGTTTGAAGAGACGACTGAGGCTCTGAAGGTCGAGTCTCTGTCTTTCCCCGAAGGTGACGCTTTGTCTACAGCGCTGCAGGCAGACACACTGATGGAGAAGCTGCTCTTTTCTGTTCCTGGGAACGTAACCGGGGTAACAGAAGGCCAGATTGGCCAGGAGGTTGTAAGAGAGAATATTTTGGATGGTAAGTTTGACTTTTGTTAGTGGTGAAGAGGCATTAGGAGAAGCAAAGGCGGAGAGGTCATAGTAGATAAATCTCTAACTTTAAAGTCATGCTTATTTAAAGGAGACATTTTGAAGTACTTTGTTTTGCTTTCTTACTGAGAGTTAGTTCAGAGGATCGATACCACTCATGAGACTGTTAAAGCAGCTGAAAGGAACTTTAATCTTGTATTGATTCTGGCGGGCCCTGTAGACAAAACAGGAGTATTTGTACCCCCTTGTTTTGTCAGATTTTGAGGGAAATCCGACTGAATCCGAAGCCAGTAGAGGCTATGTAGAACTATACAGAATTAACAAATCTTCCAGCTGATATCTAGCCTGTCTGTTTATGTAGGACATATAAAGGAATCAGTATTAACTTGAGACTGTTTAATAACCACTTAAAACTCCTTGTAATGTGTTTCAATTGGGAGCTTGAGCCACAAGATTATTAGCTTAGCTTAGCATAACGACTGGAAGCATGGGAAAACACTAGCCCGACTTTGTCCAAAGTTGGAAAATACGTTTGATGGAGACTTTAGAAATACATGTGTTATTGAAACTGAGACAACAGCAGAGGAGATGCAAACATTTTAGTTTGTTTTCAAGAAGAGTTTAACCAGTACCAACGTTGGTGAAGTGGTAGACGCGTCAGAAAGTGGAATTTGTTCTTGTCCAGACACTCATCTGTCCTGTTTCTGTTTTGTTATTTTACCACAGCAACAGTTGCCACCGGGCCAGTTGACATTGATTCAGCCGCTGCAGTGACAGAGGATCTTCCAGCTTCCGACGCTCTGAAGGAGGTGCTGCTGGGAGAGGAGGTGGAGGAGGAGGGAGCACAGATTGAAGCCGTGGGGATTGCAGATGGGACACAAACAGGTAAATAAACTTAAATAGACATATGCAGATACATGCACAGTTGTAGGTTGCATCAGGCAGTTCTGCAGCACATGGATTACAGCCGTATTGCAGGAAGCAGCGTGATGTCCATGTAGGGAGGAGAACAGTAAGGTCTGGATGGGTGTGTAGCATATCCCACTTTGACACAAGAAACCATTTGCTTCTCATTTCAGACTAACTTAATGTTGGCTTTTTTAAACCATGACTACAATCTTTCCCTAAATGGTTGAGCATGCTTGGAACGAACTAGGTCGACCACATCTAAAGGAAAAAGTGATTATACCTGTTCTGAAAGGCTACACTTTAAAGTCGGGGTGAAAAGCCTGATGTCACAGCCTCCATCTGCTTGCATCACACTGCCTCTCTGATCTCTTTCTTTTTAATTAGTTTCCCAATAACATTCAAAAACAACTAATATCAGCATTGTCTGGTGATAAGGATTGGCTTTAATGGATTTGATGTGTTTCAGCTTTAGATCCAGTACAGAGACTCTTTCTGGAGAAGATCAGAGAATACAACAACATGAGCAGGTAAAGAGACAATAGAGGTTTCCTGTTATATTCATTAGCAAACTCCATTGGAGGCTGCTGGATTGCCCCTGAACAATCACGACACAGGTTGTTCAGTTCTATATAGCTTGGCTTGTTAAAGGAATAGTTCAACAATTAACACACAGATAAGAGGGTATCTAGTTTAACATCTAACTCTCAAAAATACCATACATTTCCCAAAAATGTTGAACTATTTCTTTAAGGGCCTTAGTAAGTGGAAGTAAGTACTTACGTATACAGTAACGGCTGGAGGCCCAGCTGCATGGTGGCCCTTTGATAACAACACAAGAAAAATGCAGAGTTTAAGATGGGATACCAGTGGGAACTGTGATGTTGAGATGTAATGTAGAGGAGACATTGATTGAATGACAACCGTTTCAGCTTTCATTTCCCTCGTCTTCTGTCTCCTCACTTGTCCTTCTCTAAGGTTGAATGGAGGGCCATTGGAGGCGGAGCCAGACTACGAAAAATGTCTGTCAGAGGAGACCGCTAAGCTCCAGAGACTTTATGGGGGAGGAGACCTGAGCAGCTTCCCTGAGTTCACCTTCACCGGTCAGAGAGAGAGGTTCACTCACAGAGAACTTAATACACAACATTATATTCAGAGCTATATCAGTGGCAGGTTCTGGAAGTAAACAGCCTTTTAATTTGCTTCCCTCTTTAATGTGATTAAAGCCTTTAACTTAAGAGGTGATGATTACATTTTTTAGAGATACAGCATCTTTGCTGATAAGATGAACTTATTATCTGTCATCATCAGTAACATGTAGTGCCCAATCTTATCACAGATTTATTATGATTAGCATATGTCAGCCAATATGTAACAGACGCTGCAATGTCCAAAGACCACCGACACGTTTATTTTTCAGCTGTTGTAAAATGTCCTGCTCAGTACATATCTTTCTAACAACTCTCTGATAACCAAATTTATGGAATACTTTTGTAAACTCTAAACTTTGGAGTGGTTAAGATCTCCAAGGCAACACAACAAACCTGACTGATGAACTTGCCTCTGGATGAGTACATTGTGTAGTTTAATCTACCTTGTGTTGGTCATACACTCTGGCTGATAATCTAATTCCTTATGGAGATTATAAATTATACTTTTACCTCTGGGACATGATGTTTCAGCTCTGTTGCACTACGGCTGATTAACAGGCACCGCACAGACTCATTAAAATATATACAGTGACAGAATAAAACTAAATACATTCCCAAATATACAAAAAAAACGACTTCTGCTGTTTTCTCCTCAGAGCCCAAAATGGACCAGGACTCCAAATGATCCATGACGCCTCCCTCCCACTCTTCTTCCTTCACCTCTTCTCCTTAGGCCTGTCCTCTCTGACTTCCTCCTCCATTACCTCCTCATTTCACTACATGGGAGAACAGAGAGAGGGGGAGAAGAAGAAGAAGAAGAAGAAGAAGAGGCATAGGCGGTTTGTTTGGGTGATCTGTCTTTAAAGTAAGAGAAAATGTATTCCTACATGTTTGTTTGCACTGTGCAATAATGATAGCAACAAATTCATTTTATTAAAGCAGCGGCATCAAAAGAGCAAGTCTCGTGTTCTGTGGTGTTCAGGGTGTGTGTTGGTGTGAAACGCAATCAGAGCGTCAGGTAGAGCAGTGAATGCCTGGATGAACAGCAGGTGGTGCTGTCAATTCAGCATCTCTACATTTATCTCCTCTACCTCTCTGTTTCTATGCCTCACACTCTCCCTCTTTCTGTTCTTTCTTCCTCTTACTTGCCTTTGCAGCCCATATTTGTCTGTATGCACTCAGTGTACTCTCTCCATCACTGCCGGCTGTGTTGTGCAGTGACAGAGGCGGTCTTTGCCAAGTCAAATCCCCCCTCAGTCACGACTCTGTGATAGAGACGGTGTGAGTCACAACCACAGACACGCTGAAGGAAAACATTAGCGCAGTACCAAACTACAGTACAGATTTTTTGGGGGGTTTGTCTTTTATTTTAGTCAAAGAAAAGACACATCTGAGTAGTACATTTATGTAAAATGTTTTCCAAATGAATTCGGCTATGTAAAGTGGAGAGACAGAATTTAATAGGAACAAAATAGGAGCGAGTTGTCATTCACATTCATTCATTTCCAGCTGTGTTGATCAGGATGCGCTGAGTGGCCCTGTGGTGACGTCACCGGGTTTAGGCGGTCCCTCAGATCGCCTGCGCAGAATACCTGCGCGCGTGCGTCCTGCCTTCAGTCTACACGCGACCCCTCGGTTGTCCTCGGCTCGTGACACCTTTTTTGAATTGTCAGTTAGCGAAACGTTAACGGCCATAGCAACAGAACCTCTAACGGTCGTTGACCAACCGACTCCCGCTGTTTCTTCTGTGTGTGGTCGCACGCGCTCTCTCTCTCTCTCTCCCACCCTCTCCCCATCACACACACACACACACACACACACACACACACACACACACACACTGCACATCACCCGCTACAACCTCAACACGCGCTCACACTCACCGCCATCCTGCCTGTGACACACAGCTGGTTAGCTAGCTAGCTAACGTTACTTCTTACTACCTGGCGCCGTTGTCGTCGTGTTCACGCTGAGTTTTCCGTATTGTTATGTGTAGACGTGATTATTGTTGAAGTAACGGATTATCTGCATCCCTCCTCGGCTGACCGGGAGCCGCCATGGAATGCCGTGTTCTGTCCATACAGAGCCATGTAGTCCGGGGATATGTGGGCAACAAGAGCGCCTCTTTCCCATTACAGGTAAATACAACTTGCATGCATCCGTTATCGGACAACGAGCGACGAGACGCCCGTTATCGGACACGACCCTGTCTGACACGCTTGGTTCCTCTTTGCCTGCAAAATCCAGCTGCGAGTTTCCATCAACAGTAAACCGACAGATGCAAATACCGATTTTTGTAATGATACATGGTCATTACATCGTACAAAGTTGGTACAATCTTTGCTAACAGAGATCTGTCATCCGCCTGAACCGTCGCTGGATGAGTTAAGGTCCGTGCTATTATAGTGCGAAAGGCCATAAACGATGCTGATGTTGGACGTGCTGTGAAAAGCCCCAAAATAACAGCTGGATGTCGAGATATAACCGCGACAACCTGTGTCGTGCCAATTCTGTCTCCCCGACAGAGCCGTCTCTTTTACCTCAGCACAAACACTGAAAGATGTGAAATGTGGATAATATCCTGGCAGCTGGTGTTTTCTCGTTGCTCATGCTTTGTTTATATGGCGACGTTTTACATTTCGGCTGTAAATGAAGGAGGAACTCTTTCAGACGGACGGCGCCTGTCATTGGCAGGGTGTCCGATAATGGAGCAAGGTGTTTTTCTACTAGGTTTTATCGCCCGCCACGAGAAAACATTCATTAGGTACCTGAACTGCCTGGCTGTAGAGCGACTTCATGGCTAGTTTGTTCGCCAGAGGTGGCAGAGTTGTGTCTGATAATGGAGCTCCTGGTGTTAATCAAATGACCCCTATTTGGATGACTGGGGAGAATGGCAATAACTATTACATGGAGAACCGAGCTTTTCTCTCACAGGTCGATGTAAGTCCTCAGTTAGCCTGTCAGTAACAGTATACACCTCCCAGTGGGGTTGCAAAAGCTAGCTAATGATAATCTCAGGGATTAGAGGGATATGTGTACCCAGTTAACCAGTCACCACGGTGACCATCTATAGCTCACAGCCCTCAGACAGGCAGGTACACGGCTGTAATGGTCATGAGGGACCGTGCATGGGGACATCGAGGTGAACACAGATACAGCCTCGCGCCGTGATAACCTGCAAGTTTGTTAGTACTACAGGGCGGACAAATAATCAATACAGCTGTTTCCTACCTTTAAGTTTTCTGATAAACTCACAGATTAGGGGAAAAGGTTATCGTAGATGTTTTCTGGTTTCTGAAAGTTAAAAGAGTGTTTTACCAGTTTCATTAGAACAATCGCACACATATAGATTTAGTTGTGTGTGGTACAAAGGTTTAAAGACCGTACACATGAGAGACAACTACCTTAGTTGTCTATGAAGTTCAGTGAAACTCAAAGTAGTGTATTGATGGTGGCTTTTGAAAAATAAAGTTGCCCTTTCACTGGGATGTTTTTGTTTACACTGATTAATTTTGGCTAATAGACGTCTTGAAATTTGCAGAATCACAAAATCACCTGTTTAGATTTGCAAAATGATGAATCTAGCACAGGTCTCTTACTCACTTTGCAATTCAAAACAGATGTCTTTAAACTGAGAGCAGCTGTAACAGCTACTGACATCTTAACAAAACATCAGTCAGCTAACATCTTTGAACTAAAACGATGATATCAGACGTGAGCCAACATTGGTATTAGTTATTGGTGTACATCTGCTCATTTATCTTGATATCTAACTGTAAACCTATACTATGCTCATTGGCTGACTAGGGTGATTAAACTGTATACTAGGACACCTCAAACATAGTCACTGCTTATCTTATACATTAGTAAGCTGCAGAGACACCATAGCAAGCACTGTTTCTTTACACCAGATTAATGGTCAATCTATGTAACTGACTGACAGCCAAATGTGTCACTACAGTAACCAACAGAAGTTGAGAAAACGTTTATGATTTTCAGTTTTTATCTTTCCTATTGTATGACACCCCCCCGATCAGAGGGTCGTCTGAAGATAAGGGAGTTTAGTAGGCATCAGTCAGTTAACCTGAATAACAGAGCAAATTTTAAAGCACTTACAGATGAAGTGCCGTTGAGTACAGGTTTTGAGTGGCTCAACATGTGTCTTGGTCTTTAACCTAATAGGAGTGACTCTTGTGTTGGGTCATTACAGCATAACTACTAGAATAAGAAGCCAAAAACAGCAAATGCATTCAAAACAAGCCATTGATTTGATATTAGTTGAAAGGACACAGAGGTTATTAGCTCCTCCCGGCTATGAAAGTGATAGTCATTCCCCTTTATGATCCCTAATGTTGACAGTAGGGTGATTACAGTGATTGCTTTGGGTCTATAATTGCATGATGATGCTGATTGTTACAGTTTCAGTTTTTCCACCAGCAGTGGTTTGGCAGTCAGTAGTGATGGTGTTATAGGCCTACAGTACACGTCCCATCATCCTCAAAGACAGTCACTTGTTGTAAGTGCCGTGTCTATTTTTAGCCTGCTGCGCCCCAGGATGTATTTTGCGGTTATCCTAATGGCTGCTGGGCTTTGATGCATGTCACCAGGATTCAGTGCAGCCATTATTGTTCAACTACTATGGACTATTAAGGCCAGTTTGTACCGGCCTAATGTTAAAATAATGTTTACCAGTGCAGCTTACTAAAGCTTACACTGATATTAAGCAGTGTACTAAACCTACAGCTTCACCAAAGCAGGAATAATACCAGTATTACAGTCACCAAATATGGATACGAAAACTAGTACTTGCTGGTGCCTGTAATTTTTCAGAGCATCTTTAGTAAGATTACATTCATGCTGCTTCATTATGCAGACAGTATTTGTATTGAAGCCTTTATAGTCTTTTTACAGGGTGCCTGCAAGTCATGCAAGTTATAGTTGCAAGTTAATTGCCTTAATCTCAGACTTTAAATAGTCCTGCATTCATCTAAATATAACATTTTACAACTTAGATGAACTATTATGAGTCTTACAGATGTTGTGAATTCTCGGGCCCCCTGGTGAGAAATGAAACCTGTCATGCAGAATGTCTTTCAATTGCTTTCACTTTCAAATTATCACAGCGGTGAAGTATAGCCCTATTTTTCATCGTAATTTACATTGAAGGGTCTTATAAGTGGTTAAATGTAAGGACACAAACTCTTCAGGCACCATGTTTTAGCTTGAATGAGATGTTAAAAGGAACAACGATTATGTAAATGAACAGTTGGAGTCAGATCCAGTTGCAGAGGTATATCATTGGCAGAGTGAGTTTTGCAGTCAGTTTGTGAATGAACTACCACTAATGCTTGAGCAACGTGATGGTATTTTAGATTTAAACTAATAAACATTATGGGTCAGTGAGGGAGCTGCTCTCACTAGTCAGAGTCATAACCATGATTCGGTTGGTGTTGAAGATAAAGGGATAAGGTGATGGTGATGTCAGCGAGCGTGCAGGGCAACCCTCTCTCTGTGCTGACAGGACGGAGAATCTCAGGCGAGCAGGAGACGGCGATATTTGAAGGCAGGGCTCTGATTGGCTGCCACAGGATTCCTCTGGGTGACGTCACTGAAGATGGAGACAGGCTGCCTCAGAGCTGCACTGGATAGATTCAGCTTTCACATGGAAACAGAATCCATAAAGAGGGCTGTCTGATGGCACCAAATTGAGGATAAATGCATTTAATAAATTCAATTAAGTCTGTATTATTATTATTATTATTATAAGTGTTGAACCCTGTCGGTTGGTAGTCGGTGTTATTTCCTCCAAAATGCAATTACAACTGGAGCCAAAGACACGTTATCAAGGTAACGCTGTTCAAAGGAACAGATTGTGCAGACGTGTGAACAAGTGAATTATGTGTGTGTATATGTGTTATTCTCAGTTTTACATACTGAAGCTAATGCCTAAAACCCATCCTTCAGAGGAGAGCGAAGGCCTGTGAGAAAATGACTAATTCTTCATTGTTTGGTAGCCAGACAACCCTGTAATCAATTTGATTACTACTTAATGTAATTAAAGTCGTTCGTGTAGCTAGATCTAGATTTATCAGTTAATCAGTTACTAACTGAAACAGATAAGTGCCTTGGTAATTGATTAATGGTTCAAGTTGTTCATCAAAAGTGCCGAACATTTGCTAGTTTCAGCTTGTCGAATGAGGAGTTAAGCTTGTTCTGTCAGCTGAATACCTGTGGCCATTATGGCGGCACGGCTTTAGGGATGGAAAGGTCATGTGGTCGGTTGTCCGGTCCACCACTGTGGTCCAGACGGAAACATCTCAACAGCTACTGAATGGGTTGATATGAAATATTCTACAGACATTCAAATAAAGTCTGGTGATCCCCTTACTCTTCTTCTAGTGCCATATAGCAAATACCAAGAAGACAGGTGACATTACCAACAGTCTCAGCTGCACTTTATGTGTAGTGCTATTTAGCAAATGTAAGCATGCTAACATGCTAAACTAAGGCGTTGAACATGGTAAAAATAGCTGCTAAACATCAGCATATTAACATTATCATTGTGAGTGTGTTATGCTGACATTAGCATTCAGCTCGAAGCACCACTGTGCCTCAGTGCAGCCTCAGAGAGCTGCTAGCATGGACTGGCCTGTTTTGTCAAGATTAGTCATTCTGAAACATCATTTGAAGGCTGAGGCATGTGACAGGTATTTGTTGTGAGTTTATATTACTGTTTAAAAGCCTGAACAAGAAACAGAATCAATAGATCGCAGTGCAAAGACACCTTGAACCCATGAACATAGACAAAACTATGGTACGTGCACACATGGAAACAAACTAATATACATGTGACATTGTTGGGAAGGGCAACATATACATTAATGCACATTAACAGTGAACATACAGGAGCTCACCCAAATCAGAGGGACTCTGCTAGCTTAGTCACGATGCAGTAAATATAGCATCTGTGTTGACTCAGATGTGATCAGCCTGTACTGTGACACATGTTAATTAAAGAAACTCTTCATTTGTCAGTGGCGACACGGCTTCCTCATTTGGGAATTTACCAAAAGTGCTGAAAGTGTTTCCTCATAAAGGCTAAATGTGCTTTTCATAATTTAGTTAAAATCCTCTCCTCATTCTGTGACGATGCTCTCCCGTCAGCAGCATTGTAAACAGCCTATCTGTGTCACTGACTCGAGGCTTATGAATACAGCAAGAAAGGATGTGACCTAAATAACATATTCTTAGCCCCATGTACATCAGTAGGCCGTAAATACACAGTTTTAAATCAATAGTCAATTTGTACCCAGCTCAGCCGAAGGAACATGTGGAAATAGACAGGTTGTTCCTGTGTTAAATGGTCCTGGTTCTGAAACCGTCATTTTTATTCACAACTCTGGAACAGCACCCAGAAACAGATCTTAGAGAATCTAACATAGACTTGAGGGAAGGATTTACTGCAGGGTTGTTGGATTAGATTGGATATCTACCAGCCGCAGCACTGCTGGGCTCCCGACCTCCTTTTAGCTGAGGGCAAATATGGGATATCAATAGAAAATCACACAGATTAGAATGAGAAGGAATTTCATTATTCACACTTCTGTCTGTCCACCAGGAGGGTACTCTTACAGTATTGTGTCTTAAAAATAGTATTTCCAGTAGAAATGTCATATTCTACATTCCCGACTCCACTTTTTCCTGAATGCCTCATGCTGATGAAACAAATACTGTTCACCTTTCAGAAAACATTGGCCACACTGGAAGAAGCTGGTGCATTGACAAGTTCCTCCAAGGTCAAAGCTGATATCTACACTGCCTCTCCCCTCTGAAAGCAGATTCTTGTATCTCAAAGTTACAGTCAATTGAAAAGAACAAAGACCTCATTCACTCCGCCTGCTTCTTGCTTCAGCCCAATTAAATAAAGTCATTCAGATAACAAGTGACTGCGCACATGGACGGATCATGTGTCTTTCCCTCTCTCTGGTAATTAAAAAAAAATCCGGGTAGAAAGACAAATAGAGGGGAGGACACCAAGAGTTGTTTTTTGGGAATGTTCCAGATCTGTGCTGATTTCAGGAATGTTCCAGATCTGTGCTGATTTCAGACACTGACAGGATTCTGTGTTTATCTCCACTCACAGATCACAAATAGATAAATGGAGTCAAACGGGGTTCTGATTTATTTCACTTTGATACATGTTTACATGCTGCAATTATGGTTTTGATGATCTGGAACAATATACACTTTTTGGCAAAATTATTTTATACCAATAAACAGTCATCTGATAATATTTTAGGGATGGCTATTGGTTCTTTCAGATGAGAAAACATTTTTCATTCATTCATTTGGGATGTAGATTTAAACGATCAGCTGAAAAGCTCTAAAAAAAAAACTGTTTTACCTGCTCAACACCAAACAGCAGACACACCTGAAAGTTAGCAGCTAGTAGGTGAATATAGTAGAGCATTCAGCAGCTGAAGAGACAGATACTGTATTTAAGAGTTGATGAATATCAGACTTACAGTCATCAAACAGACACCGCTCCAAATGAATGCTAAGGATGCTCTGTATCTGCTGGATGTGTTCATAGACCTTTTTCACAGCAGCCATCTTGACATGAAATAGTAGGGTAAAGACCAGTGCTACCAATGATACTAATTAAAGTTCTGTTTCATTCAGGACAAACAGAGTCAGGGTGCTGCTGTTGTGCATGTTGGCTCACTGGAAACGTTCAGCTACACTAAATTGAACGGAACCTTAGTTATTATCATTGGTAACACCTGTGTTTACGATTTCACGTCAAAATGGCTGCTGTGAAAAAGGTTTATAGTATGCTAACAAGTTTGCAGTAAAGTCACGTGGGTGTTGACAACTTGAAGCTGCCCAAATATTTAGTGGCATACTTTGTACATTTATAATTACAGCCCAGTCCAGTTGCTGCACACTCCGTGCATGCAGGAGTGTGATATATTTGTACTACTATACTTAAAATACAGTTGAGCTGTCAAATTAATAGCAAGCGTGGCTCTTACTCCTAATCTCTCCTGACTCCTAATCCGTTTCCTCTCTCACTTCTGTTTCCAGGTTTTAGGGTTTGAGGTGGACTCCATCAACTCTGTGCAGTTCTCAAACCATACAGGTAAGACGGATGAAATAGCATATTTCTTTGAGAGCGTGTGTGTGTGTGTGTGTCGTAGTCAGCGAGTGTGGGTGTGTATGAGTCAGTCAGTGCCCCTGGTGTCGTGACGAGGTGTTAGCGAGTATTAGAGAGACGGTTGTCATCGAGGCAGTGGCCGTGTTGAGGCTGACTAGCCGACAGCTGAGTGAGTGGAGGTTTTGAGGAGGTCAGTGACTTCACTGGCTGACACCATCAGCTGTACGGGACGAACCCCATTCACATTTTATACAGGCTCTCTCTCTCTCAGCCTGTCCTAGGACCAGTCGGATGCTGCTGGTCTTATTTTGAAACTCGAAGCAATGGTGCCACTTCTTTGTGCTCATGAGTAATAAAAAGGAAAGTGCCAACGATTTTACTATGAAGTCTTAAGTGTTGAGCTTGAGACTATAAATGTATAACAATGGGAACGGATGTGGGCATTTAAACTGCTTTTCCACTGCATGGTACAGCTCGGCTCCACTCTACTTGCTCTTTTTTATTTTCTATTATGGATAATACCTGGTTCTTTTTTTTATCAACAACTCGGTCGAGGTTCCGAGCGAGCTGAGGCGATATTGAAAGGTGACCTGAAAACACTGCAGACCAATGATTGGTCACGCAACACAGGACATCCTGCACAAACCTCCCATTTTTAAATACTTTTAATACTTATTTTTAAAAATTCACTCAAAAATGGCGGTCTCCAAAACCACGCCGTGGTCAAGTGACGAAGTGCAGAGGTACCAAGAACACCATCCCTTCAGATCCTCTGTTATAAGAGCAGCAGCTCCTTTGCTTGTGGGTATAATGTGTGGAAAAGGTGAGCAGTAAGGTTGTCAGTCTGGCAGTAAATGTACAGTGTAGGCTACAGATTGTCAGTGAATAAAAGCTGCAGCTTCTCAAGACTCCATGTTGTTTCCCAACTGCATCGCTATGATGATCAGCTCCACCTACGTTGGGGGGTTACTATCCAGGGTATCATCTACAGGGGGAAACAAAGTAAAGGTACCAAAAGAGAGTAGAGATGAGTCGAGTCGAGCTGTGCTGTGTGGTTGAAATACAGCTACAGTACCAGGCAGCGAGGGTCTAATGATGAAACATTGAGTTGCATTATGTTAAGTAGAGGATTTTTGGGTCTTGACACATATTATGGACTAAAAGTTTCTGCTCCATTCATTCTGACCTTTAACTTTATAAAAGTAATCAGAATACAATATATTATAGCAGTAATTACTGAAATATTGGAAGATCAAAATCTGTAAGAAGTATGATAATGAACAAAGGAACTGTTATCTAACACTGCTGATGAAATGTGGCCTTAACACTCCTTTCTGCCACAGTGAATGTGTGTTCAAGGGATCTCTCGCTTGTGTTTATTGTTGATTATCACGGTAACGTTAGGTGAGATTTAATCACCATGTTGGTTTTTTGCAGCCAGCAGCGGTGACACACAGATATATTGTTAGATCTCTCTAGTTTGAATTTTGATACAGTTAAGATTTTCAATTGCTTGAACTTGACTTGATGATGGTTCTGTAATTAAGGGAGCGACTGATTTTTACAAAGTCTAAGTAAATATTGTATATTAAATTCTAATAATAATAAAGTTTATTTACTGCAAACAGCACTAATCAAAGTCAGTGATTACAAAATGCTTTGCAGACATTTGCTGTCCACTCCTGTGTTTATAACACTGATTGGCCAGATTGGGTGAGCCAATTACAAATTAAAAAGGCGTACTTGCAACATAATCTGATGATGCATGTTGTTACTGATTGGCCCATAGGGAGTGTCTGCGTCATCCCTTAGTGTCACATTTACTTGTAATATTTTGATCAAATTTCCAGTCTCATCAGTGAGTAATCTGTCTTTCCCCTGTCTTGCACTGATGGATGGTCCCAGCTCGTGTTATTCAGGCAAACTGAGCGCTGTGAAAACAAACACATCTGCCCAGCTGTTGCTTGTTGCTTCACAGTGGATTCAAGCAATATCCAGACTCCAGAAATCCTCACAGGATCTGGTCATTATTACAAAGTTTGGAATAAATTTAGAGGAAATTATAAGAATAAAGTTTTTTTTATCTGTTTATTTGATAAGTCAGATTCTATTGTGTCTTATATTTTTTGGCTGGTTAGTAAGAGACACTGCTCTCACTTCCCTGCCACCAACATAAAGAGGAATATTGATAACAAGTAAATGCACCTTTCCATATTTTTATATATTTTATGGAATTAAAACACACATTATTAGTTACATTTCTTATTAGAAGTAGAAAATAGATACATTAAGAAAACCTCAGCAGAAAGCCAACAAAAACAAACAAACCAAAAACACAGACGATGTGCAGTAAGAGCAGTCAATAAAATCCCTGTAGCATGATGACACCAGGCTCTACATAGCTCAGACAGGGTTCCCAAATGTTCTTATTATGTTTCATGTAAGGTACTGGCACTAAATCAAACTGCTCTCTCTGCCAGCCTTTCACAGCTTTTTCAACTTCTTCATGAATCCACTACACACAGTATTTGGCTAATAATGTCAGTGGCTGCTCTATTTGGGAAATTAGTCAACTGTGGTATATAGAGATTTCTACGTTGTTGTTTTTACGGTGTTGAATGGTACAGAGTGAATGACCTTGACCTCCTCATGTCATGGTTGTCTAGTTTTTCATTTGGTATAGTTTGAGAATACGAGTAATCATAACCTAGTCTATGAAATAATCCTGACTCAGTTGCCAGGAAAAGGTCAGTAAGCTGTTTATCAGCAGCCAGGTTGGACTGTGGTTTTGTAATTTCACTGTTATTGAGCTAGGTGGATGATGTTGAATTTAGAACTAGTGAAAGTAATCTGTTGTGATGTTGCAGACTAAGGGTAAAGATAATTGTTGGTGTTCTGTAGGATAAGTGCTGTTGTGTAGGCGAGCATGGGCCTCGTCTGTAGCAGCATCAGATGCAGAGACAAATGAAATGCTGTAATTTACATTTGAGCTGTTTAGAAGTGTTGTAGCCTGCATTCAGCCAAACATTTATGATATAAGAGGTTCCCATGACCAGGTTTCTCTGCACACCGTTTATTGGATAGTCCACAGGCTGGCTGTGAAGTTCTTTAGAAACAATTTTCTATCGAACATAGAAAATAGTAAAACTGGTAAAAGTGGTATTTTTCTCAAATGTTCTACTGCGCAAGAAACAGATGAGAATAGATATAAAAAGAATTTATATCATACAGGAAATTAAAACCGGTATACTGGTTCATCCCGTGTATTGCCCAGGACAAACAAGCTGTGTCGTTTTCAATGCTTGGAGCAGCACAGATGAAATATTACCCACCTCCTGTGCATTTGGGACGCGGCAGAAGTTTCAGTGATGGATATCTCAAAACCTCTGAAAATAAAGCTGAAACTATGTGCAGAGGAAGATACCACTACTACTTTGTTTGTTACTTTATTTTGTGTTGCAGTTGAACTAGTTGAACTTTAAGTTTTAAAGTAAATAAGCACATATCAGTGGCTTATTTCCTTTTTTCCGTAACATTGATATTTTGTGTTCCCTTTGAGAGATGTTGCCACTTTAGCATTTTTTTTTTTACATCACATTTGCTGAAGGTTAGCACAGAATCCTTCTTCAGTGGATCTTCTTTATTTGCAGTTAATTCATGTTCCAAACGTTTACTTAGGTTTGTACTTTGTGTTTAACTTTCTGTCTTCAGTTAAGGATGGTAGGGTAGGAGGCTCATTAGCTGGATGAGCCAGATGGGACTTCATTTTTGATGTTTGTTTTGGAATAGGAAAATATTTATCAAGAATATCTGTTTTGGGTTTTTCAGAAGGGAGCTGAACTATTTGAATCAATCGGTCTCAAAATACAGTTTAGGGACGTTTTAGAATTTTGGTTTGGCAGAACTCTAGAATCTAGAATATCTCTAGAAAATTGTCCGACTGAGATTATTTTATCTTTTTGTCACCGTGATCTCCAAGTGAACAGTAAAAACGCAGCTGTCACATTACACCAGGACACACTACCAGGACTGCGTGCTTGCACGTTTTTGATTGGCCAATGCAGTACCTTGCCAGATGGCGTTGGATTGCGTTGCGGCAAAAGTTGAGCCAGATTCCACATTTTGCCAGAGCCCTCTGCCTCCACCAGCACCCTCTGAGTCCCATTCAAGTAAATTAGGGGGCTGTGTATTTGTGTATTTTCACACAGTGTTCTTGTCTGTCTGAACACACTGCATAGATGGGATTCCTGTGAGCTCCAAGCTAAATCTGTATTCAATTTAAAGCTTTAGGGACCAGTTAGACTAAGAAGGATTCTAATCATAGGTTTCAGCTCACTGTTCACATCACGTACAGAGCAGACAGTGATACAGCTGAGGACAATGTCAGGAACAAAAAATGTCTTCCTCCCATCAAAGCCTCACATCACTGGTCTCAATTGTGTTTGTTTCAGTGACCTTAGCATAAAAATGCCTCAGACTCTAGAGCTTGTTTAATCAGATTTTGTATATTGGAAACTAACATTTGCAATTTCTTCGAGGAGAGAATGTAATTTGTCGTGACACATTGAAGAAGACGGGTGCATCTGAGAGGGAGCGGGTGGCTGGCGATGGGGACAGAGAAGGTGAATTGAGGGAGGGAAAGACAGGAGGTTTTTGAATCAAGACAGACAGACAGCGGATGATGGAGAGAAAGACGGAGGGAGTGGAGAGAGAGAGAGACAGGACGCAGCAGTAAACAGCAGCAGGCGTTGTGAATTGCGACAGCAGTGAATGATGACGACAGAAGCAGCTCTTATCTGTAGGCCTGCCTTCATTTTCCCTCTCTCTCTCTCTCTCTCTCTCTCTCTCACACACACACACACACACACACACACACTCTCACACACAGCGCTCTGACTGCTCATCTCTCTTTCTTAGCCCCTTTGGCTTTCTCTCGGCTTGTTGCTTAGCAACCAGAACCCCCCACCACGTGACCTGGCTGTGACTCACCTGGAGCTGCGACATCATCGGCCTGCAGCAAACATGTCATACGCAGACAGACGCGCACTAACGCAGGCTTACATTGGCATTCACGTCACATAAATGTGCCCCCATATAGGTACATACAGTACTTCACACACGTACACCCCTCCACACACAATGTATGTGTCCTCGTCCTCCCCCAGCCTCTCTTCTGTCCCTGACGGAAATAGTATTTCAAAATATTAAATCTTTTGGGTGAAGTTCACACTACTCAGTCACAAGCAAAACTCACTTGTTTTTGAGTCATGCGTGCAGAGAGGAGACAAAACACAATCGATTGCAGTGTCTCTAACTTTATTCTGTGAGGATGCTTCGTCCTTGTTGGTGCATTGCTTCACATCTTGGCGTGCCACCGCCACTTGTAGATCAGTGGAATAGTGTGTAACCATTGGCAGGAATGTGTATTGGGTCACCCACACCCACCCCTGTTTAGTTTGTCTCGTGCACGTGCATCAATCAAAACACAGACAAACAGCTCCGTAGTGCTACTAGAGGTCACTGACAGATGAACTTCTTCCCTCGGACGACAACCAGCATGTATTTGTACTGTTATTTAATGCACGCTAACTGAAGCATCCTAACCTGCCCAGATGAATTTGGTGTCAAATTGAAAGTTTAATCAGGTTAGTAAAAAAGTTGTTGTAACGCCACAGGAGTACAAGGCTTTAATGTGTGTGTCAGCGTCTATAGAGGGCTTTAATGGGCAGTATGTGTGTGTGTGTCTGTGTGTGGACAATTGAAAAGTGATTGCAAAGGAGTCCTATCAAACACAATAACTCCTCTCCTCTCTGCAGGTTATTCTCATTGGAAAGGCCAGGTGTTGACAGCGGATGAGCTCCATGTTCTGTACGAAGGAATCAAACTGAACAACGTACACCAGTATGACTATGTTTTAACAGGTGAATACACTACTTTTATTCTTCACTTCTACACTGCTCAAAATACAACATCTGTAATGTGTGTGCCACAGTTCTGCAGTTGGGTTCAGCTTCATGTTATGTGATGTTATTCTGTTGGAGTTTCTAAATCCTCCTGAGGTAAAACTTTTTGAAAATGAGATGCTGCATCTCAAGGAAATTCAAATTTTATTAAATGAGTCCTGCATTAATGTTCCCTGCAGTCTCCTTTTCCACTTTACATCAGTGTACTAATGGTAGCTGGATGTTTTCCTGCCAAACCTGAATTAAGGTCACAGTTAAAATTTTTTTGTGATTCTAAGTATACCTGAGCAGCCATTTTCATCCGTATAGCTTCAGTCATGTGACATGCAGAGAAGTCACAGAACACTAGAGCTGCTTTAAAACAAAGCTTTGAGCAGAAGACAAATAATTAAACTAAGTATAATGACTATAATACTGTTTGTATCTGTGTGTGTGTGTGTGTGTGTGTGTGTGTGTGTGTGTGTGTGTGTGTGTGTGTGTTGTATTCAGGGTATACCAGAGACACATCCTTCTTAGAGATGGTAGTGGACATTGTTCAGGAGCTAAAGAGAGCCAACCCCAACCTGGTGTATGGTAAGTAACCACATGGTTTTAGTTCATTCAAAACTGAAGAGCTGCATAGTCTGGTGAGAATTCTCTGTGGGTTCGAGAGACCCCTTCCACAATACGAGGCATTTGATGTATTAGTAATATGTATTAGTGGAGCTTTAATATGACCACTCTCTGTCAGAAAGTTAGGCTCATGTTGAAACATCAGATTATGAGACAGTGAAACAAAATCCCCTAACAGGCTCAAATTAAATATTTGAAACTTTTTAAGTGACAAGCCAGCAAACAAACTCATTAGTTCTTTACATTAAGTAGCTTTATGTAGCTTGACATTAATCTCAGAGAAGATCCAGTTCTCACTGTGGACTCTCTCTCTCTCTCTCTCTCTCTCTCTCTCTCTCTCTCTCTCTCTCTCTTGCCAGGAGGTTTTTCATCTCATGTTGCACGAATCAGTTTCACTCAAATCAAGGCTGTTGCAGCCTGGCCTGTAGTCACTGTGTTTGTAGATGTAGTGAAGACCTACTGCCACTGTTCAAAATAATAAGCAACCAGGGGGTGACATGCATAATGTGTTTACTCAAGTACTTTTTGTTGTGGACAGAACGTGCTGTACTACAGTACTAGGTTGAGCCCTGTGTGTGTCTGTAAGATGATGCCAGATATTCTTACACTGTGCAATATCTGTCACATTATACAAACTGCAGGTTTCTAGTTGGGATTAGGGGATACTCCACCTTTTCTCCCTATTCAGCAACACGAAACACTGATGCAATTGAGAAGATTGTATATTTTTGTAAACTATTGTTCTGGTTTTGGCACTGACTTAACTAGCTGCAACTAGTGAGACAGCTTTTGGTGGAGAAATTAGTATTGTTTCAGTTTTTCCTGTATGACTGTGGAGTTTGTCTAAATAGAGGAGTTTTCCTTCGATGCTGGACTCGCAACAAAAGGTGCTCATGTTTTACATTTTAATGTAACCAATGGAGCAGTTGACTGTAATAGGTGTCACTCGTGGTAACAAGCCCACAGAGACTATGCAGTTCCCCTCAGCACTGTGGAGCATTGTATTATGTATATGCATTCAGATCATTGTTTTGCTTTTACAGCCCAAACTTTACTGTTTTGGTTCACTTTCACTGCTTATTAATCTTGTTTCCAGCAACAGCAGGCAGCTGCTTTTAGTGAAAAAGCTCAGATAAACCCACTCTCCTGTACCTGCCCATCACCACAAAGCCGGCAGACAAAGTTACTACATGGTGAACATAGTGGAGCGAAGGAGCCAGATATTTCCCTCAGGAGTTAGAGGAGAGCAAAATAAATCTATAAGGAGAGAGAATTTGACTGACATTGGCAGGTGGACACCGGACAGAGGCACAACTCTAAATAAATGCTAATGTTTCTCTGTGTCTTGTAAATTGGCAGCTGTTTGCCATAATAACTTTATAAGGTGATAATATGTCAGTACTATGGCCAGAAATCAATGAAGTTCCTTGTTGGTGCATTGTGAACGTCAAACACAATATCAGGGTTCCCATGTTTCCAGGAAAATCTTAATTGTATTTTAGCCCCTTGCTCAGATGTCCTACCTCTCCTGCATGCACAGTGATGTTAATTGTATTCATAATTCATCTTCTAGAAAGTATTTGTTGCACATAAAAATAACATCACAACAGACACTCACCTTTTAGAAGATGAATAAAAATAAATAAAAATTCTACTTGATTTGAGAGGAAAACTGTAGTAAACAGTCAAGCACACCACAAAAGTGAGCTAGCACCTATAAACGTTGACCACCTACCTGTAATGAACCTTAGACACTTCATCATGAACCCTGCATCATTAAAAAAGAGGAATAATAACTGGAGTTAAACGTGTCAGAACTAGGTCTACTAGCAAATTATATGTTAGCAAGGGCTGTCCTGTTTTGTCCAGAAAAATGTCTGGAAAATGTCCTGGAAAGGTCCAGGAAAATGATTAACAAGAGTGGGAACCCTGAACATCATGTTGTCTGTTGTGAGAGTGTAAGGAAAGTACCTATCATGACCTATGGTCTAGCATCATCCTCAGGACAATACATTTGTATCTCCACTACTGCTGATGGTGTAATAATAGAAAAACCATTAGTATGTTGGTTGCTCCCGGTGGCACTTTGGTAATGTGAGGTGTAATGAACATTACAGCCTCTAAGAGGCGCTAGCAGGGCCTTTTCAGTCTTCTCTTTTAAGAGAATGCAGACTTTCCAAATGAAATGTTTACATCTCCAAATCCAGTTTCATGCCTCCTATCACTGCAGCGTTTATGTAATGTGAAAACTGTTGGATCTTTGCAGGTCTGTGTTGGGTTTCTGACTCTGAATGTGTTTTTGTCATTTCAGTATGTGACCCCGTCCTCGGTGATCATGGATCTATGGTGAGATTAGTGCCAATTTTATGCTCTGTGTAGTGTATGTGCAGTTGTTAATGTCTGTTATTGGATAGATCTTTAACCAGGATTTCTGTGCCTGTATGTGTGTGGGAGGGTTTTAGTGTTCATCCCCGTGTTTTTATCTGTATATATGTGTGTGTGTGTGTGTGTGTGTGTGTGTGTGTGTGTGTGTTAGTGTTCTGGGGGTGTGTTACAAGGCTAATTTCTCAGTGACAGATGGATTATTGTGATCTGACAGAACTACATGTACACAGTGACTCATTCTGCGTGTGTCTGTATGTGTGTGTGTGTGTGGGTATGTGTTGTGTATATATATTACAATGTGCAGATGTGCATTTTTGGGGATTAAGATCATATTCAGTCTGTTATCGCTTATAATTTCAAACCATGAAAATAAAGATCAGAGAAAAGCCTTTGAATTAACTCAGCCTACTCATGTATGTGTGTGTAGCCCTTCCTTTAGAGCACAGTTTGTGTTCTGTGACTCTAACCTGTGTGTCTCTTTCTGCAGTACGTTCCTCAGAATCTTTATCCGGTCTATAAGAACAAGGTGGTTCCTGTTGCTGACATTATTACTCCCAACCAGTTTGAGGCTGAGTGAGTACAAGTTTTTCATAACAGCACATTTCTGTCTTCAATCCAATAAATCGAACAGGAAATCTCTGTAACTATCTTACTTATAGTGTATAGAGACACTCAAACTAAACTTACTTAGTTTGTATTAGCTATACCTCAGTGAGTTTGTAGCTGTGTGAGTGGCAGAGCTTTAGCGAACACGATCTTTATGTAATGCCACTCATGCTGTTATCTAATACCCTCATTCTGTGGTGGCTGAAATTTGGGAAAGAATTAACTGAAAATACGCCTCAGCCCCCCTCTTATCTTTCTTGTTTTAAAGCATGATTTGCATAGCTTGAAAGATTTTTTTCCCCAATAGTGTGTGGGAACGTATGATACGTAGTCTTGTTGAAACTCTTTATTTAAAGTTAAGATACTATGTTTTTTAAGCCTGCACGGTTACTGAATGTATCAATATACATGTCCAGTAATAGAGATGGATGAGCACATTCAGCAGAGACAATGCAACCTACCTGGGATTGTAATGATGTACCTACTGGTGTCTTCAGCAGGGTTGAAAGAGGTTGATTTCAGTCTGTCTGGTAACAATTCTTTAGATAGCACTATCTTTTGTTTAGTTTTACATTTTAATGATCCCCATGGAGAAACAGGCAGATAAAAGATGTTTACTATGTTTTTGTTGGCTGCTTTTCTTCCCTGCATTGACTAAATGGCTGCATTTCTGAAAAACAGCAGCATTAAGTCACAATTTAAGAGATAACTGTGTCTCAACTCAGTTATCTCTGCAGCTTCACTGTCAAGTTGCTCCACCTAGTGGTGTTCTCATGTGCCTGCAGAATCAGATTAAAGGTTTTTCTGTATACCTGCATCACACATTGTTTGACTAATAATGATTCAAGTTTTTGAAGCCTTCAGAACCTTTTGAGGTTCATATTTTAGCCAGGACCCCAGGGCTCTAGCGTCGTCAGATGCCACCTCTCACAAAAACCCAAACCTCTGTGATTTGTCGTCCTCAGGTTTTCTTTTTGGTGGCTAAACACTGGGAATGTGTGACCACAGCTTTAATGTAATGCAGATGTTTCGCACAGCAAAAACATAGACATTTTGTAGAAAGCGCCAAACAGTAGTAAGCTTCTTTTTGATTTGCTGGGTCACATTAGTCTCAGCAGGTACATGTAAAAAACCTTGCCCTACACTGTGTTTCCAAATTATTTACCTGCCACCTGGCCAGTAAAAGTTATTTATCTCCCAAACTCAAAATATGCCTTTATTTGGTGCTTGGCTGGTGTTAACTGTGGACCCTGCTCACTTGCCTTTGTGGATTTTTCCCTCTGTTGCACTTATGTCTTAATAAGAAGTCTTCTTTTAACCTTTTTTAAACTCTGAAATGGGACTTTTGTGTTTCTCTGTTTAATAAGTAAATGTTGAGTGTTCCTGTGCCATTGACATAATGGTAATTTGTTTGCTTGTGTTTTAGATTATTGACAGGGAAAAACATCAGCACAGAGAAAGATGCTGTAGAGGTAACAGATCACTTACTATTAAAACCTTCTCTGCTTTCTTGCATAATGTTTTTGTTTACAGAGTAAGCTATTGTATCTCACTCACTGACTGTCTGCAGGTTATGGACCTTCTCCATGCCATGGGCCCAGACACAGTGGTCATCACCTCCTCTGATCTGCCCTCCAGACTTGGAGACCGCTTCCTTGTGTCGTTGGGCAGCCAGCGCCATGGTACGTGACATGCAATTTAGTGTGCATATAGAGTGTCTATATTTGTGAGACTAATGAACCCTTCAACATGTTGTGTGTTTGCTTTTCAGTTCGCCCCGACGGCAGCAGGACGACACAGAGAGTTCGAATAGAGGTTCCTAAAGTGGACGCCGTCTTTGTAGGAACTGGAGATTTGTTTGCTGCTATGCTGCTAGCGTGGACACACCACTACCCTAATGACCTAAAGGTAAGAAAAAACTGTTAGTTACACTGACGCTGGCAGGGCACAACCATCCACACACCAAGCAGCCAATGAGCTGTGATATATAATACACACCCTGTGCAGGTGGAGATCAATCATGTTACCGGCCTTATTGACAGAAGATTAAGGCAGCCTCACTGACCATGGCAGAGCTACAGATGACAGGACATTAGACTTTGATTTAATTTGATGTAATGGTTACTTATTAAGTAATTGAGACCCCCCCCAAAGCACGCATATATACGTATGTCGAGTCATGAAAAACATAATAATCACTTTATATCTGCTCTTCTCGCTCTCTCTCAGACGGCCTGTGAGAAGACTTTTTCAGTGATGCACCATGTTATCCAGAGGACCATTTCGTATGCTCACGGTAAGAAAAGTAGGGCTTGTCATCAATGCCTAAAGCTTTAACTTTGCTAAATCTATGCTGTTTTCTTATCTCAGAGACAAACACAGACCAGACCAACAGAGCTAAAATCCAATTTCTGTTGTAATTTAATCATGAATTTGACGCCAGATATTTACATCAGCAAAACGTTGAAAAGGTGTATAGGTTATAGAAAATCAAGTGCCACTGTGGGTTTTTGCAAAGGTTTTTTTATAATAAAAAATAAAAAATTTTTAAAATATTTTCCTCCTTTTTTTTGACCCCATGGGTTTCCATTCTATGAACTTTCCATATGACTCAGTGAAGTTAATCTCCAAATTTTTTTTAATTTTTTAATTTTGTTTCGATGGTTGATCAAGCCTACCTTTCAGTTTCATTATCACGCTTTCATTTCCCCTGCCGGCCACTGTGGTCAGGGGAAATGAAATCAATGGACCAATAAATATGAGTGCAGTTTTCCTCTTGTACACACCTCATGGAGCCTCCTCGAAATCTATTTGTGTCCAGTAAATTTCTGATATTGTTCAGCCTGATTGCAATCACAATTGCGTAACACTATGAGGGTTATATTTTTAGATGCAGAGCACCTAATAAAACAGTCTTGTAACACACTCAAAACATAATCTACATTTGGCATGCTGCAGACCGTCCTCAAACAGGGAGTGGTTTATCAGACCGGTTATTCACCACCTATAGGAAAGGAAAGGACCAGCAGCAGGATGGACCTACAGATGTAGCTATGTTGATATCGCCACCTGCTGACGAACACATTACTAGCTGCCCATTGTAACACTGGCACCACATACAGGAAATGACTGGTGTGACTGATATTGAAGTTATCAAATTAAGGAATCCTTTTTTTAAGTTTTGAGGTAGGATAAATGCAAAACAATTCACATTTCCTTTTCTTTGTAAGTGAAACTGATGTCTTGATACACCTACTCATCTCACTGATTTGAATCTTAACATATTTTCACTCATTCATGATATAAAGTTAGATTCCTAGTACTCGTTATCCAGGGTTTAAAATATTGTATTGGAAAAAAATATAGAAAAACTACAGCATCCTGTAAAAGGTTTGCATAAGCAGGTCCCAGCTGCTGCTGCCATCACTTTTACTGTCTATATAGGCTATAGGCTATAGGCTGCACAGGTTTGGCTGCTCCTGCAGCTCTCAAGATGAGAAGAAGATCAGCTCAGCCTGGTTTCATGGCTGTGTGTCCAAACTATTATTACTTTAAAAGAATGTGTGATGTAGCTTTAAATATATGTTTATCTTTATTCATCTCTGCATTTCTGTCTGCTCACTCCCTACCTACCCCTCTCTCTCTCTCAGAACTAGCAGGTCCTGGTCGGAGGCCCAGTCCGCCCCAGCTGGAGCTGAGGATGGTTCAAAGTAAAGCTGACATAGAAGACCCTGCTATAGTTACGGAGGCCACAGTCATATCCTAACATTACCAGCCCATGAGACTCATACTAACCGTGTCCTCTTCACCCATAAATCTCTCAAATCTCGGTAAATCTCTCATCACTGTAAACCTTGACTGTCATTTCAAAACTTCCACACCTCATTATCCAGACTCCTTCAAACCCCTTAGTATTGTAACCCCTTTAGTCCTTTTCCCCTTTAAGTCCTCAGTGTCCTAACCCCCTTAAACCAAACCTTTAACCTGTAACTCCAACGCCCTTTTACCTAAACCCTGTTTGGGAAACCAGAGCCATGGATAGACAGACAGTTTGGTCAGACAGACAGGCTCTAACAGCGTGTGAGCGGAAAGCTGTAGTGCTAAGGCTTATTTCTCACTCCAAGATAGCTCTAATTCCACTTGCATAACACATAAAATGACATATATAAGTTAAAAAAAATACAAAGTATGAGGGTGATGAGGGTCATGAAAACCCTCAAAAAACCCATTTAGGTTCAGTCATAACCATGAAGAATATAGAAACTGTTTTGGTTGTTTTTAACAAATGTGGAGTAGGTTTTTGTCCCTGTTATACTAGAACTAGACAAGTAGTTAATACTCTTTGGTGTTCTCAGTCTCTTTACTGAGGAGTGGTTGGTGGCAGGGAGCAAAAATAAATGAATTAATGGCTATGTTCACACTGCAGGCAAAAGTGGCCCAAATCTGATTCTGATCTGTTTTCATGAAGTGTGAACAGCACAAATGACATAGATCTTTTCAATTCTGATTTGGGACACTTTCATATGTTAAGTTTCAGGTCAGATGTTTTGCAATGTGACCTCAGTGTGAACAGTCATTACAGAATTCATGTGACTTTTCCTTCACTCTCGATTTCAGGACTGTAAACGTGTTCACACTGGAATCTGATATGGGCCACATTTAAAAAATAACGTAAACAGCCAAACAAAAGCAAGATCTGAGCAATAAATCAGAGCTGTGTTAAAGCCAGACACCAGCCCCACAAAATCTAACTTCTAATGTAGTAGGATTATTTGTTGTTGGATTCAGAAACAAAACTCTGCAACATATTTGCAGTATTTACCCCCAAAGTAAACTGATTCCAGCTGCTAAACTCTACCTCTAAATTATTAAATGATTAAATATAAACTTGCCTACTTTATTGCTCTATAACTGCCACTCAACTCACATACTCTGTCTATTTTTGACAGAGCTGCACTGTGTAACCTCCACACCAGTTGCCAAGTTGCCGATTTGTCTCGTAAATCCCCCGCCCAAGATGCTCTGACGCGAGAACATGACGTAATTGCCTGGCTTGTACCACTTATAGCGTTCCAGTTTGTCTTTGGGCATTACGAGTCGGAAAGAAGTGCAGCAGCTGTCTTGTTATTGCTTGTGGCTCCTCTAAACAAGCTCAATGTGAAATAATAATGTTTTTCTACAGAAACACTAACATTTCAAGTAATTCCGTTATTGCAAGTCTTACATTTCAATAATATTTTGCCATTTTCGCCTATTTCAATTTCAACAAGTGCTATGTCGTCTTGAGCCACCAGGGGCAGTGGCAGGCTGCGAAAAAACAAAACTTTACATTGTAACACCGTGCAATGCATAAATTGGTGACCAGACTAAAGCAGCAATGTAAACAAGTGTGTAAGAGCATTTAAAATCGACATTAAAACGACCAACGTAGTACAAATACAAAGAAAATACATTTCAATATGGGCGCAGCCATCTTTCACCCTCGTTTAGCTCGGTACTGTGAGGAGCCCCGAGTGGGACGGCTGATATTACGACCAAAAGGGGGTGTGTCTCGGTGAAATGTCGTAAGATAGCTGCGAGATTTACACTTTCCAACTCGGGCGGGGGATTTACGAGACAAATGGATAGCACCATAAGACTGGTGTTTATGATCAAACACTGTTTATCTATGGCTCTGCCCACCACTATTTCAACCCCCTCCCCGTCTTACAGCAGTGATGTAATGGTGACCAAGTCTAACCCCCTGAGATCCCTTGAAAATATAACAAAGGAAAAAAAAACGCACAATGTATAGTTGATGTATAGATGTTGTACTATAACTGTATTGGACCATCTGTATGATATCTTCTATCTGATCTGTCTATTGGACCATTGTGTTGATGCTACTGTACTATAGACCACACGCACTACAATATCACCCAAACCAGAGACATTTGGGCTGGTTCTGGCACTCCTGGAGGCTCCAGTGGCTCCAGTCGTTGTCGCTTGTTAGTAATAGGTAACTGTCTAATAGTCATAGTATATAGTTGAACCTCTTTCATCTCTACACAACATAAAGAAAAAAACTGGCAACCTGAGCCGTCTGAGCCGTCCTTGGCCGGTTATACTTGTGCTAGACCAATCAGAAATTGGCTACTTCAGTGCCAGAACCAACCCACATCATGCCGGGCGGTTCCCGGCCCAGCTCTGGCCCAGAACCCTATATCTGAGAGTTGTGCCACTGATTTTACTGGAGGCCTCGAGAAGCTGTAAGAGGAGACCCTCGTCTTCCCCACGTCCAGTATCAGCTCTGTGAACGTCTGTTGTAGAAATTGTCTTTCTGTTCATGTCACACTCCACTGTGGTTCAACAACAGACATGATGGCAGTAGGTCCAATTTTAATATGACGGCAGGTTAATCTGGGTAAACTGATGTCTCCTTGAAATGACTGTTCCCCTATTAACAAAGCATTGAATATACATGATCTAACCCTTTTTATCCACTATTTCCCAGAGCTCAAGGTGACTTCTTCAAATTGCGTGTTTTTCCCAACAAATACTCAAAGTTTACAGCAAATTCTCACATTTGAGAAGCCGGAACCAACAAACGCTTGACATTTTTCCATGATAATAACAAATAATTGATCAGCACAATATGAGGAAACTGAAATCACCCTACCCCAGAAAACCTTTTTACTACTATAGCTACAGTTAAATCTTCAATTAAAGTGTGTTTGCTGACTCACCCAATGGCTAACTAGCTACTATACTAGCTAACTCGTGCTGAAGTCTTCAGTTATGCCAGGAAATGATTAAGAATTCATTCTAAATGGCCACCATAACATTGAGTTGGGCCGTTGCAGCAGTCTGTTTATCACAGTGGAGTGTGATAGGAAAGAGTTGAGGAGAACATGACATGCGACAGTGGTCATGAGCCGGTTTCAAACCAATGATGTCGCGAGAACTTGGCATGTGCCTTAGCCCGCTGCGCTACCAGGGCACCACAGGAGATGAGATTTTAATGCGATTTTAACATTTTTAAGTTACATCGGAATCCCCCCCCCCTTGTTGCTTCCTGATTTGAATGTTCAGTAATCTAATTTAACAGGAAACAGCTAAAATTCTCAAATAACTTTGCTCGGCAACAACATACAGTTTTGGAGAGTGTAAACCAAATAACCGGAGGCCTAAAGAAAAAAAAGAAAAGCAAAAGAAAAATCCAGATGTCATCAGTGTCCCACCTGAGCTGGATGTAAGGTTCTGGGCAGACCAGTGTAATTCTGTACTGCTGTTGTTTCTCTATGGACTGTACTGTGATACTGCCTTAGGAACCTAACATCATAACGCCACAATACTGCTCACTGAGGGAGAGGTGGAGAGGGGGGGGGGGGGAGGAGGAAGGAAACATGAGATGTCTTAAATGTAGGTACTCCTGACTACAGTGCAGATGAGATTGCATATGCTTAGATTTTCTGTTTGAATCTAAAACAAAAATGTCTTTTTAGGGCTGCAAGCGGTGATTTCTTTATCAATTAGTTTGATTATTCTTTAAATTAACCAATTCATTTATGGGTTTTAAAAATTACGGAAAACTTTACTGTTTTATTAAACAGAGAAAATCAGCAAGTCTTCACTAATTTTCAGCAATTTTGTTTGCTGAATCATTTAAACTATTTAATTGTTTTCCGTTCATTTTCTGTTTTACGACTAACCGATTTGACGTTTGAGCCCTAAAATCTTTCCTTTTTTGACTCAAAGATACACCTCTTGGACTAATGGTGGGGGGGGAAATGCAGTCTCATTTTTAAAATTGCAATAGTTAATATTGATTTTTGTACTAGTACAGTTGTATTGTGCCACTGTAGCACTGATTGTCATATCAATAACAGACTACAGTGTCTGTGCGCTTGGCCAACCAGCTTTAAGCTCTGCTATAATCAACATGTGCACTATCCAATCCTCTGCTTCCTGCTAACAAACCAGTCTGCTGTATTATTGGGTCAAAGTGTCTATCTGTCGTGTCTGTGCGTGTTGTGTGTGTGAGAGAGTGTGTGTACACGTGTTTATAAATGTCCTTTGTGGTCACAGGGTTTTGTGTGTGTGTGTGTGTGTGTGTGTGTGTGTGCACGCATGTGGAGTGAAAGAGGAAATCCCTGAAAAGTAAAACTAACAAAGATGGAGGGGTGAGAGAGGAGCAGGGTAAACAATATAAATAATAGAGACAGGAATAGTGTACATGAGGAGGGGAGAGGAGGTACGTTCAAGAGGACAATCATTCTGTGATGTTACGCATTGTTTGACGACTCCCTTTTTCCCCGATCTGCTAAACAAATAGAGGATTGTTTTTTCTCTGGACGTCCTAAAAGGGGGCTTTGAATCTTAAACGTTTCCTTGATGCCTCACGTCCCCTCTTTCTCTTCCTCCCCCTCCGCCCATCCACATGCAGATATATCTGTCCTTCAACCTGTCCACCCGCCTCCCTGCAGTGCCAGTCATTGTGTCTGTATCGCTAGTTTTTAAACCTTAGCCTCTCTGTGTGTGTGTGTGTGTGTGTGTTTGTGTGTTAGTTGGTTATACTGTGCCCTGACTTCCCCCTATCTCTCTGCTTGATTGTCACTACTGTCCCCGCTTCTGTTCCCATGCTGGACTCAACCTCGACCTCCGCTTGCTTGCCGTGTCTTTTGTGATACAACTTAACTTCACTGAGCTCTTGTAAAAAAAAAAAAAACTTCACCCTGCTTTCAGTAACTCTTCCTCCGTTCTAACTGTTGCTGTTGTCTTGTTTACCTACGTACGATTCGTCCGTCTAACATCCGGATTGAGTTGCGCCAGCTCTTTGTAGATCCGTCTCTAAGTTTGTCTGGAAAGTCCTACCGAAGTTCTGAAGTAGTGCTTGGCAGTTTCATACTTGTGATTTACTAAATCGAGTTGCACCGTTAGAACTTCAGAAATATCTTTGCTAGGTAAGACTTTAGTAATGTGTAAATCGGTTGCTGGGAAACATCTTAAAAAACTATTATCAGTCTTTACCCGCCACCATTTTCTTGCCAGCGCCCGATAACGAAACTGCCCATGTCCAACTGTCAACAGAGAGGAGAGGGAAGAGAAATGGCTCACTCGGTTAGCCTTTTCTCTTGCCAGTGTGTAACTGACAGAGTTGGTAGATTTATTAGCCTGACTCTCAAAGTCTAAGTCAAGCAGTTTGACTGAGTTTTAGTGTAAAACTCTTAATAAATAATAACTCAAGATGTTTTGTTAACATATTTTATGCTAGTATGTTAAGGGTTACGGTTAAGTGGTTATTTTGTAATTTAGTCAAATGATATTGTCACATAATTTTATAATATGAGGTATATTGTGTGGTTTTTAAAAAAAATTTAATTAAATGTTTTACTAGTTTTCATCATAACTAAACATTTTGAAGAGTCAATCCATTTTTTTAATCTAAATTGTTCAAATATTAGAGAGCTAATGTCACTGCAGCTACCAGTACATAACAGTTACACCTGGTAGTAAATATTTAGTGGTGTCGTTACTAGTTTGTATGGTGCAACCCGATTTACTTTATTAAACGGTTTCCGTTAAGTAGGCTGAACCTACAAACAGCTGGTGCAACCGGTTGCTGGTTGCTAATGAACTAAAGATGGTTGCCTTTGGGCCCGATCAAGCAGGCTGGCACACTGCACAGTGTCAGCCCCAAATATTGTTTTATGTTTGTTTTAGTAGTCCTCGATGTGTAGCCAAACATTTACCGTCTGACAGTATCTGGATCATGAAGTTAGCATGACTTTGTGAGCAAGGTAAAGCTTCCTGTGATGGAAACAAAGGGTCATCGAGTATATATCAACGTATTAAGAGTTAGCAAACAGTTAGCCTCTGTATATATCTGGCAGACACAGAACAACGTGGGCGTCCCACTGGAGTTCTACCTTTCAAATGTAAACCCCACTGTGAGTCTGTTAACTTCTTTGCTCCACCAGCTCCTGAGAAAATGATGTTGCTAAATAAAATAAATAAACTTTAGTCATTTTCCACCTTTTGGCTAAGCAGGGAGAATCTAACTGGCTCGTGTGAATTTGTGGGCTAAGAGCAGCTCCCTGAGGTTTTATGTAAACTGGCACTTTGGTTGTTCACCACAGCACGAGCTGCAGAGTTGGGATGTTAACTTTCAGTGGGATCGGTCATTTTAGCAACCCTTTCACATTAACTCGGTGTCAATTTAAAGCATATTTCTAAAATCTGGTTTAAGGCTCGTGTGATTTGGTTGACTTGTGTTATTAATGTTACTAATGGAGCTCTACAACTTAGCAAGTAAAAAGAAAATAAGTCGCAAAGTAGTGATTCACTTTTATTTAATGTCACACGTTTTTAAGATTGAATTTGGAAATTGGACGGTGCGACAATAACCGAGCAGGACGACTTGTAAAGGCTGCAGTGAGAACTGTCCTGTGTGAGGCCCTTCACCTTTCTGTCAGTCCGTCATTTAGATGGTTACAAGTGACTCTCCCATGTGGCTTTGCTTGATGCTCACCACTGTCCACGCTTCCTCCCCCTCATATTTCCCGTCCTCTCTGTACCCGTCGTGATCCCTCATCCCCGTCTGTTGGGTTACAAAATGGCTGCCACTTAAAACTGCAATGGCCCAACCACCTGTGTCCGACTGTGGTCCCCTCCTCTCCTCCTGATTGACAGTTTCATCTCTGCCATCTTGTTTTTCTGTTCTTGGTGGCCAAAACGAGGAAATGTAATAATCATTGTTTGGTAACTGTTTTTAGTGCTATGTTTTTGGAGCGTTACGAGTATTTTCTAACATGTTACAATAAAAGATTGTAGTGTACAAATTCACATTTATAAAATATATATATATAGATATATATGAGAAATGTATGTTCTAATGCAATAAAGAGAGATTAAGAATTATGAAAATTTGATTGATTATTATTATTATTATTATTATTATTATTATACTTATTTGTGTAAGGGTTTGTTTGTCTCAGTCCGTCAGCTCTGTGGTTTTATGGAATATATATTGTCTTGGAAAGACATTGAATTTGATGTGTTGTACCACTTTTTCTCTTTGTGATAAGTGTACCATTTGAAGAAGGAAAGCACAGGAAATAACATGCAACCATGTGGTTGAATCATGTACTGTTCATGATACTAACAATTAGGATTGTATTATTGTGAGGGAAAAGAGAGCCGTTAACTAGCTGGGATAGATGTTTAAACACTTTTTTTCTGGAGCTGTAAACTGAATTATATGACTATAATGTGATGAAATGTATGAAAACCCTTGTCTTGTGTCAGACAAAGAGTGATGAATGAGTTGAAGGAACTGCATTTTGAATAAGCTGATGCTTTTGGATGGTCTTTTTGGGGAGTCCAGTTTTCATCATATAAAAGTCTAACTCCAGCATTTTGTAATAACCACCACAATATGTAATAGTTTATTACAAAACGTGGAATTGCATTACTATTTGCATTATTTCTGATTATTACAAAATGAATGCAGTGTTGTTGCATAATGCAGTGTAATGGGTTACAGCCACGCCTGCCGATAGGCGGGGAAAAACAGGTCTGTTGTCCCGGGCCCAGGGTAGGGGGGGGGCCAGAACTGGGCCCTCATTAAATTATGGAATCATTAAAAAAAAAAATAGTAATATAATAATATGATAATGCCTTTGCGACAAAAAAAAGTTTATTTCCCCTCAAAAATGTGTTGCCGCACATCCCTTCTCAAGCCGTGTCTGTCAAAACGAAGCTAAATGAAGTTATGAATATAACATTACCTCCACAGTGGTTGCAGCAGTCTTCATCCTCGGAATGGCATTTCTCTTCAGCCGGCCCCGCTGTGTTGTGTCTCTGTAGTCATCCTCCTCAAAATGTTCACTGCAAATGTGGTGATCATTTTCACATAGTACTTGTATGGGAGTTTGCACATCCAGCTGAAGAACAACTAGCCACAACTGCAGTATCTCATGGTCATGGAAAGGTAGACGATGAAAGTGTAGGCACTTGTACCTTCTCATTCTGTTGCCACCATTTGGAAAGGCACAAACGCGAACCATTTCTTCTCCACAGTAGATCAACACATGTTATTCTTACTCCAAGCTTCTTCCCTTGTGAACACCTCTGATCTCCACTCATTTCTTCTGCGTTTACCTGCAACAAGAAATCCCACGGGACTTCAGTGCAAGAGCAGTCCCGCGCTGAAGTCCCGTGGGATTTCACTTGTTGCAGGTAAACGCAGAAGAAGAAATTGTTGCAGGAAGTGTGCAAATCGGAGAGCAGTGTGTGAAGACATGGACATTCTGAGGGGGAAATAAACTGCTTTTCATCGCGAAGGCATTATCTCCGTGATCGATTATTCTGGGCTTTCGGGGAAGCGAGCGGTGGAAAAACAGGTAGGCGACAGTACTGTTTTGTACGGTTGTTGTTGTCACGTAAGGGCCCTGATCATGTTGCACAGACATTTTAATTGCATTTTGTGTGTTAAGAGGAGCAAAAGGCACTCTTTAGGATATGCCCCCAAGAAGTGTATTATAACTAACTGGGAGCTCTGGCCATTAGCTGCAGGAACTCCAGTTTGCTAGAACCAATTCCTGTCGTTCTTTTTCCTATCGACAGTACTCGGTGACCTCTAGTGATCAAGACTAGGGTAAAAATCTGACGAAGTTCCCCTTTAAGTTATGTTAAATTATTTTGTTCCGTTAAAGTTGTAATAGTTGTCATCTGAGGCAATAAAATAATAAAAGACATTTTGCTGTATTATGCTTCTTGTGTGACACATTTCCATTGGGAGAACAGGGTTATGTTGAAATTAAAAAGATGCCTAGGCCATGATATTTAATAATGTGGACATTAACAACCATGTTAAATATCCAGTATGTCTTTCAGAGTTTTGAGAGTAGCCTAAAATTCTATTGAGGTTCTGAGCCTGTTGATCTCCAACTAGTAGTGAAATCATCACAGATCCATTGATTTTGGTTGAATTTTTTCTGTGGAATGAGTATACTGTTTGGTGAAAAGAATGGCATATTGACTGATGTCATAACTTGGGGGAATAGTTGATTGCCAATGAAGTAATGTTTCCGGCAGAGCAGACCCTCCAATTATTGGTTCTTAGGGTCAAAGTTAACAGAAAAAACACAAATAAAAAGTATGGCAGACCATGTCAGGTTCAACACATTTTTGAGTCTTTGGCTCCCCGACTAACAGGGCTGTTTTGGCAGGGTGATTGAACTGCTATGGTGCTTCATCCTTATGGTATTTTGACCAAAGCATGTCACAGACATTTCATTAGGACACCAGGGAACTAGGTTAACTTGTAGAAATATGGTATAACATGACTCCTTTAATGTCTTATCTGCATTCATGGTAAACATTCCACAAGGTGGCGCCATATTCCTCTGCTTTGACAGTGAGATCACCATTTTGGATCTTTGTATAAAATGTGTGTTAGTATAAGTAGAGTTCTTTTGACTGATAAAAAACTAAGCAGGCTACAATGAACTTCCATGCAAAACAGCTTTTAGTGCAACATTTTCCACACAAGAATATTTTCTATACTAATATAGAAAAACTTTTACAAAACAAGTATCAAGTATAAAAAAAGCCCACTAGTACTACTAGTATAAACCCTGCAGAGAACACCTGAACTGTCTTTTGTAACATCAGTGCAAATTTGAGTAAATAACATTTTTAGAAAGATAGAGAAACACTCTGTAAACAGCAAAACAAAATAAATGACAGCCCTTAAATAATAAAGCAGTTTCATGCTTTATGGCTTCTGGCTCTCCTTCTTGTCCTTTGGCAAATTTGCATTGAGGAACACAAGTGATCTTACATAGGCTTGAGGCGACTTCTTCTCTCAGATTATTTGTCCAGTCTCGGAGAATATTCTGTCAGATGGAACTGATATCGCCACAACGCAAAGCCTCTTAACAATGAGCTTGATGTGCCACTGTGTCGGACAACTCAGATGACGTCATGCGAAATTTGCACATCAAATTAGCACCCCACGTGTACTCTGCTGCACTCCTCCCCTTGTTGTGTTCTCCCTCTCAGTGGAATAGCAAAGGAGGAGCTTGTGTGCGCATGCTGTGTGCGTGACAGCAATTTTTTAAAAAAGAAAGTATAAAAAACTGTGACTCGGATCGTTCATGTTAAAGAGCTGTTCAACACCTTAGGCAAGGAGGCTTCACACGAGGAAGAGAAGACAGTGAAGAAGGGAAGAACGAAGACCTCCAGGCAAACTTCAGTAATGAGGCGGCTGTGGAAGAGGGACAGACCTTCCCCAGCAGGTGTCTGACTCTGGAGAAACCTCCCCCAAAAAAGCCTTCTCTGTGGAGGAGATGTTAATCCTGTGCAAGGGTCTGCAGAGAGTGACAGCTGAGCACCAGACTGGAGTAACCATGGGGAAAGTGAAGGAGTTGGTGGATGCTCTCTGTGCATTCAATACACAGACTGTGTATTGTATTTTGTTGAGCGATGTTTAGTTGATGTGTTGTTCCATTTTCGTGATTTTTGTGTAATTGAGATGGGTCTTTGTTTTTGTATTTTATCATTTATTTTTTGTAGCACTCTGGTCCATGTTAAGTATATTAATAAAGCCATATAAATAATAAATATTTGATATAATGTATGTTTTTTTTATATTAGTAATTCATTTTACACATAATTTGGTAATGAATTAATTTCAGCAACATCATCAGCTGTTCTCATCAGAGAATGTCTAATAAGGGGAGAAGTTCCACTCTCGGTACACTTCCGGCTTCTGAACTGTTGCAGTTCCACTCTGGTTCCATATGAGGGCGCTCACAGGATGAGTGCAGAATGAATGGAGGTCTATGGAGCTATACCCCTCAAAATCCACTTTTCTCAGGATATAATTTTTGTCTAGTAATTTGAATGTTGCATTTGAAAGGGGACGCAAAGAAATGACACATTGCTGGGTGATAGATTTTTTAGAGTCACTTATTTGCTTTAAAAAGTCTTTAAAATGTCAACGACGTCATACACAACGTACGGCCAGAGATACTGCTTTACGGCAAGCCTTGGGTCATTTTGTGCTTCCGCGCTCTGCACTTCCTTTTCTCTCGAGACATCGACAACACAGCTGACACAGGTTCGGCTCTCCCTGTCAATACACGTGCTAGAAAGAGTTTGTTTTGCTGTTTTAAACACCTCGCCGAAAAATTCACACACACACGCACACACATATATATAAACAGACAGACAGACAGTATTAATGGTCGTTGGAGTCAGGTAGGTTCGGTGACATAGCTGGCTATCAGCTAGCCATCAGCTGGCTATCAGCCCTTATTAGACATTCTCTGCTATCAGCTATGTACCTAGCCAATACACGATAGCCAATACACGATGGTGGGCAAATCCAGCTACTGAAGATTAGTGAGTGAAAGTGGAAAAAGACAAAAAGAAAAGACCGCACACATGATGGATGATATTACACATATATTATAAGTGTACATCTAGAGAAATGTAGACAGTTTCCTGTCAGCTGTTAATTTGTTCTCCTTGTAGCTCAAAGCCCTGTTCCTCTGTCTAATTTCAGCCCCAAGCCTGCACATCACAAATGTTTTGATGGACATGGACTCTAGGAGGCTGGCATGTTCAGGATGGGTGCTGAGGAGGCTACTGAAAGCTCCCAGCCTCCCTAAAGTCATCTCCAAATTGTTGGTGATGTTGGAGTGAGGCCAGAAGGTGTCGATGTTTCTTGTGAACTCCCCCTCCAACAGCTGGATGCACTCAAAATACTCCTCTGACGGCCTCATCAGGTTGGCGGCCGGTGTGTATTTCTTGGCCGCCAGGAAAGGGCGCTTGGCGCTTGCAGCATAGCTGTGGTCCTGGTGTCTTGGACCCAACAGCAGGACCTCCAGACTACCCAGCCAGCAACATTAAAGAGG